GGCAAATAATTTTTGGTAAAAAGAAGATAAATATTATTTTCATTACATCCTAAACAGACTTTCAATCTAACAGTTCTCGGGTATTATGACTTTTGACTTTTCAAACTTTTTAAAAAAACTGCGACTTTTTAATATTTTGGAGAAAACAATCATAATAAAATAGTATATTTCGTAACGAGTGCGAGCAGTTGTCAATTTTATAATGAGCACTTTTTGTGGAACAAACTGTAGGCGAAGCGAAGCTTCGCCTACAGTTTGTTCCAAAAAAAGTGCTCTTTTAAAAATTGGCAACTGCTAGCACTAGTTACGAACGATATTTTTCATAACAAGGTGCAAAAAAGTGCCCTTTTTTGCACCGCGTTATGAAAAATTAATTATTTTTTTTAAATTATACAAAAATTCTTTTAAAAAATTGAATTAACTTTTAAAATATTTTTAAAAAAAACTAATTCGGGACCGTTTATAAATTGTCAGGCGTTAGAGGAAAATTTGTGACCTAAGGGAGGTGGAAAATAGTGCAAAATTCAATTATCTTCGAACAAAGTAAATTAAATTTTTTTAAAAATTTACTTTTTTAAACTTATTAAAATACTTATGATTTCGGAGAAATTATGTTAAAAATTTTTGATTAAAATTCTTCAAAAATTCAATTATTTTTCAAAAATTTTACCAAATTTTAATTGTTTGTAAATTTTTCAATTGTCTATAATTGAAAAACTATTATCTTTCAAAAATTATTTTAAAATATTTTTAAAAAATTAATTTTTAAAATTTCTTTATTGTAATTTTTTGAAAATATTACACCTTTAGTAATTTTAAAAGTAAACATTGGTCAGTTACAATTATTATAAAAAAATAAATAATTGAATTCTCGAAGAACTTTAGAAAAATTAATAATAATTGACTTAGAGATGAAGTTTAGTTAAAAATTGAAGAAAATAATTGAATTTTGAAAGTAATTTTAAGAAATTATTAAATTTCATAGGGTCCGAAATTGAAATATTTAAAAATTGTATATCCCGTGGAAAAACAAATAAGTAGTATTTAAATATTTATTTAACAAAATTATTCAAGTTTAGAGTAATTGAATTTAGAAATCAGTGAAAGGTGAAAATTAGGGAAATACTACATAGAATTTTTGTGAAAACACTGAATAAAAATAAATTAGTTTTTCGACTTTTTTTTATTTTTAATTGACTAAAGATACTTTTTTAAGCTTTCAAGTCGGTCCGATGTTATTAATTTACGAAAAATTATTTTACGGAGTCACAAAACCATGAATTTGAAACGAAATTAGGGAGAAAAAAAGATTAATTTATGTTTAAATCGAAGTCTCAATTTAATAAACCAAAAATTCTTTACTTTCATTTGAGGGGAATATTTAGATTATTAAAATAAAAAATATTTCTTTAACAACTCTGTTCTTTGAAACTTATTTATTATAATACCTTAAAAATAAAATACAAAATTTAAAAAGTTGATCATACTTTTAATAACATAAATAAGGTTCGTCTCAAAGAGAAATCTGAAGGTCGGTCCAATAGGTCGGTTTTACTATTTCGTATTTTGAAATCAAAGAGCAACTTCAAAATCTGACAAACAGTTGAAACAAAAGTTAGTGACATATTTTTTTGCATTTTTCATAGAGAGTGTAAGTAATTTTATTTTTACCAGTTTGAACCACATTAAAAGTTGACATTTAATTAAAATTAAAAACCTCTCTTTATAGAAAATAATAAATAAAAAAAAAAATAAAATAATACTTAATCCAAGAAATTTTAAATCTTCATATTGGTCACTTTTAATGTTTGTCATTCTATTTTTTTAATATGTATATTTTAATAATATAACTTTTTTAATTAAAACTACTAAAATAGTTGGTTTAGATCCTTGTTTTGAATGATCTTCAGAATTCTTCTCAATGCACTGAGAGAAAATAGAACCTATTTGAACTAAATGAAAACGTACAAATTTTGAAACTTTCGTTTAGTTTAATTTGAAAACTTAATCCTAATATGATAAAAAATATCTACTTTTTTTAGTTTAAAACTATTCTTTAGATAGTACATGTAATTCAAAAGTATATAAAGAATATTTTAAAGTATCTTATAATACACAACATAAACATAATATGCGTCACGTTTAATGCAAATTTTCAAAATGACAATAACCTTTGAAACTTGATAAGTTTAACTTTCTCCAGTTTCGACAGATTTTGTCTAAATAATCTAAAATCTTAGAAATTTATTGCTGTATTGAATCGTATAGATATTTTCTATTTGAATAAAGAAAACTTATTTCTAAATATATTCAAAATATAAGAATAAAAATTTTCTACAGCTATTCTCTTAAAATCATATGAGTAATGATTGTACAGAAAGCTTTAATTAAAAATAAAATTAAAATAAAGATGATTAAATTTAGTTTTATCGTTTCTAAATTATTGCCATAGAAACAAATTAATGATAGAAATAATTATATTTTAAAAAAGAATAAAATTTGTAAAAAGATAAATATTGAATACAGCTTTATTTATATTCATGATCATGATGAAAATACTGAGGATGAAATTCTAAAAAGAATGAGATTTGAAGGAAGATGATTCTACAATTTTTTAATTGAATATTGGAGAAAGAATTTTAATGATTTTCTCAATTTCTCAGCTATTTTAAAATTGAATAACATTTTTCAATGAAGGATAATATATTTTTTAATTTAATAATTTGTCTAAATTCATTAGTTAAAATATATATTCAGTAAGTAAGAACAAATAATAATTAATTTATAATAGTAGTATTCAAAAATTGAATATTAGGTAATATTAAGTAATTAAATAGTAAATTAAATTAATAATTAAGTAAGGAATAATTTTAAAGAAATAATAATTCAATGAATAATAATAATAAGACTTGTTATAAATAACATAAGAAATAATTGAATCGTGAATTTTAAATGAGGCTCCAACTCTAAAAATCGTAAAAGTCATTTTTAGTTTTTACATATAACAATAAATGATAGTGAAAATGACAGGGCTACTATAATTTTCAGTAACTATTCGCCCCGATTTAAATCAAATTTTTCATTTAAAATAGGTTTTTAAGTCAACTTTAAGTTCATAATAATTAACGTCGTTTTATCAAAAATTATTTGCTTCTTGGCCTTCAGAACAAATTTTTTGACTTCTTGCGTTAATGAAAACATTAGTAACTTCAGTTTCATAACAAAAGTTAGTCCAATGTCCTGATTTCGTATTTTATATGAAAAAGATGAATCAATAAATTGGATTTAGTAGAAGGTTAAGAATTAAATTTTAAACAATTTTTAAACAATTAAATGTTGCATTTGAATAAAAATCACAATTTTCTATCAATAGGAAACGATTTAAGCAACATAATCTAATGTTTAACAAATATTTCTTAATAACAAAAAATTGTAATTTTTATTCAAATGCAACTTTTAATTGTTTAAATTGTTGCAAATTAAATTTTTTATCCTTCTGCTTGTTTAAAGTTTTAAATTCAAAAAATAAAAATATATCTTATTAAAAATAAAGACTGTTAATTAAACAGAAAGTAGACATTTATTTTTCAAACATGTTCTGTTAAATAGTTTCTTAAGAAAAATAAAAGCAGCTTTTCTTTGTTGCTGCTATTATAAAATTAATTTTTCATTATTATTATTACTAAAAAAACCAAGTTCCAGAAAAATTTGATTTACATAAAAAAGTTGAAGTTTTTAAATTTTTTTTTAAATCATGATTATCAACAGCTGTGTTGTGTATCAAAGTTTGTCTTTTTATGATGTTTCGAGTAAAAAAATTTTTGATCGTTTCTGCTTTATCAAATCTTTGTTGAAGATATTTCAAAGTAAATTAAAAAAGAGAGCTGATCAATTTTTTTACTATACCTACAAATTATACAACAAATTGTAAAATAAAACACTAAGTTTTTCACTAAAATCGACAATTTTTTTTAAATTATATATTATCTAGATATTAAATAATATTTTTTTCTTTTTTTAATATAATATTAACTGAAAAAAAAAATTTATTTTTTTTAAATAACCGATTATTTGACTATTATCAGTATTATCAATGAAATATTTACTTGAATCAAATCAAATTTATTTATCAAATCAAATAAATTTGTTTCCATTGTATTATTACATAACATTATTATAATTATAAAATTATCATTTAAATACTTTTAAATAACTAAAAAAATTATTTCAATAAGAGCTTTTTTAAACGTTTCGAACGATATTTTTCAAAAACTTGCAATTAGCATTTTTAACATTAAGTAAATAACAATTCAATTTCTAATGCACATTTTAAATTATTTTAAGAGAAACAGTTTTAAAATTTTAATCGTTTTCATGATTTTTATGCACACAAATTTTCCGCTTTTACGAATTTTTTTCTTTTAACTGACAAAGAATTAAATAATTGAAAAATCTATAAAAATATAATTAACGGAATGGTAATGAGGCTGGGGAGGGTGGTCTAAAAAATATGAAAAATTGGTAACGTAGTTTATGGACGGGCCCTAATGTTTTTAAATTCAAAAAATCGATGTTTTGTCCTAGTTTAAACAAATAAATGAAAAATATTCATTTATCTTTGTTTTAAACATTAAATGTACTTGGAAACAAGCTTTATTTGGAATAGATGCAAATTTTCCCACATTAGCGAAATTTTTAGTTGTTTCAGTCAAAACTTTCGCTATTCTAAAGAAATTTATCGCTGTTCCATGTGAAGTTTTTTTTCTATATGTAGATTATTTAAAAAAATTATTAAAATTTCTTGAAATTTGTCTCGAGTCTAATTTTCTTTATTATTTCAAAATTAGAAGTGAATCAAATTTATTATATTATTATTATATTAAATATTATACTTTATAATAAACAATTTTACCTTAATTTTTTTTAAATATTGCTAATACAATACTTTCCTATAGTGTGAAACTTGTTTTAATAAGTTATTTTTTTTGCATTGATTTCAGGCGAAGAAGGAAATATATGATGTTAAACAGCAAAGGTTGTGTCTTGCACAGGACGAATACAATCACCTAAACAATGCCTTAACGACACTCGGTGCTTCTAGGACCAGTTGTAAGTCAAATTTTACTCAAATTAACAACTTTTTAGTCAATAAAACCGTACGTTTAAAAAAATATTACAACTTTGTCAATAAGAATCGTATATTTTTAACAAAATCTGCTTTGCTATTTACATATTGTATTTTAAAAATTAAAAATAATGAATATTCAAATGTTTTAATGAATTGGAAAAACATTACAAGAAATTAATAAATGCGCAAAGCATAATGTACATATAACACTGCGTATTTTAATTCTCCATGAAAACTAAGAAAGTTTCGTGAATTCGTTCAGTCTTTCGTAAACAGTTTAACATTAAATCGAGGACAGCTGTCACTCACTGATTATTAAAATTCTATTACTCCTTTCTAATATTTTCAATGATGTTTTCAATTTATTAAAGATTCTTTAATTCTCTTTAATTCCCTTTAAATAGTTCGTATTTACAAACTATTCATTGTTGGTTGACTTCTTTTTATTTACTTTTTGCTTCAATAATTAGTAAAAAAATACCTAATTATAAAGAAGAATTAAATAAATTACTGTGGAAATTTTTGCTATTTTGACACAACCTTCAAAAAAATTATTTTTTAATAAATTATTAGTAATAAAAATATCTATCAACAGGAAATAAAAAAAGATTATTAAAAAAGTAACTAGTAAAATTTAACTATTGTATTAAATTGAAACAAAAAGAAAGAAGAATTTAATTGAATTAAATAAAGAAGTAATTTATGATAATATAATTTATTTTATTAAGTGTCAACAATTTATTCTTAACACTTTTTGAAACATTAGAAGAAAAAAGTTAAAAATTCAATTTTTCTCACATAAAAAAGATAACATTTTTTGGTTTTGTTACTAAAATCGTTTTTTAATCTTCATCTTATGGAAATTTTATAAATGGTTCAAAGCGGTAATAATAAATAAATAAAAAATCTTCACTGAAATATTAATAAATATTTATTTTTTAATTATTATTTGTCAATATAAATATTTTACAATTCTAAACATTTCTGAATTTGTGCTGTAGACCAAAAAGCTCTAAAAAACATTTTTGAATAATATGACAACAAAAAATTTTTTAAATTTCTCTTTATTATCGGACGATAATCAAACCTTTTACTTTATTCGATTTCTACGTTGATAAATATTTTATGATTCAGCTTATCGATAAAAAGGGTGTTTAAAAAAATTTTAAAAGGTGTAAAAATTTTGAATTTCAAAAATTACTAAATTTTAACACCTTTTTTATCGATATACATAATTTCTCGTAAAATGTTATTATCAGAAGAAATTTCTAGTGTTTTTAAATGAATGGAAATTCAAAGTAAATATATAATAAGAATTTTGACTCAAAAATGCTTTTGAATTAAGACAAAGAATATTGAGTTTCCACGATTGAAAATAAGTTATTTAATTTTTAAATAAAGTCAGTGGTTAATGGTTTGCAATACGTTTAAAAATTTCCAAACTTTCTTTCATCAGACAATGTTGTTTCGCAGAATAAATTTTTGAATGCAAAAGAGTAAACAAATTGCGAAATTTACAACTTATTGTAATTCGACATTAAAAAACGTCGGAAAGAATTTAAACTCGATTTTGTTTTACAAATTAACGCGTACGGAGCTATTTTCAAGAAACAAAGTTTTCGAGAATTTCAAAATAAGGTAGCAATAAATTTTTTAATCAAAATTTGAAGATTATATTTAAAAAACTACGTTTCTTTTAAATGCTACATCGGAAAAAAATTGAATTTGAAAATTTGAAATTTGGAAATTTATTTTTCCGTTTAGATTGAATAGAAGTGAATAACCAATAAATATATATAAATATGTAGCAGAATTTTAGAAGGTTATAAATGCTTTTTGCCGTAAAGTATGTACATTCAATCCGACATTGATATTGACTCCTGGTTTCATTTCCTGCAACATTGCTATCCGTTACCGTTTGTTGACCCTATTTTCGACACTAAATTTTTAAAGCGTTTTGTCTCTTTTTTGGATAAAGATAAATCAACGAATTGTATTTATTTATTTATTATTCATTATCAATCGACAAGGAAAAACGAAAGTAAAAAATGGACTATTAAATGGCAGATCATTTTTCTATAATTTTAATCCACTGCTAAGTCAAATTACTGATTTTAGTCAATAATTAAATTAATTACAAAAATATGTACATTTATAACGCTTTTTTATTGGACAAAACTTTTGATATTCAATAACTAAAAAGAATATTATTAAAAAACATGAAGATGTTATATAATAATAAGGTAATATTGACCGAATGATAAAATCATTATTTTATATTATAAAAATATTGTTACTCTTACTTCTTCAAAATTATTTTCACCTTTTCAATTCAATTATTATTTTCTAGAATTTTTAGCTAAAATTCTTTTCTAAATCAATTATTTCTAAAAATTCACGCTGTAATGCTTTTAATATTCAATTATTATCTGAAATTTTAACTGAAATTCATTTTTGAATCAATTCTAATTACAAAATTCTACGAGATTTCAATTATTTAAATACAGTGATTAATAATTTATTGAATAATTGAATGTTTCTTAAAATTGAAGTCTCATAAAGAATTTTATCAATAAATTTTTTAATAATTAAATTCTTTCGAGGAATTCGATTAAAATTGTATTAAAAATGATTGAAAATCAGCGATGAGTTTTATTATGTATGAAAATAATGGAATTCCGGTAAAAATTTTATTATTTATGAAAATATGTAACTTAATTATTGCGAAGAAATTTACATAAAATTTGTAAATATACTTAAATTCCTATGAAATTTTTAATATTTATGAAAGTAATAAAATGTTTGCGTAGATTTTTGTTAAAATTTTTTTAAATACATAATTGAATTCTTTTGGAAAATTTTATTAAAATATTATATATTTAAAATCATTCAATTGAAGAAAATTTTTGAAAATAATTGAATTTTTGCCAAGAATTTTATTAAAATTTTTGAAAATAATTGAATTTCCAAAAAAAAATTTTTATAATTATAAAAATAATTGAAATTTTGACGAGAATGTTATTAAAATTTTTGAAAATAATTGAATTTCGGAAAAGAATTTTAGTATTTATAAAGATAATTGAAATTTTTATAAGAATTTTTTTTTTAATTAAAATTAAAAAGAATATGCTTTTTAATTTTTCTATATTATAATTAAATTTTAAGAATTAAATAGTGTTTAAATAATGAAAACTCTGTAAAATTTTAATGAAAATAATTGATTTTTTAAAGTATTTTATTAAAATTTTTGAAAAAACAGTTTTGAAAAATTTTAATTGCAAATTTTAAAAATAATTCTTAATTTTCAAAAGTTGTTATAAAAAATCGAAATGAAAATTAATAGTTTTGAAAAAAGTTTTTATTAAGAAATTATTTCAGAATGTTGTTATTATAATTTTTTAAATTCATTTTTGCACCAACTGTGACGTCATAATGATCAAAAGTTCAATATTATTGTCAAAAATTTTTACTCAGTTTTAATTATTTGGAAATTTTTTCAATTATTTGTAATAAAAAAATGTATTACCATTAAAAAGTTATGTAAAAATATTTTTTAAAAATTAATTTTAAGAATTTGTTTAGTACAATTTTTTTAAATTCAATTATTTTCTACATTTACGGTTTTATATTTTCAATAATTCACCTTAATACTTCACTTTAAAGAGAAATTATGAGGCTTTGCAATTGCAATTATTATAAAAAATTGAATTTTTGTACTCAAATAATTGAATTCTCGAAAAACTTTTGGAAAATTATTAAAAGTAATTGATTCAGAGAAGAAGTTTAGATAAAAGTTGTTGTAAATAATAACTGAAATTTGGAAAAATTGCAGTTTTAATTGTTAAAAATAGTTAATTAATTTTAAGAATTTTTGAAGTTGAAATTTTTTAAATTATTGAAATTCCCGTGGAAAAATAAATAACAAGTATTTAAATTTGTTTATTTAACAAAAGTATTTTTTAGAACTAATTTTTATATAGTTTCATAATTCTTAAAATTAATTTTTATATAGTTTCATAATTCTTAAAATTCATTGTTGAATAATTGAATTTAGAAAGCAGTGAAAAGTTCAGAAAATTATTGTGACAATACTAAATGAAATGAGCGACTTTTTCAACTTGCCTGATATTTACATTTTAGATTTTGGTTTTTGAACGCGGAAAAAATAATTGTTTGTTTTGATTAGTGTGTTCTAGTTCAAGTTCATTGAGCACCAAATATGATCCAGATCTACTTAAATCTGACGTGGCGCTCGCCAGGAGTCGAGTTTCACGATTGAAAAGAGAATTGGAGCAAATTCGCGCGGAGATGAATTGCACTCAACGGGGAGTGGACACTCTGGCAAGGTATGGAATTTCTCTGCATGTCAAATAATTATGTCGAACACTTTCTACATTAATGGACGAAATTAAACACATTATTCCTTTTTCAGTGTGGAACAAAAGCTAAATACTCATAATGGTGGTTGTTACAATATTACGGAAGCGCAGGCAATTATGTCCGAATTGAGGAACATCCAAAAGTCCCTGATATCCGGGGAGAAGGAGAAGGCCGAACTGATGCAGTCGCTGGCGCAATTGAAGGACGAATTGACGAGGCTGCAGCTGTGTGAGGGCAGTCCCGACGCCAGCACGCTGAGTCTGCCGCAGGAGAAGCTGAGCACTGCCTCGCAGACGGACCTGTCGGGCGAAATCGTGCCCATCGGCACGAGACTCGCCGAGATGGCGCGCATGCGGCTGCAGTACGACGAGGCGCGCAAGCGGATCCAGCACATCCAGCAGCAGCTGGCCGACCTGGAGGAGAAGGTCACTCCGGGCCAGACGGAGAGCGACAAGGACAAGCTGCTCTTGTTCCAGGAGAAGGAGCAACTGCTTCGGGAGCTGAGAAGTATTACCTCCCGATCGAGGAGTCAGCAGGATATGAAGAAGATCCAGACGGAGATCAAGCGCCTGGAGCAGGACCTGAACAACGCTCTCGAGTTGTCGAACAAGACGATCACGGACCGCGTGCGACTCCACGAGGAGAAGAATCTGCTGCTGCAGCAGCTGAGGGACGCGCTGCGCTCCATGACGATGCTGGAGGGCCAGCTGAAGACGCTGAGCGCGAGCACGCTGTCGGTGAGCAGCAGCTCGAGCCTGGGCAGCCTCAGCACCACCAGCAGCAAGGGCTCGCTCAGCTCCGGCCTCAGCTTCACCGACATCTACGGCGGGCCGCAGTGTCTGGGCTCCGTGCCGCAGGAGCGACCGGTCGACATGGTGGACCTGCACCGGCGCGTGGAGCGACTCCTCAAGGGGTCGGAGCAGAATCTCAGCACCCCGTCGCCGGGCAGGTCGCAGCCGAGCCTCTCGCCCAGGTCTAGTCTCTCGAGCGTCAGTCCGCCCGTGTCTCCGCTCTACGAGAACGCGCCGGTCGGGCCGCCGCCGGCCTACGAGCAGATCGAGCTGCAGCGCAAGCAGCAGCAGCGGCTCATCGGCTTCTCCCCCACGACGCAGCAGTTCGACCGGAACCAGCTGGAGGACAAGCTCGCGGAGCTGCGCATGAGTCAGCAGAGCATTCAGGAGCAGCTCTCGCTCAACTCGGCGAATGCGGAGCACCTCAAGGTCAGCACGCAGCCCTACATGGAGATGCAGTCGGGCAACATGTCGCAAGGAAGCGGCCTGGGAAGGCCGGCGCTGACCCAGGATCCCCCGCTGTCGCCGATCAGCGAGACGCCGCCGCCCATTGGCATCAGGTCCAGGGCCAGTAGTTCTGGCACGAATACGAGGTCCGTCTCTGCAGCAGTTTCCGACGAAAGCGTTGCCGGAGATTCTGGTGTATTCGAGGCCTCCAATCGCAGGAGAATGTCAGGATTGCTCGGCGTTGATGCCCTGAGTCTTGGCGATACTAATCTAGAAACTGCTCAAGTGCAAATTAAACTTAGGTAAATAGTTATTCATTCCTATTCGATCACTCCAAAAATTACTAAATACTGACAAAAATATTCTATTACATTTATTTAAGAATTTTTTTAATTGTAAAATTATTCGAAAAAATCAATAACTTTTTTTTTAATAAATATTTAACCAATATTATTTTTCCATAGAAATTAAGAATTTCAAAAATTTCAAATTCAAATCTTTTTAAATTCAATAACTTATAAGAATATTTTTATAAAACATGACCGAGTGATAAAAATAAGAATATTGTTACTATAACTTTTTAAAAATTATTTTCACCATTTCAATTCAATTATAATTTTCTACAAGTTTTAACTAAAATTCTTCTTTAAATCAATTATTTTTAATTTTAATAACATTTTTAAGAATAATTACATTTTTCGAGAAATTCGATTAAAAAAGTAATAAAAATAATTGAAATTCTATGATAAATTTTATTATTTATTTAATTGAATTCCTGTGAAATTTTTATTATTTACGAAAATAATTAAATGTTTGTATTCATCTACTGTCTAAAATTTAAACTAAAATTCATTTTTAAATCAGCTTTTATTAAAAAATTCTACGAGAATTCAAATATTCAAATACAAAAATAAATAATTTCCAAGTATTTATAAAAATAAAAGATGAACAAATAAAAATTGTAAAAATACAAATTTAATTATTTCGAGGAGAATTTAAGTTTTTACGGGGAATTTAATTAATATTGTATTGAAATTGAAAGTAATTGAATTTTCTACTAAAAAATTTATCTCAATTTTTAAAAATTGTCTATCAACAAATTTTGTTAAACTGTTTAAAAATAATTAAATTTCATCAAGAAGCTTTAATCAAATTGTATTGAAAAGTAATTAAATTTTTCCGAAGAATTTTATAATTAATGAGAATAATTAAATTCTTGCAAAGAATTTCATTAAATTTAATCATTGAAATGAAGAAAATTTTTGAAAATAATTGTAATTTTTCCAAGAATTTTACTAAAATGTTTGAAAATAATTGAATTTTAGAGAAGAGTTTTATTCGATTATTCAGAAATTCTTTAATTAAATGTAAATTAATAAATAAAAAATTAAAATAATTTTTAAAAAAATTCAATTAGACTTTTAAAAAAAAATTATTCTACAGAATTATTTGTTAAAAGTATGAAAAATTCAGATTTTCAAAGATTTTTATTTCAATTATTTCTTAAAATTCACATTATATCTAATATTTTTAATTCTCAATTTTTAGTTAAACTTTTAACTGAAATTCATTTTTAAATCAATTTTTATTCGAAAATTTTACGAAAATTCAATTATTTAAATACAAAAATAAATAATTTATTAAAAATGATTGAATGTTTCTTAAATTGTATTAAAAATAATTGAAATTTTGTTATGAGTTATATTATTTAAGAAAATAATTGAATTCCTAAAAAGAATTCTTGTGAAGAAGTTTATGAAAAATTCGTAAATAAATAGATTTTTTGGAAAATTTTATTAAATTAGTAGATATGGAAGACTATTGAATCGAGGAACATTTTAGAAAATAATTGATATATATTTTGAAAAGAATTTTTTTTTTAAATTTTCATAAATAATTGGATTTTTGAGAAGAATTTTATTAATTTTTTAAAGATAATTGAAATTCTGACTGGGTTTTCAAAAATTTTTTGAACATAATTGAATTTCTTCGAAGAAATTTGTAACTTTTGAAAATAATTGTATTTTTGCAATAATTTGTAACTTTCTCCATATTTCAATTTTTGTTTAGTGTTTTTAACTAAAATTCTTTCTTAAATCAATTATTTTTTATAATTAATTAAATATACAGCTGGTAATTATTCAAAAAACTGTTTCGTTCATGAACGTTGTGGATTTTAATTTCGTCTGGCAACCGAAAACTATTTCAAAGAAAAATGAGTACATATTGTGATCCCTGAGATTAAAGGAATTCATACGGAATTGTAGATTAAAACTGGTTGAATTATGAAATTATAAGTTACGCAATTCACGAGATTCAGACTTGAGAAATATTTTGCTTTAAAACACAGTTGCAAATATAATGTCATGACAATATCTTAATTCAAACATTTTTTCGCTTTTTTTACATGCAGAGAAATATGTTTTGTTTAAATCATTTATTTGAGTTAAATAAAAGTATATTTGTCTAAAAGTCTTCTAAATTACTTGTTTTTATTTTTTATCTATTTTATTTAGCACCAATGGAATTATTATTTGAAGCAAGTAAAATTTAATTTGAATCAAATGAAATTTATTTGAAACAAACAAATATTTAGTAGATTCTGGGTCAAATATAACTTTTTTCTGTGTGTTACGTATATTTTTTTTAATAAAATAAAAATGTCTGAGTATTCAACATTAATAAGTTTAAATTTTAATTTTTCTAGGTATTCCGTTAGTGATGGTCTTCTTCACATTGGTATCGAGCGTGCAAGAAATTTAGCAGCTCTATTCATCCCTGAAAATTCACAAGTGTAAGTATTAAATAATCTTTAAATAATAAAAAATTACTATTTTGCTAGCTTATGTACTTATAAATTGAAAATACTATAATTTTTTGAACTATCTCTCAATTCTTATAATACAAGAATTAATTTGCGCCAATAACGAGAAAATAAAATTTATCCTCTAGTTTGGGGAAATGAAGATTTTCAGGGAAATAATTGTTATTTGTTTAATGCAATGGGATTATTATTTTATGGTAGCAAATAGTTTCTACTGGGGGTTATCTTTCTTGCATAATAGTCTATTGAGCATTGTTGATTTGTTTAGCATCTAAATATTGAGTTTAATTTGTTTTAACAAATTTTGAAATTGTTTTGTTTGTTAATTTAGATATATCAAAGCAGCGTTACTTCCGATGCAGTCGTCTTTGAATCACATGTGCTATACGAAACCGGTTAGTGATTTGCGAAAGCCGACTTTCGGAGAAACGTTCCCTATCTCTGTACCGCTAAATAAACTCTACACGAAAACATTGCAAGTTAATGTTTGGTGCACTGGAGGAGAATCAGATGAGTGTTTGGTATGTCATTTTTCATGTTCAACTGTTGTTGTTCACTCTTATTTATTTAAAAATAGAAGTTATTGATGTTTTCGAATAATTTTCTAATTAAAGAAATTCGCAAATAAATGCAATAGAACATTTTTTTTGAGATCTAATAATTTTTAGAGTGTATCAGAATATTCTTTAGTGTCAGGGAAAAAGTTTAAATTTTGTCCAGAAATTAGGGAAAAACATAATTAAATTTTTGTGGCAACCGTGATAAAGTTAGTGGCGAGAATTGAGTCAACACCACAGTGTGAATATTTTATTTTTGTGTCAGGTTTGTGAAGGAAGAAAGAAACTTTTTTTAATGAAAGCAACTTTTGATTACAGGGATCAGCTCAAGTCTCCCTAGCTGATTTCAGTCCCGATATGCTCAGTGTGAAGTGGTACAACATACTCTCATTCCACTTTATGCAACCTTCTACCGCAGATTGCATGAATGTCAGTACCAGCAGTAGCGTCTTTCCCGGCTTCAAGCAGGGGAAGCACGACAAGCAGGAATCTGATTTGTCCATGTACCGTGGAATGCAATCGCAGAACACAAAAGAAGAAAGCAGCGACGAAAGCACTATTATCAGTTCTCAGACTTCGACTCTGACGAGGAACCAAGGCTGCAATGAATTGCAGACTGCAGTTTCTCTGAAACTGGAGGAGTTGACCAACTGCCTGAAAACTCAGGACGAGGAAGACGAGGTTGAGAATAGTGACGAGGGTAGTAGCAGTAGTGAAAGTGGGAGCGAGAACAGCGACGAGGAGGGAATCATGGTCGAATTTATGGAAGAGAACGTGCTTGAAGATGTGCTCGAACATGAGGTAACTTTCCTTTTTTGTGTCACAATTTTTTTAGTCAAATTGAAAATAAGGTCGAAATTAAAATTTTTGACTGAAAAATCACTATTTTATTTAAATTGTGTCTGGAATTTCAGGAGGAGAATGAGGAACATCTCGATGAATTTAATCAGACCCTGGACAAGGAAACTAATACGGAATGTATTTTCATTCCGGAACAGGGGAAACAGAGGAAACTTTCAGCTGCTGGGGTAGTGCCCGGTGTTATTCACGGAGATAAAAATTCTATCGTCATCAAGAGGAGTCAAACTTTTTCCCCTAGCGCAGCAGTGAACAGAAATCATTACATTTGTCGAGTAAGTGCAATAATTAGTCCCTTTTTTTCACTCGCGAGAATATTGAGATTTAATTATTGAATTTTATTAAAAATTTTAGAAAATAATTAAATACTTTTCAGAATTTTATTATAATTTTCTAAAATAATTTAATCCATTCAAGGAATTTCATTAAAATTTAGAAAGTAATTGAATTCTTTCGAAGAATAGATATCATTAAAGGTTTTAATATAATTTTTTGCAAGAATTCAATTATTTTCATAAATAATAACATTCTTCGGGAAGAATTTAATTATTTTTATAAACAATAAAATTTTTTGCAAAAAATCAATTATTTTCTAAAATTTTAATAAATCCATTTAACCAATTCAATTATTTTTTTAAATAGTCTTGGCAAACATTCAATTATTTTCAAAAAAATTTTACTAACGAATTAAATTTATTTCTTAATTCGTTATAAAAGTTTCAAAAGAATTCAATTACTTTTAAAAATAGTATTGCAAAAATTCAACTATTTTTAATACAATTTTCATAAAATTTCAGGAAGGAATTTAATTTAAAAAAAAATTTTAATATTTTTCGAAAAAAATTCAATTATTTTCTAAAATTTTAATAAATCCTTCGAAACAGTTGAATTTTTTTTTAATATTTCGAAAAAATCAAATATTCAATTATAATAATTATTAACAGACACGATTATTTTAAAAATTGGAAAAAAATTCTTTGTTTAATTAAATTATTTTGAAGAATTTCTATAAGTCTTTTTAAACTAATATAGTTTTTTGAATAATTTTAATTGAAAATATTGAAAATAATTAATTTTAACAAAAAATTTTTTGAAGTAACCGTTTCTATTAATAAATTAAAATTAAACATTTGATTATTGAAGTTTATTGAAATTTTATTGAATATAATTGAATTCCTGAGAAGAATTTTATTATTTATAAAAATAATTGAATTTTTTCGAAAAATATTATTAAATATTAAAAAAAACATTTCTTTCATGAAATTTTAATAACATTGCATTAAAAATAATTTATTTTTTGCAAAAAAAAAATGTACTATTTTTAAAACTAATCGAATTCTTTTGAAGAATTTATTAAAATTTTAGAAAATAATTTAATACTGTCAACAAATTTTGTTAAACTTTTTAAAAATAATTCATCAATAATTTTATAATTTATGAAAATAATTGAATTTTGCGGAAAATTTGATTAAATTTTTTTAAATTACCAATTGAATTCTTTTGGAAAATTTTATTAAAATAGTAGAGATACTGAAAATAATTCTTTAAATAATTTTTGAAATAAATTAAATTTTTACGAAGAAATAACATTTTTTTTGAAAATAATTGAATTGTTACGAAGAATTTCATTAAAATCTTTTATAATAATTGAATTCTTTCAAGAAATTGAACTAAAAATGTATTAAAAATAATTATTAAATATTATCAATCCAATTATATCAAGATTGTTTAGAATAATTTAATTTTTGCAAAGAATTTTATTATTTATAAAAATAATTGAATTTTTGCAAAAATTTTACTATTATTTTTGAAAATAATTTAATTCTTGCTAAGAATTGTATTAAAATTTTTGAAAATATAAACAATAATAATTAATTGTGTACTTAATAAGTGAATTTTGTAAATTTTATTTGTTTGCTTTGTAAAATAAATTTTGATTATGAAATAATTGAAAAATTCAAATTTGAAAATAAAAAAATTTGTAATTTACATAATAGTAATAATAATAAATTTTTTGAATAAATTATTTTCAGCTGAATCGTAGTGACAGTGACAGCAGTATGCCACTGTACAGGAGAGGCGGTCCCTTCCAACGAAATTCCGTCGAACGAAGATCGTTACGATGGCGTCGATCCACGTCTGCCTTTAGTTGTAAGTCTGCATCGAAAAAGTCAACTCATTTACCTCCGGCTGTGAGAACATCGTTGGATCTTGAACTCGATCTTCAAGCGCAGAATGCAAGATTGAACAATCTTCAGGACGAACTCAATAGACTTAGGAGCATAAAACAGAGATTGGAGCAGGCTCGCGAGAAAGGAGACACCGACCTGGTCTCCTGGCTACTGGAGGATCAAAAATTTCAAATGCTAATGGAACAAGCTGAGAGTGGACGGAATGGTAAAAATGCCGAGGAGAGGAAGGTTGAGAAAATGTTTAAAAAGACTTCAAAAGAAATTTACAAATTGAGGAAAACAAAAGCTGGAAATGGAAAACCTGACATAATATCTTTCAAGTATGTATTCAATTAACTTTTTTCTTTTACTGCTAATCGGAGATGTTAAAAATCATGATTAAAAAAAAATGAAATAATAAAAAATACATGTCTTTGATTTATATTCTGATTTAAATCATGATTTAAATTATAGCAGTCCTGCTGCTAATTTATAGAGAAAACTTGAACTAAATTTCTAAATTTTTCTTTTCAGAGAAAAGATGGCATTTTTCACTCGCGTGAACCTAAAAGTACCTGTATTTTCTCCTGACGATATTCCGAATGAAAGTATTGCAGTGTTTCCAACTCTACCGGCGATAACACACAGAAGACACGCATCCGAACCAATAAGTAATCAATCATCAATCGTAGGCATAGGAAAAGTTGACATTCAATGTAGTACGCAAAATTGTTTATCGTCAAATAATCCAAAAACAATTAGCACAGTTACAACATCGACGACGAAAAACATTAGTATTATAGCGATTGCAAAAGACAAAGCATGTACACCGGTTCCGGAGTCGGAGAGCGATCCAGATCCAAGCGACAAGAATCCCGAGAATCCCGAGAATTCCGAAGAATTGTCAGGCGACGAGCCTAAGCGTTACGAATATGTTGTCGACAGAGTTCTAGGCGTCGAGGTTTGAAAAGTAAAAGTTCCAAGACTAGTCTTCTAACGATATTTGAGATTTAGACAATGTTTTTACTGGCGATTATTTCGAATATAAGTAGAATGTAATAACGATAGCTCAGGGGTAAAGTGGGATGCTGCTTACAGTTTAAAAAGTGTGGTGCTACTGATTTAACAAAAAGTTTATACGCATATAATCTTTTTTTTTAAACAATGGCAAAATGTACTTTCAAAAGCATTAATTTATAAATTTTATAAATTTCAAATTAGGTGCCATGCAAGTAAGTCTTAAAGGCAATCAAAATTTTCACTCAACAAAGTATGCATGAAAAAAGTAAATCTTGTATTCGGTGTCGATGGTTCAAAAGGTGAAAGAGCTTAAGCTTCAAAATGTTTTTTTTAAGTTTGTACAAAAGCATGAATACATATTAATATATAAGTATGATTCGAAAATGAACTTGTAGATAATGTATGTGTCTGTTAAATGAGCGCCTGCTTAAATAATTATTTAATAAGGAACAATCGTATTCGTATTTTTAAACGCGTTCTCTGTAACAACTCATTTGATAATAATTATTACAGGAGGAATATTAATGAAATTTGTAAAATAGATTTGTTGTGTACAGAATAGGATACTTATAGAAAGCACACTATTTTCAGTTAGCTAAATATTTAATAAAATTCATTGAAATTGTAGTTTTAATTTTCATATACGTATCAAAATTTAAGCATATTTTTTATACTTTTACTTCGTGAGGTGAGGGTCAATGAGAGCAGCTGGTCTGCAGAATCTCCCTCGCTGAAAACTGAATTAATATTTTCAACAATCAATTTCTAACAATCAATTTCTATGCAACAATGACTTTTTACTAAATAATAATAATAATATTATATTAATAATGATAATAATAATAATAATAATGTAAATAAATTATTTAAATATATTCGCGACTACGTGCCTTTAAATTAAAAGAAAATGATTGTTCATACTGTAAAGTGGAAAAAATTGAAAGCAACTAGAAAGCAAATTAGGGATTTATTATTTATAATCGATAATCGATAAACGATAAATAAAATACCATTCTGTATATGGAGAATACGTCCACTAACGCTGTTGTAGATTAACAGTAGCATTTTTCCCATTACGATAGTAATCATAAAAGTTTTTATTTCCTTAAATGTAATATTAAATGTCTACTCATTACGAACTACGAACAATAATCACTGATTAAATATGTAAAAGGAAATTATTGCAGCGCAGCATTAAAAAAAGTGCCTTAAAAATGTGACTTCCAAAGGATGTATTATATGTAGATATGAAGTAAATTTAATTAATAAACCCTAGAATTGCATACATTTTTTCAAATACAACATGGCCTTCATTGCTCGCGATATGTTGTCATCGCCCTTCGCATTCTGTATAAATAATAAACATTAATGACTGTCTTTTAATATAACTATTTATTTACTTTTATACAATGTCACATTCATATTCAAAATAGATTAAAGTGTAAGAATACCTGGTGTTTTTTTAAAGATAAAAAAAATTATTTTTTTAAAAATTATCATGCGCAGAGCTTTGTAAATTTTTAAAAGTTATAGAATTAATTACAAGTTAAATACTTAAATATAGAAAAAGTTTTATTTTATTTTATTTAACAGCATTGTACCTAGAACTTATTAAATTCTGTATTCATTTATCAGTGCTGACAATGATTTTTTTTTAAATAACTTAATTCTTGCAAATAACAACCATAAAATTATTACATATAAATTACTAAATGAATAATTTTACTTAAATATTTCAAAATTAATTCAATTTTAAATGCATTTACAATTTTCATAAGATTTCAAATTGAAATTTTTGAAAATTTCAATTTTTAATTAATTAAATTAGAAATTTTAAAAAAATGTTGATAATTCAAATTTCTCTGAAATTATAGTTCAATTTTTAATATTTAATTAATAATTAAAAATAATGGACTTATAGAAGAATTCTTGTTGAAGACACTAAAAAAAATTGAATTTTGAAGAAGTTTAAAATGATTGCAGAAATTCAATAACTATTTTCAAAAGTAATATAATTCTTCGGAAAAAATCAATTATTTAAAAAAAATTTTATAAAATACTTGTCAAGTATTCAATTAGTTTTATAAATAGTAAAATTCTTCGCAAGAATTCAATTATTTTTATAAATAATAAAATTCATTTTAGGAATTTAATTTTATCTTTATATTAAAATTCTTCGCAAAAATTCAATTTTTAATTAATTAATTAATTCAATTCTAAAGAATTTAATTATTTTCAAAAATTTTAATGAAATTCTTCGTAACAAATTAATTATTTTCTAACATTTTTTAATATCTTCGTAGAAATTTAATTTATTTAAAAAAATTATCGACATTCAATTATTTTCAATATCTACTATTTTAATAAAATTTTCAAAAAGCATTCAATTATTTAAAAAAAATTTAATGAAATTCTTCGCAAAATTCAATTATTTTAATAAATTATAAAATTCTTCGGCTAAATCTAATTATTTTCAATATAATTTAAATATAGTATTTCTTGATGAATTATTTTTAAAAAGTTTAACAAAATTTGTCCATAGAATTCACTTATTTTTAAAACTTATGATAAACTTTTTAGAAGAATTAAATTATTTTCAGTACAATTTTAATTAAATTACTTGTACGTAATGAAATTCTTCTTGAAATAATTGAATTTGTATTTTTGAAAATTTTATTTGTTTTATTATTTATTTATCTATTATTTTCATATAAACAATAAAATTTTTACAGGAATTTAATATAAACAATTTTTTTTAATATCTAATAATTTTTAGAGTGAATCAAGTTTTTGTAGCAACCCTCATGGAGAATAGACTCTCCATGGCAACCCTAATGATAAATTTTATATGGGTTTTTGTTTTATAAAAAGAACCCAAGTAAACGCACGGAGAAAAATATAAAGTAACTTTTACTACTTTTATAGTAAAAAATTTGCGGTAAAGCATTTCTAGTAATTTTTACTACTTTTGGAAAAAATTTTCTTATGTTCGAAGTACATATTTGTAAAAATTAGTAAAATTTACTTCGAACGTAGCAAAATTTACTCCGAAAGCAGTAAAAATTACCAGAAATGCTATATCGGAAATTTTTTACTATAAAAGTAGTAAAAGTTATTTTATATTTTTCTCTGCGAGGCAATATTACTTAGGTGGGGTATTTTAACCTTAACCCGATTGGGTCAATTTGTCCCACAAAAAATTTTTGTCCGAAAAATTATTAGATAAAGTTGAAAAGTGAGTGATTAGACTCATTATAATTTAGTTAAAGTTTGTTCCTATAGTTTCAACCCTTTTTTGAAAATTTCGCTCTATCCTTTATTGTAATTGTTCATATGTATTTATAAAATTTAATTTTTTCAACCAAAATAATATAATAATAAGATAATGGACCCCGCAAGGAAAAGTATTAATCACTTATCGATCATGTGAATAGTAATTGTAAGCCCCCTATGTATTTAATTTATTAAAATTAATAGCTACTAATTTCATGAATACAATTTGAAAATGTTTATAAATAATTGCCCTTTTTTTAAAAAAAACATAAATAATAAATGTGGAATTTCTATGTTATCAACGGTGATAAAGATGATAAAACCCCTACGGAGGGACAGCCAAAAAATGAAAGTAGCTCTGTTGTGATTCTATAGGAGTCGCTTTTCGAAACGTTTACCCTTAGCTTAGCATCATGCATCTTAGCAGTGAGACGCGTCGCTTCGTTCAAAAGGGATCGTTATTATCGTAGCTCATGAAGGATTTTATAAAATGCAAAAAAATGATTCTTTAGTTTAATATCAAATATATAATATAGTATTAGGGGCAAATTAGTTTTTCAAACGTAAAACATGTCATTCTACGTTTATTTGTTAATCACTTGGACATTCACCCTACGTGAGTATTTACATTTGCAGATTGACGTTTATATGTTTATAAAATCAGAAAAAACTTCTTCTCTACCCTAAGCTAAACATTTTTTATTTCTCAAATATCAGTTACAATTAACATTCAATTATTCAAATAAATATAGAGAAAAAATTATTTTATTTCATCAACTCACTATTATTCTATTATTAATATTTTTTATTATAAACTATTATATTTATATATTATTATATATTTTATATTTATGTTTTTCCTTCTTGGCAAATTTTTTATTCATCTATTTTTATGTTTTAAACAATTAAAATTACTGTTCTTCATTTATTGATTTATTTAATCTATTTAATTTACTAGAGTTTAAAAACTAAGAGATTTTGAAAATATTAATTATTTATATTATCAAAGTGGATAATTTTTAAATTTAACATTAAGATAAGTTATTTTGACAGAACGAAATATTATCATACAATTTGTATGCAGGCGACATGTGAGGTTTGTAAGGCAGCTTTATAAACATGATTTTCAAACTGAAAAATTTATATTACATTCAACAAAGCATAAATATTGCAGAAATTCACCCAAAGCTAATTAACTTATTAACTTTTCTTTGTAAGAACGCAGAAAGTTTTCAGTAATATTCATAGATATCCGCCTCATGGGATTTTGCTCCCCTAAAGTAATAAAGAAGACTTCCATTGAGATATAAAAAAAGAGTGTTCCTGAATATTCCTTGGGAAGCATCATTTCCTTAATATTCCAGAACAATCGACCTATTTCCTTTATTTTCTACAATTTTCTAGTCTAGTGTGAAAGATTTAAAAACAATGGACAAGCAAAAAGAAAGTCTTGTCTTAAGGCAGCAGTGGGCAGCAGGGAAGTCTTAAATTAAGATGCAACATTTTTAAGGCAATCAATTCTGAATGTATTAAACGTAATGGATTTTGGAGGATTTTACATGAAAGTGAAATTAAAGAAAATTAAGATTTTCTTTTTACCACCTTCACTGTAAAAACAAAGTCTTAAAGTACTTACAGCTCAAACGTGTTTTTTCTTAAATTCAGCTCGTTTTTGGGCTTAAAATAAAAATAAGACAATTATAGGTCTTAAAATCAATTTTCTAATCAGAAATTTAGTCAATATTTAGATTATAATGTAAATTGTTTTGGTCAAAATTTGGCTTAAAACAAGACTTATCTTTAGTAATTTTTATAAATGTATTAGTTTTAATTTTAATTCATATTTGATTTCATTTAATTTCATTAATTAATTAACTAATTAATTTTAGTCGAAAACGGGTTTAAAATAAGACTTATTTTTTATAATATTGGACGTACAGTTATAGATATTACTTTGAAGCTCTTTGCGATCTTCCATATGAGAAGAAACAATTCAATTAACTAATTATTATTATTTAATGATTGAAGCTATCACTCGGCAAATTTTAATAATAGAGTTGAAATTATCGATCACCCCGAGAATTATGCTTGCCGCAATATTGCAAGATTTCAGTAATCTCACTGCAAATAATTTTATTATATTAAAATTTCAATTTTCCCGAAATTATTTTATGGTTTTAATTTGTTTTTCACATGAACCGTCACGGAAATCAAATTTTGATTTCGTTACGATATTCCAAAACAAAAGGAAATTATTAATGTATTTTGATTTTGATACGGTAACGAAACAAAATTTACTTCCTATTTTGATTCTGATATTATAATACTGCAATTCGGTTTTCTTATAGAAACAGAAGTCGATTCGAATTCTACTTCAGATTTCGTATGTAAAAACGATATTATCTTCTGATATATTTGACATTTGCAACAAAATTTAGGTTCAATGAGACTTATACATGCGCAGTAGTATTTTATCAAAATTAAAACAAAAAAGAATTTTGATATTGGAATCAAAACTAAATAGAATGGAATTTTGATTTTGATATTGGAACCAAAACGAAATAGAGTGGAATTTTGATTTTGATATTGGAATCAGAACTAAATAGAGTGAAATTTTGATTCTGATACCTATATCCGAATCAAAACAAAAGTATTTTTTAATTTTGTTTTGATTCCGTGACGGTCCCTGGTTTTTCTTAATAATTATATTATAAATTATAAATTATTATATATTAGGGGCATTTAAAAATGTCGATTTTTAATCTAAAAAATTTTACTTTTTAAAAATCAAATTTAAAAAATTTGTTAAATTAAATTAAGAAAAATCTTTGATAACTTGTAGCAACCTTGCTTTTTAAAAAAAATTAAAAATAAAAAAAAATGTTTTCAAATAAAAATTTTTAAACGGACCCTTTCTGCCCAAAATGGATTTAAAAATAAAAGACCATTCTTTTTTAATGACCATTTTTTTTTTTATTACAGCTTAAGATATGTAGTTACTTTTGACAAATAGTTTTTTTCAATTAAAAATTATTATAATATAGCGTAATAAATAAATAAATGCTAATAAACAAAATGAATAGACTTGCAATATTTTCGAATTTGATCAGAATCGCTTAAAACTTGTTGCTTGGGGATTTTTAATGATGCTGATTATACGAATCTGAAGTCACTTTTTAGAAATTCAAAATGGTGGATCCAATATGGCCGACAAATTTTTAAATTGGATCCAATTCGCTTAAAACTTATAATAATAATAAATTAGTACACTATGGAATTGTATGTATGTTTTCAATTTTTAAAAATGACTTCAGATTCGTAATCAGCGACCAAGTTGTAATTTTTCAAAAAGAATGGTCTTTTATTTTTAAACCCATTTTGGTCAAAGGGGGGGGGGGGGGGGTCCGTTTCAATGATGCCTTAGTTGGTTTATTTTGAAATGTAATGACAAAATTTTCATCTGTGAATAAGAATGAGAAAAAGAGAAAGAAAAGATTATTTTAAGATATAGCTTAATTAGTATATGCAGATGATGTAGTTTTAAATTTTAATAGCTAAGGAAGTAAGTACAGGATTATTAACTTGTCAACTCGAGAAGTATGTGAACGTGAATGTTGGTAAGACAAAAGCGAGATGATTTAGAGGAAAAGAAGAAAAGGAGGAGGCGACATGTAAGATAAATGGAACTAGTAAAAGAAGTGAACGAATTTTGTTATCTGAGATATTTGGCTTAAGTTTAATAGAGAGCAAGAGTTGAATATATAAGAAGGGCTGGAAAATTGATGATGCAGATCTGCGGGAGGTATAGAAAAATGGATGTAAGGATAGTTATTTGATGTGTTCATTTAGTTGGCTATCAGTTATTCCTGTGGGGATGAATTAAAGTAGAAAAAATTAAAAGTATTCATAAGTTTAACAGGCTTGAATGGTTAAAATAAGTTGGATTGAAAACTGGAACTGAGATAGTGTCCAAGAGGGAGAAATGAGTAAGAAGTTGGAGAAAAAATTGGAGCAGAAAAAAGCTGGTAGCTTGACTCGAAAAGTTGAAAGTCAATCAAGGTCAATCAAGAGGAAAAAGAAAAAAAAATAGGTATCAAAATGTGAGCAGAAAAGTAGAGTGGCTTTGAAAGAATGGAGAAATTTATGTTAAGAGAGGGAGAGTGAATGTCAGGATGGAGCAGACAGGATAAGAAGGAATGATGAGAAAAGATAATGGAGGCGAGATACAAAAGACGTTGTAGCATTCTTATACTGTAAGACTTTAGAGAAGACTTTATTACCATTGTTACCATTTTTGTTACCTTTATACCATTGTAATAAAGTCATCAGAGAATAATGTATTATTTCATACTTTTGGAATAAGGTCTCATGTTAGCTTATAATTATGTCAAAATACATTGTCTTTTCTTTCAATAAGCAATATTCTGTAATTATTGTTTGCAGTAACATCCGTATGGGGCAACACTGACGCAGTTTACTTTTCTGTGAGTCCTGAAAAACACATAGTTACTGAGGGATCACCGGTGATATTGCGATGTGAGGCGGAGCCGAAAAATAAAGTAAAGTATTCGTGGACGATTGATGGACAACCGTTGGTTCAGAATCCTAGAAGATACTTGATGGATGGCAACCTGCATATAACAAGGGTTAACAGAATGTACGACAGCGGTGATTTTGTTTGTATTGCAACAAATCCAACTTCTGGAACTTCAATTGAAAGTTCATCTGTGAAAATCATCGTTCAATGTGAGTAGAAAATATTCACTTATAGTTTATATTAATAAGCAGCAAAGGAAACCAATTTCAGATAGCAGCCAGGGAGTCTATATAATTTAACGTCTCTCTAAAATCAGAAGTGTAAAGATGGTTCTATGATGAGTTCAGAAAGACTATAGTTCAAGTCTATGTACAAGTCCTAATCCCGTTCACTAATGTCTTGGACTGAACTTGAACTGATCTTTTTGAACTCATTGTAGAACCTTCTCTACTATCTTAATTCGAAAAAGCAATGTTTCAATGTTGTTAGCCCTCGCTGAACACCCAAGTACTTCCGTGCAAAACTCAAATACCGTAACTTCCGCATCTAAGCAACTTTCCAAGAATACCAAAAAATTTTCCATTCCGTCAGTTCCATAAAAAACGAGATTAAAGTGTCCAAAAATCGCATTTTTAGCTCTTTTCGAAGCATTGTAAACTAAAAACGCAACATGATAAAAATCTCTAAAAAGGCTCAAATCTATTTTCATCAAGAGAAAGACATATCTCAAAGAGTCAAAATTGCTGGGATGGAAGGTTATAGTAATCGATTTCCATTTAACTGGATTTGCTTGAAATTTGTTACTTACAAGTAACAAGTGTAAAACTAAGATCGACTTCTACCTTGGACCATTTTTTAGGGAATCAGAAAATATTTTATAATTATTTTTTTATTTTAGCCGTATATGGCCATTTAAAAAAAATACTAAACATAATTTAATTTGAGTGTCGAAGGGTATACTAAGGTTTTTAAGCTCGCTGAATCCGAATTTGAAGTCAGATTTAAGAAAATTCAAAATGTCGGACCCAAAATGGCGACTACAGAAAATTTAAAAATTACCAGATTTGCTTGAAACTCGTTACTCGGGGGTATTCGGGGTTGCTGATTACAAATATCATATCAGATTTTCAAAATTCAAAATGGCAGATCCAATATGTCGAACAAAATTTTTTTTTAATGTTGCTGGATTTGTCTAAAATGTTTACTCAGGACTTTATAAGGTCAATAAATCAAAATTTGTTATCAAAATTAAAAAATTAAAAAATTATAACGACCAAAATTTTAAAAATGAATTAAAAATGCAAAATGGTTTGTAAAATATATAACTAATCGGAAGTGTAGAGTACGATTCAGTAATTGAAGAAATAGAATATACAAATTTTACAAATGACAATTTCACGCTAAAGTCGATTTTCATAATTTTAAAAACTCCCGAGTAAATATTTCTAGACAAATCCTTCAACTTTTAAAAAATTTCGTCGCCATATTGGATCTGACATTTTGAATTTTGACAATCTGACATCAGATTCGTAATCAGTAATCCGGAAAATCCCCGAGAAATGAATATTGGTCGAAATGCATCAGTTTTAAAATTATCCGCCATATTGGATCCGCCATTTTGAAATTTGAAAAACTGACTTAAAATTCGAATTCAGCGACCCCAAAAACAGAAATAACATTTTTTGGAAATGTTTTTTGGGACGTTCTAGTCCCACAAGCGATTTTTAACCCACACGAATTTCTGTGATTTAAAAAAAATTTCATTCACAATTTGTACGAAATTCTAAGGAAATTTTGTACAAAAAAAAGATTTCAAAAAGCAAGCAAAACATCCGATGGAAACTTCATGCAAAATCCATATGAAATACGAACGAAAATATTGAAATCTGAGTTTTAAGTTTTCTAAAAATTCCGCAGGTCTTAAGAATATAGTTTTCAAGAAAATAAGACGAAACCTATGTAATTTTCCTTCTTTGCATTCCCATAACCGCAAAAACTAAGAACGTGAGATTTTTTTGGCAAAGATGCATTTTTGCATACATTTTTTTCTTTTTTGCCAAGAAACAAACAAACAGAGGTGAAAAGTTTTGAAAGCGACTTTAGTTTGTTCCAACAGCGTTGCCCTTACGTCAATCTACCAGCAGACGAGGGTGGATAAGAACAGTTTTTGAGTGTCATAATACGTTATGGTGCGTTTGCATCGACCCATCCACACCCCTCATTCTTCTGTCCCCATGGTTACGAACTGCCCTTTGAAACAAGTCTGTTGTGTCATATAGTATTGCCTCCTCATGGAGGAAGTATTCAAGTACCAAAATTTTTTTTTACTTTTATTTTTGGATTTATTTTTTCATTTTTATTTTCTCAGAAACCCCAAAAAACATTTGTGCATACATTAAATTTTAATGACTTTCTCCGAATCCCATAAAACACGATTATTTTTAATTTCAGGTCTCGTGTAGGAAGCTATATAAAAAGTGTATTTTTTAAATTTAATTCATTAAAAATATTAACAATACTTTAATTCTTAAAAAAAAATTCTTTTCATAATATTTAAAATTGATTTTTATTTGCTTTCTAGAAACCCATATCTAAAAAATGCGGCTGTATTTTCCTCGTGAAAATTCGCAAGGAATTTTTTCCAACTTTTTGAACCTTATTTACAAAAATCAAGAAAGTATCCAAATTCTCGGTAATTAAAATTACATAGGCGAAATAAGCTTTAAATAAATTACTTTCTAGTACTGAATTCGATTTTTGAGTTTTCTCTAAATAAATACACTAATATAATTCCCGTAATTTTTAAAAATAGTTACTTTCAATCGCCGAATGGCGATTTTCAAAATTCAAAATGGCGAATTCAATATGGCGATTAAATTTTTTAAAATTTATTGGATTTACTAGAAATTTGTTATCCGGGGGTTTTTGGGGTCGCTAATTACGAATCTCGTATCAGATTTTTGAAATTCAAAATGGCGAATTTAATATGGCGGTCAAATTTTAAAAATTAAATTCGATTTACGTGAAGTTTGTTATTCGGGGGTTTTTGGATGCGCTGATTAGGAATCTGGTATCGAAATTTCAAAATTCAAAAAGGCGGATCCAATATGCAGATGAAATATTTTCAAAATCATTGGATTTACTAGAAATTTATTACTCAAAAACCCACAAGTAACTAACTTCACGTAAATCGTAATTATTTTTTAAAAATTGACCGCCACTTTGAATTTTAAAAATCACCACTCGACCACAAATTAAAAAGTATGCATTTTGGTTGTGGTACATTTTTTTAAACGTATTTTCCAATTTTTTATTTTCTAAAAAATTTTTTCCTAAAAAGATGAATTTCTAAAAAAAACTTTTTTTTTATGAATAAGATGATTTATGATTTTCTAATTTACTTTCTTCTAATAAAGGTCATTTTTTAAAAATTTATTTTTGTAATAAAAGTAATTTTCAAAAATTTTTTCTAGCAATATTCAATTTCTGTAATAACGATCAATAGGTATATGATTAAAAAATAAAATTTATGGAAATTTTTTAATTCTTTAAAAAAAATATTTGAGATTTCGTGAAAAAATTTTAATAAAAAAAAGAATTTATGCAAATTTTTTAACAAAATTTTAAAATAATCAAGTTAAAAATTGTAATTAACAATTAGAATTTATAGGGATTTTTTCCTTAAAGTTATTTAAAATTTTCTAAAAAGATGTTTTATAAATATATTAATTTTGGAAATTTTTGTATAAACATGATGCAAATTATTATTTTTTTTCAAAGAAGAAGAGAATTTTGATAACAAATTGTGATAAGAAATAGTAATTTTATAAAATTTTTTCTACTTTTCGAAAGAGAAACTTATAATTTTGTAAACAAAATTGTGATTAAAACACAGAAAATATTCAAAATAGTTTTTATTTCTTAATCTTAATTTTTTAATAATTTTCTAATATTTATCAAAATTATGGAATTTTACAAATTTTAGGAAAATGAATATTAGAAAAACTTTTTTTAGGAATCAAAACTTGTTGTTAGAAAAACTTTTTTAAGAAAACAGATTTCATTATAAATCGCCTTTTTTAGACAAAAATAAGTAGAAAATATTTTCTTAGAAAAAGTTGCCGCCTACCATGCATTTTTTCTATTTTCCGAATTTTTTAAAAAGTGTCGTAAGTCATAAAAATTGAAAAAAAAAATGTTAACATACATGAAAATTTTTATATTTTTGAAATCAATGTTAAAAACAATTATTTATGGAAAAAATTGTAAGTTTTAAGAAATTTACAGACAGAAGTGTGATTCTATTTATAAGCATTATCTCTTACAATTTTTATATTCCTAAAGATTTGGGAAACTTGAAATTTCTGATTTGGTTAGATAATAAAAAACAGTATTTAAAATTTTAAATATAATTAAATACTTTTTTATTTACATATTTTATTAATAATTGCCCTTAATATTTAAGTGTAGAATTGAACGTAGAGAGCGCTTTTAATAAGTAGCTTAAATGAAGAGGAAGTGAATGGGAAATTATATGTTCCTTAGACAGTTAAATGAGAATTATCGTCCAAAAATAAGTTTTGGAGAAAGCAGCTGAGCTGATGTCAAAGTAAACAAGTAGATAGTGATACGCTTCTATATTTCCACAGCTTGAGGCTCATTACTCGCAGGTTTTAGGGTGACAGACTACAAAAATCTTGTATTACAAGATTTTTCAAAACCAAAATGATGGATCCAATATGGCGGAAATTTTTTAATTCGTGCAGATTATTAAAATAACATTTATAGAATTTTTGCAAAATTCACTTGAAATATTCTGAAAAATCTATCTTATGCATGTAGGTTTATTTAGAACATTTTTTTTCATGATTAATTTTTGAATGAATCCTAATTTGACTTTATAGAAAAATTTTATTTCGTTTTTACAGGGATTAGTGAAGCAAAAATCCAACTTCAAGAACCTAAACTACCTTCAGATATTCAAATTAAGGGAGATGTAGAATTTCGCTGTCATGTCGATGGGTCTGGAGAACTCAAGTATGAATGGTTTAGGTGAGTGAAAATCTTTATTTTTCAAAAATTGTAACTGTTTCGACTTTCCTTTCACATATTGCAGCAAAATACCATATTTTTAGTAAGAGATGCAAATTAATTCGGTTTTTTATATTGATTGTGAAAAATTATAACAATAGACAAATCATTCAAAATTTTATTTTTGAATAATTTTTTTACGATGATAAAATTTTTAAAATATATTCATATTTAAACAATAATTGAAAACATTTAATAATTGAATTCATTCTAATTTTTTAAATATTATTAATATTTTATATTTAAATCTTGAAAAATTAGGGAAATGCAAAATTAAAATTTTTGTGATAACTCTGAATAAGAAACATGTTTTACACTTTTCAAAATATTTCCAAAAATTTTATCAGTGTAATTAATTTAAATAGCTGAAAATTGCAATATTTTTAAAAATGAAAAAGATTTTTTTTCAAGTTGATTCATTTCCAAGTTCAATGTGCTAAATTTAAAAAAAAATAAGTTAGTGGAAGTTACTTTCGAATAACATAATGCCAAAATAATTATAATTTTTTCGTTTTTAAAAACATTATGGACTTGAGCGTCATTAAAGTACAACATTATATTGCTGACAAAGTTAATTTTTAAAATATAAAAATGTTATAGAAATAAGGAGAAAATTCAACAAAGTGATCGCATCGAAATGAAGAAAAATAAACTACACATACGTGAGGCTAATGTGGATGATAATGGCGTTTACACATGCCAAGCGCGGAATGAAGTCATTTCCTCCCCTATCGTGGACAGCTTTCCACTAATTATCAAATCAAATGACTCAGCCATTATCAAGAACGTTCCAAAAAACCTAATTGTCAAGCGTGGACAAAAAGCAATGTTCCACTGCGAATTCGAGAACGCCGACTCTATCAAATGGTTCTTCAATAATGTCGACTCTCTGGAGCAGAATGAAGAAAAAAGCATATTTCCGAACGGAACGCTAATAATTCACGCTGTAGATTTTGAAGATCAAGGTTCTTACTACTGCCGAGGGCAAAAAGGCAACACTCTCCAAACTTATATGGCCGAACTCCAAATAGCTTGTGAGTATAATTTCAGAGTAATAAACTTCAACCTCTACCGAAAGCTATTCGCTGTGTATTCGAAAGTATATATGTAAATATACCTTCTTCGTTGTATTTTAGATCTGAGAAACTTATCCGTGGCCTCGCTGGAACCATCCTTGCCTAATCAATTGGCCGTTGTTGGCGAGGGTCAGGAACTGCAGGTCACTTGTCTAATACCGTCCGGTGCTCCACTTCCAAAGATTTACTGGAAGAATCTCGAAGGGCACATTATCAGCGATTCCGGTCCAATCAGAGTTGAGGAGAATACTTTGATCATTACTAAGGCTGACGTTACGAAAAAATCAGTCAATTACACATGTACTGCAGAAAATTTAGCCGGAACAACAGAAATTACCGTTCAAGTTTTGGTTTCAAGTAAGTTTAATTTGAATAATTGAATAGAGTCGCATTCATTATTAGCTGGAAGAGTCAATTTCAATTCATTAAGGGCGAATAAATTGAAAATTCTAAATCAAGTTTTTCTTGCTCCTTGGGACAAATAAAGACACATGTATTTTTTGTTTAGGGAACAAAATTTTTTGAGTTACGATTATTTAAAAATTGTAGAACAAAAATTATTTTTCATTTATTTTTTTCCCGGAATGTTGGAAGGACGGAATAATTATACCAGTGTATAAGGATGGTGACAATTCAATTATATTCAAAAAATTTTCGAAATTCAATTATTTTCAGAAAATTTTGCAAAAGAATTCAATTATTTAAAAAACAAATTCATAAAATTCATCCAAAATTCAATTATTTTCATAAATAATAAAATTCTTCTCAGGAATTCAATTATTTTTTAAAATTGTAAGGAATAAAATTCTTTGCAACTATTCAATTATTTACATAAATAATAAAATTCATCGCAGGATTTCAAATGTTTTTAATACAATCTTATAGGAACTGATCAAAATATGTAATAATTCTTAAAAATTTAATTTCAATTCCTCGAAAAAATCAATTATTTAAAAAAAATGTTCGGAAGAAATCAAATATTTTAAATACAATTTTAATTAAATTTTTTGAAATAATTCAATTATTCTTTTTAGATTTTAATAAAATTCATCCCAAAAATTCAATTATTTACATAAATAATTCTTCGAAAGAATGCAATTATGTCGATAAATAACAAAATTATTCTCAAACATTCAATTATTTTGAAGTATTTTAATAAAATTCTTTGCAAAACTCAATTATTTTCATAAATAAGAATATTCATCACAAAAATTCAATTATTTTTAAAAGTAAATTTCTTCTTGAAAATTCAATTATTTAAAAAAATTCTTATAAAATCGTTCACAAGAATTCAATTATTTTCATAAATAATAAAATGCTTTTAGGAATTCAATTGTTTTTAATACTATTTTAAATTAATTAATCGAAAAATTCAATTATTTTTACAAATAAAGTTTTCCACAAGAATTAAATTATTTAAAATAAATTTCCCATAACATTTATTATATTTCGAAAAAATCAATTATTTTAAATATAATTTTAATTAAATTTTTTTGAAATAATTCAATTATTCTTTTATATTTTAATAAAATTCTTTCCACGAATTCAGTTATTTATACGTAAATAATTCTTCGGAAGAATTCAATTATGTCGATAAATAACAAAATTATTCCCGAGAATTCAATTATTTTGAGTCATTTTAATAAAATTCTTTGCAAGATTCAATTATTTTTATAAAAATAACAATATTCATGACAAGAATTCAATTATTTTTAAACGTAATAAATTTCTTCTTGGAAATTCAATTATTTAAAAAAATTCTAATAAAATCGTTCGCAAGAATTTAATTATTTTCAAAAATAATAAAATTAATGCTTTTTAGGAATTCAATTATTTTCAAGAAAATTTAATAAAATACTAGACAGACATTCAATTATTGTCAAAAATTTTTATAGAATTCTTTGTAAAATTTAATTATTTTTAAAAACTTTTCGTAATTCAATGATTTTTAATATCTACTATTTTCATAAAATTTCTAAACAAAATTCAATTATTTAAAAATTTTTTTGTAAAAATCTTAGTAAGAATTCTATTTTTTTCATGAATAATAAAAATTTCTCAGGAATTAAATTATTTAAATTAGAATTTGCATAAAAATAGTCGAAAGAAATCAATTATTTAAAATTTTATATAAATTTCTTCTTAAGAATTAAATTATTTTTATAAATATTTAAATTCTTTGATGAATAATAAAATTCGTTGCAGGAATTTAATTTATTAGCAGTACGATAAGAAAGAAGTAAATATTTTTGATGAAAATTAGGAAAAATTGAGGAAAATAAAATATTGAATGAAATTTTTGTCCGTTTTGTGAAGTGTCTAAAACGAGTTCTTTGGGTCGTCAATTTTAATTTTTCGATAACTACTTTTTTACTACTTTGTTTAGTATGAAAGCTACTTTTTGCTACTTGTTTAAAATTAATTATCGATGGCAAAGTCTGTAAGGGTGGTGACAAAATTTAAAAAATTTTGCTCGTCAAAAAAAACTACGTGGCCGTCCAAAAATTACGTAAGACATTTTTTTTTTGAAATTTTAACTCTCCCTCCTAAGAAAATTTATATACATTAGCGTCATTTTTCTATTGGCCATAAAAAGAAGGCTGGACCCCCATTCCCCTTAAAGCTTTACGTAATTTATGGATAACATAATATACAAGTCCTGTAAGTTTCATCAGGGGATCGTCAATAGTTTCGGGGAAAATAGTAAAATGTAAATTTGGTCTGTTTCGATTGTATCTTTTCGGGGCACATGATTATTCCCCAAATGTCAATGTTATAAATTTCATTATATCAAAATTTTCATTATCAAATTATTATTTGACATAAGCTTCAGATTACGAAAAATAAATATAAATTTTATTTATGAGAATATTAACATAAATTGTAGTTCTTTTTTACTTCAATTGACATTTGACTCAATTTTCAAATCTTTGAAATATTATACCTAGTAAATAAATTTCGTAGCTTCTTTTTGCACTCAATTTACTCAATTTTAAAAATTGTATAAATAATTATTTCAGCACCTCCAGCTGTTACTTATTCGCCGAAATCGTTGACAATAATGGAAGATGAATCTATTTCTTTGTCGTGCGGATACAAAGGAGAAAATCCCCCAGTGACTCAGGTTAAGTGGTTGAAAGACAATGAACCACTGAAGGAATCCGGTGGACCCACTAGATACAGAATAAACGATCACCATGGGAATGTAACTCTGTCGTTTAGAAACGTAGATTTAGCGGACAAGGGATCGTACAAGTGTGAAATATCAACCAAAGGATTTCCCAGTATCACTTCCAATTCAGCCACCATAACTGTGCAGGAGAAATTAAAATTTTCACCTCAACCTGTTAGTCGACGTTTGGAACGCGGCTCCTCTTCCAAAGTTTCCTGCAAGGCTCAGGGTTCAACCAACCCCGTCATAAAGTGGATTAAACAAAATAATGAGGAATTCCCGAAAAATATCCAAGACATCAATGGCACTCTGCATTTTAACGGTGTCTCGAAGAGTGACAAAGGGCAATACACTTGTATAGCAAAAAATACCCAAGGTTCCATTAATCACACTATAGACATTGACGTCGTTGGTAAGAAAACTTTCATTAGTGGTTTACCTATACTAATCGTTTGAAATACTGGAGCAATATTTTTATTGTTGAAAATAACTATTAAAATTAAAATGTTTCAGTTTCTCCAAAATTTACAATTCGTCCAAGTAATCCGACGGAAGCTGTTGAAGGTTATTCTGCAATCTTACATTGCGAGGCTGAGGGCGATCCGAAACCAACAATTCAGTGGGACAAGGATTCTCGTATGAATAGTTTCAATGACTCCAGATTTGAATTTATGGCAAATGGAAGTCTGTTTATTAAAGAAATTCTCTTGTCGGACGAAGGGAAATATGGTTGTACAGCCGGCAACAGTGGGGGATTGAAACGAGAAGAAATTCAACTGATCGTAAAAGGTAACTTTTAATATCTCTTTAATTAAAAATACACAAGTATTCCGCTGGACCGGGAAAAACCGGAAAATAACAGAAAATATTTTTCTTGACCGGGAATTTTGAATTTTATTTTTAAAAAGTATTATTTTTAATAAAAAAAACTGGTTATTTTGTAAGAAAAAATATAAATATTTATTTCAAAACTTATTAAATATATTTCATTAACCCTCGGAACTGCCACTGTGACCCTGTTCACTTTTGAAAACTATACCTTATAAAAACTTATCATTATAAGTTTAAATAAAAAATTGTTTAATATTCTTTAAACATTGAAGAATAAGTTTCCATAATTGAAAAGTTTCATTATAAATATTTTATTATGGTAAAAAATATAAAATTAGACAATTTTTCAGAAAATCGAAAAAAATTGTAGTTCTTGTAATTTTTAATATTTTTAACTAATATTTTACATTTGTATTTTTGAATAGTGGTAAAATAAAATAATAAATAAATTCTATATTGTAGTTTGTAAAAACGCATTTTTTCAAGTTGATGGAGACAATTTTTATTTTTTCACGAATAATTTTAATGTAAAAAAATAATTGAATTTTATAAAAGTTCCGCTTTTAATTTTTATAAATACAATAATTAAATAACTAGAAAACTGGCTATTTAATTTATTATAATTATATAAATTACAAAATTTTATATTTTCAAAAATTATCTTCAATTTTTGAATAATTTCAGATACAAAATTTAAAAAAAATGAAACTTTAATAAAATTCTTTATAAGAATTCAATTATTCTCAATATATAATTTTAACTAAATTCGTCGAAAAAATTTGCTAAAATTTAATTATTTTCATATACACATAATAAAATTCTTCACAGAAAATTAATTATTTTTAATATAATTTTGATTGTATTTCTTAAAAAATGGAATTATTTTAACAAAATTTCCATAAAATTCTTCAAAACAATTAATTTAAAAAAATTTTAATAAAATTCTAAGCAAAAAATATATTATTTCAGATTCAAAATTATAAAGTTACAAAAATTACAAAAAGCAATATTTAAAGATTAATAAGATGTTATTAAAAATTATATAATATTTTAAAATAGAAAAATTTTCACATATTATAAAATCGTGGAAAGTAAGTTAATTTATAATTTTTTTGCAATTGATAATATTATCACAAAACTTAATCTCTAAATTTGAATTAGTACAAATTTGAACATTCTAAATTTCTAAAAATTAATTTTTTAATTTTAAATGCCATTTTGAATTCACTGGCTAGGTTTCCCGGAGATACAAAAAGATTAATTGAAATTTTTTTAAATTATTCAAAATTTCATGCGAAATTATCTTGAAAACAAGTGGATTTCAGAAATATTTTAGTTTTTGATGAACTTTTTTTTTTTTGAAATAATTAAATTTTTAAGGAACTTTCTCAAAAAAATATTAAACATGACTGAATTAGAGAAGAATTTTAGTTAAAGTTGATTTCTTTACAAAAATTTAAACAATTTGCCTCAAAATATACTAAACTTTTTCCAAAATTTGCAAAAGTAGAAATTTTTTCATCAAACTAAGTTCGTCCATAAATTACGTAAGACATTTAGGGGGGAGGGGGGTCTGCCAGATTTTACGAACAATAGAAAAAATGGCGCTAATGTATGTAAAATATCTTACAAGGGGGGAGGGGGGGTAACATTTTCCAAAAAAATGTCTTACTTAATTTATGGACGGGGAAAAGGGGAAAATATGCTTGATTTTGGGTGCTTTAGGGGATTTTATTAATTTAACATTTAAATAGTTAAAAAAGGAACTAACAGTGATCCTAATGGACAAATTTTTATGAATGTTTTAGTTGGTAATAATTTCCGCTCAGATCTGGACTTTGACACTATGGAGGATCAATCTATGATGACGAGGACGGTGACAATCACACTCAGTGCGGCAGCCGCTTATATGATTCTCGTGGTGGGTTTAATGCTGTACTGCCGCTATCGACGTAGGAAACGGAAACAGCAATATTTACAAGAATTGGGAGAAGGTGAAATAAATTCAAATCATGTGTAATTTTATTTTTTTACTTCTTAATAACAACAATTCATTTTTTTTTAACAGAAAAACTAGAAAATGGCGAAGTTCAAGAGGAACAGATAGAACTGAAAGATAAAACGAAGGCAAATGCTACAAAGAAGAAGGAAGGTCATGACTCTCAAAAAAGCGACGGTGCAGAAACTGCACAAAGCCACAGCAGCAATAATTCCAAAAAGTCGAAAACAAGTTACGAGAAAATTGCCATCAGTAGAGGAAATCTTAAACATATGAAGCCACTTGGACGGGGTGAATTCGGTGATCTTTTCTCAGCCAAGTATCATGCTGATGGCAACAAGGTAAACGACGTGATGGTGAAAACGTTGGCCAATGTTAAGGATGAGAATGCTTTGCAAGAATTCAAACGTCACTTGGATTTGCTGCATCGCTTGAATCATGAGAACGTTGCGAAATTAATAGGTCTTTGCCGAGAGGAGGAGCCCGACTACATGATCATCGAGTACACCGAGTGGGGAGATTTGAAGCAATTTCTAGTTGCTTCCGGAAAAGAAAATGAAAATGTCACAACCTCTTCGTCGAGCTCCAAGTCCCGAGTGCTAAAGCTTTCCGTCTCACAAACCAGCTCACTGATATATCAGGCGGCTTTGGGTCTGAAGCACCTAGCGGACCATCGCTTGGTGCACAAGGACATTGCCGCCCGCAACTGCGTCATCACCAGTAGCCTAACTCTCAAAATCTCCATGTCCTGCATGACTAAGGAACCCTATCAGAAAGAGTACACCAAGTTCAAAAATCAAGTGATTCCATTGCGCTGGCTGCCCTACGAAGCAGTCTACGAAGACGACTATTCAACGAAGAGCGACGTCTTCTCCTTCGCCTGTCTGGTTTGGGAAATATTCCACCAAGGCGAACTACCCTTCCATAAACTCAACGACGAATCAGTGTTCACCCAGCTCAAAGCTAAAACATTACTGTGGAAAGCCCATAAATCCACACCACAAGCCATACAAGAGTTACAAGTATCGTGCTGGTCCTACGATCCACGAGAGAGGCCAAATTTTGAAGAAATAGTATCTAAATTGAATGCACCTGTAGATAATTGTTTATAAACAACATTTATAAGTTTTTATAAAATATTTATAAATATTTCATAACAATCTAGTCATCGAAACCGTATGTACTTTAAGAACATTTTTTTAAAGAATTTTTTAAAATTTTAATTTTAAACTCAACTAAGAATAAGAATAAGAATATTCTTAATAATTAAGAAAGCTTGACTAAACTTTAATGTTAGGTACATATATATGTAAATTTTATACTAAAGGAAATGTCCACAATAAGTCCTTTAAAAATAAATTTAATACATAAATTCAATTTTATAAATTTTGTAAAAATATAATATGTAAACAAGCTAAAAAGAAAGTTAATTTTAAAAATTAATTATTGTAAATATTTAAATTTTTAACGGTTAAAATAATTGAAATCAGTTATATAGGCGCAATTTTATTTTCTTCAGTAACAAATAACAATAAACAATATAGCTCAATAGTCATGAACTAGGGAATATTATCAGCTAACCTAACAATAAAGTATTGTCAATTTTGTCAAAAACGAACAACACTTTGAGTTAATATTTGATAAATATCTCATTCCGCAAATTGTCTTCCAACTTCATTGGAACTTAATAAAATTATAGTTTTGAGTAAGAAGTATCGACGATGTAATAAAGTATTTTTGGAAACATTTTTTTTTTAATTACTTATATAATTCTGAAGCCGTTGACATTTCATATTTGAGTAAATAAAGGTTTTTGTATCTGTTCTATTAAGTGAAGGTCGATTTATTTTTAACCATCTTTTTAAAAAACCCTAAAGTACTTTGTATTATTTTCTAGAATTTTTATTATTGTTATTATAATGTTTCTATTAATTTCCATTAGAAAGTGCAATGAAAATATTTTACACTTTTTTTTCCATATAACTTTATTTTCGGATCTCCAAAAATTTTGAGGTTTTTCAGATATTCTTTTAATAACTTAAGTTTAATAGCATAAGTCAAATTTCATTAGAAGTTAATTATGTTATTAAAAAAATACTTACAAAAACTTCAATTCCTTTGAAAGTCCGCCAAAAAAGGTTCTAACTAAAAAAATGTGAAATTTTTTCGAAAATAATTATATTATTTTCTTCGTTTCTACATGTAGATTAGAAAGATTTATATTTTTGGTAAGTAGCAATACCTAATATTTAATAATTTTCGAATAATAAAGTTTTTTGAAAAATTGAAAAATTCAAAATGGCGAATCCAATATGGCAGACAAGACATATTTAAATTAAATAAAAATATTAAACATCCTCCAACCATTAGAATATATACTTATTGTAATACAATATTTTTAATATTTAGAAAAAAATTTACAATAATTCTTATAATAATAGAAATGATATTTAATTTTTTCTATTTATTTCTCAAAAAACTGGATGTTCTGTTAGAAAATCATGAATAAAAATAGAAATTGTGCAAATTTTTTTTTAAGATTTTGTTAAAAAATCCTGATGAACAAATAGAAATTAGACAAATTTCTTTTAATTTCTTTAACAAAACTGGAAGTTTTGTTAAAAAATTGTTATTGAGAAATATAAGCGGTTGAAATTTATTGGTTTCTTTAAAAAAGGATAAAAATAGGATTTTGCATAAAAATTGTTACTATAAAATATAAATTATTCAATGTTTTAAATTAATTTAAAAAAAATATATTAATTGTGGTTAAAAAATAGAAATTTTGGAAATACATGTCGAATATTTTATTCTTTTAAATTGATTGTCTAGAAACACACAGAGTCAATTAAAAGGAATAGAATTCCATAATATTTTGTAGAATGTTGAAACCAATGAATCTTTACGCATTCAAAAAAAAATAGAGAATCGCAACACTTTTCTATCGTTTCATCACTTTTTACCTCATTTTGAAACAAATTTTCTGAAAATTTTATTATTCTCTATTTCTCACGTACAATGTCTAGTTTTGGGTGTACAGATGTTTCTCTAATCCATAATTTCTCTTTAATTTAGAAATCGAAACATTTCGCTTGTGCAAAAATCTGCTTCTAACCTTCGCTGTAATTACTTCAAAGAGAAAAGCAATGATAGAAAGAGAGTATCCAATAGCTAGTACACCAAAAAGTACAGGAAGAAGTTTATCCTTTGTAATGAATTCTGGTTTCAAAGAATTAGAACGTAAATTTTGACCATTCTGTGGATAATAATTAATTAATCCTAACTCTGAAGCTCTCAGAATTATTTCATTGAAGCGATCCATATAGGGCGAAAAGCATCCTCCTATGAAAGTAGTAACTCCATTTACAATAGTTTCTGGTAGTATTTTCACATTTAAGTAACTGTATTCAGCTTCATAATCGTTAATATCAGATGCAGCATTACTAAGAACACAGCTGACATTCCGATGTTCAGCCAAAATATACAAACAGTCGTCTTCATATTCTATCGAGCTAGACTTTTCGATTAATTGTTGAATATCAGGATTTGAATAGTCTTTAAAAATATATTTACTATAGACGTCTATCAGTGGTGTAAGATTCGATTTAAGAAGTTCTGCTAGGGTTGAAATTTCAGGAGCTGGTCGAAAAGTGACATCGAGGATTGTAGAGTAAAAATAACTTGTATAGACAATGCATGTAAGCAGTAGTGAGCCAAAAACTATTCTTTCCGACCAATCCTCAGGATCTTCTGGAAGTGGCATTCCTATTATAAATTGACTGATGTTCAACGTCTGCCATGTCCTTCTTCTAAATTTCAATAAAAATACTGTGAATCTTATAACAGTAATCGTAATTACTGTTGCTATGATCATGTGCCAAAATTCTGATGAAACTTGAATTTCTCCAGTAGGTTTCACTTCTTTAGGAACAACAATATTAACACTATCAATTTGCAAAATTCGCAATCTCTGCAAAACTGTAGAATCGAAATTCACATTTACCAAGTTTAATACAATTTCGTACTTTGTTTTATGCAGTTCAGTTCTCCATTTACTCAAGACTTGATTAAATTCACTTTCGTTTTCTTCACTCATTATGTGTTGAGTATCCATTGTAAATGGTATTACATTAGCTTCAAAATTCATCGCTTCTTTCAAAATTTGTAGAAAATCCTCTGCTTCCACGTTTAGAAGATCGGATGAATAATTAAGAGGTTGAATCGCAAGATTTAATTTATAACCATTTAAATCGCGCACTTTATTTGGAAACCATTGGGATTCAGCTGATGCCACTTGAGAAGAAAAGTTCTTGAAAAACGGATTTATTTGACTTAAGAGGGGTAAAATGCCAGGACTTGATTCGATCGTTACTTTCGAATCTTTATCGTATGTCAAAAGAGTAACGTCTAGGTACTTCTTTTTCCAGAAAGAATGCAAGGTTCTGTTAATGTGCTCATGGGTGGAGTTAAATGTGTCGACAACTAAACATCTCGGTAAAGATGTTCCTATTGAATAATCTTGTAGACGAAATACAAAATCAGTAAATGTGTCAATAGTGCTTTCATTTATCCACTGCAAAACAAACAGTGTAGTACTTCTTGTTAGAGAAAATTTTAAATAAGGTTCTCTAAGATTTGATTTGATTTCTCTGTAGCTGAGGCTAACAGATGGAAAATTGGAATTAACTGCTGCCATAAGAGAATTCATCACTGGATCCACACTGCCTGACGAATCGTCGGCAATAAACGCTACTTGATGCACTTTAGAATCTTCGTTCAAATACTTTATAAATCCATCAAAGTAATTAATCTTCGAAGACGTTACTTGGTTTTCTCTCCAAGAAATATAAATCAAAAAATATATTCCTATGAGTTTCATTGTGCACAACCACTTTCTTCAAATAATAGAAATATACTGAAGAAGAAATTACTATCGAAGTGGGTAATTTATTTCTTTTAATCTCCCATAATTCTGAAATCGATAAATAATATTCAACTGTCAAAGTAATTCATTCTTTTTAATTTTCTATAATATTAAAATCAATAAATAACTAAATTTAGAAATTGACTTGTTTGGAATATAATCTAATGATATTAGACAATTTAGGAAGATTGATGGTAGAACTATTTCACTACTTCATTTTCAAGTATATACCAAATTATAAGTGGACTCGTTTGCTTTTTCGAAAATTGTTGTACTAAAACTATATTATTTGGTCTACGTACAGACAGATCTCTATACTGAAGAAAATGTAGTTGAATATCAAGTTAATGTATTTACTTCACATAATTTTCTTGAAAGAATCACACAAAAACACATCGACCGATTTGTAGCTAAACGAAAAATTGTACCTAATTATTTAATTTAATTTGTATTAATAAAAAAGTCAAACATCTCTCTGTACATTTCATATATTTTTTTCTTTTTGAGAAATTAGAATTCGAAAAAATTCAATTATTCAAGACTTTAATAACTTTGTTAAATAAATATATTTAAATACTTTTTACTTGTTTTTCCAATGGAAATAAAGTTTAAAAAATTTCAATTTAAATAAAAAAATTCAATTTTTCATAATAACTGTTACTGTCTGTTTTATTTTAAAGTTATTAAGGTATAATATTTACAAAAAAAAATTATAATAAAGAATTTTTGTAAATCAATTTCTTTTAAATATTTAAAATTAATTTTTGAAAGGTAACAATTTTTAATTATATCCAAATGAAAAATTCAAACACAATTGAAATGTGGTGAAATCTTTCAAAAATAATTTAATTTTTAAAAAATATTAAAAAAATAATCAAAACATTACAATTTTTAAAAAATACTTATTCATTAATCAGTTTATTGCATTATTTTTGACAGTCGTTACAGATTAATTCAATATTATATCAATAGATTTTTTATCCTTTTGTAAAACTAAAAATCCATTAAATAATATAAAGAGAAAGGGTGGGATCTGATAAATTTTATGTTATTTTGCGTAAAAGTAAGAAAGTGTCGAAAAAATGTTGCGCATTGTTAAATTTGATTTAAAAAAAATAGTATAAACACAGGATTCCCACGCTTCTTGCTCTTTTCAAATTCCCTGACTTTCCCAGATTTTCCATGTCAATTGTTTTTTTTTTTTTTAATAATTTTTAAAAAAGTTCTTTGAGAATTTTCAAATACCTTTTGTTTACAATTTAATTTTACGAAATTTCGATTAAAATGACATTCTTCAATTAAATATTATTACAAATTAAAAACTTCATATAATTAAAAAAAAAATTAAATTAAACTATAAAAAAAAATTAATTTTACAGAATTCTTTGAAAAGTTGAAATCAAAGATTTTAATACATATGAAACTTTTTGAAAATTCAATTATTTCTAAAAAATCTACACTATAATATAATGCTTTCAATATTCAATTATAATCTAAAATTTTAACTGAAATTCATTTTTAAATCAATATTTATTAGAAAATTCTACGAGAATTCAATTATTTAAATACAAAAATTAATATTTTATTAAATAATTCAATGTTTCATAAAATTGAATTTTCATAAAGAATTTTATCACCAAATTTTTAAATAATTGAATTTTCTTGAAAATTTTAATAAATTGTTTAAAAATAATTTCATTTTTCAAGAAATTTGATGAAAATTGTATTAAAAATAATTGAAATTCTGACAAGAATTTTTATTAAAATTTTTGAAAATAATTCAATTCTGGAGAAAAATTTTATTATTTATGTAGATAATTGAAATTTTGACGAGAATTTTTTTAAATTTGGTAACATAATTGAATTTTTGTGAAGAATTATATTACTTTTGAAAATAATTGAATTCTTGAGACGAATTTTTAAAAAATTTCTTTTTAAATAATTAAATTCTTTTGTTAAATTTGATTGAAATAGTAAACATTGAAAATAATTGAATTTTGACAAATTTTTGAAATTAATTAAATTTCTACGAAGAATTTTATTAAAATTATTTTGAAAGAAATTGAATTGTGACAAAGAATTTCATTAAAATTTTTGAAAATAATTTAATTCTTTGAAGAAATTTAATTAAAAATGTATTGAAAATATAGGCAAAGGTTTTTAAAATAATTGAATTTCTTTGATAAATTTTAATAAAATTTTGAAGAATAATTACATTTTTCGAGGAATTCCTTTAAAATTGTATTAAAAAAAATTGAAAGTCTGCGATGAGTTTTATTGCTTATGAAAATAATTGAATCCCTGTAAAAAATGTTTTTATTTATGAAAATAATTTTTAAATAATTGAATTCCTGGGAAAGTTTTATTATTTATGAAAATAATGAAATGTTTGCGTAGAATTTTATGAAAATTTTTTTTTAACTAATTGAATTCTTTTAGGGATTTTTATTAAAGTAGTAAATATTAAAAATCATTGAATTGAGAGGATAGTTTTTGAAAATAATTAAAATTATTTTGCCAAGAATTTTATTAAAATTTTTGAAAATAATTGAATTTCTGCAATAATTTGTAATTGCTTCAATTAGATTTCAAGAATAAACACAATAACTTTAGAATACAACAACTTTCCAGGATTTCGATCAAAATTCCCTGACTTTTCCAGGTTTTATCAAAGTTTATAAAATTCTCTGACATTTCCAGATTTTCCAGGTTTCGGAGGTTGCGTGGCAACCCTGAAACTTTATTTTGTAAGAAAAACACCGTGTGGAGTATTACTAAAATATGTTGAAATTTCAAACGCGATTTTAGGTATTTAATTTTTAAAATTCAACGCTTTATTGTTTATTATGCAATTTCAGCTAGGAGTGTTGGATGTTCTCTGGATGTTTCCACTTTGAGGAGGTTTACTGTACTGAACTTCTTTTAAACTTAACAGCATGTCTTTATTAATACCCATTGTAGTTTTTTAGTCTATGATTGGCTATACATCTGCACTTAATACAGTAGCACTGTTGAGATAAGAAGTGCTCTTAGTGTATCATTAGGTCTAACTATTTTCTATTTTAGAATAAGGAAAAGTAAGTACAATGGACATGTAACGAAATCATTTTTAAATATATCAATTAACATAAATATAATTATTCTTAGATCAAATTTACATAATTTAAAGAGTTTCTAATTTTTGTCATACACATTCAAGTATCTAATCTACTTCTTAAATTAAAAAATGTTTCATCAGCGTAAATCGTTAAAATTGTAAGTTCTAATCTCATAATTATTTTCACCACCAGCCAGAATTGTCAGTTCACTAAAAAACTTGTATAAAAATAAGCAAATTTTTCATTGTCAATATTTCACAATTGTGAACGAGTAAATTGAAATTTTTAACTAAAATATTCCAGTTTTCATATTCAACTGTTTTGTCAATATTTTTAGAATTAATTTACAATTATTTCATCTTTTTATGAATAATTACAACTAATAGTATTTATATACTGAAAATTTCTGCCTAGAAAGCTAATAAACAAACGGTAAGAATTAAAAAAGAAATTAATTTCCCTCCTTCTTAAATTAGAACGACTTTTTTAAAAAAAGGTAAACGAAAACTTACTGAACTAAATACATTTTACTTTAATGCAATAAAATTAAAGAACATTTAATTTTAATTAATTTAAGAACATTTTTTTCAAAGAAGCAATTTCATTAAATTGGCTTCTTCATGTCATGGATAATTTAGCTCGTTTTTAATAAAAGCTTTTAGAAATTTAAATTCTTCTTAGCAACGAGATAGAAGATACGTGCAATAGGAATTTTTTATTTAGTGAAAAGGTTTTAATTTTTGTCAAAAACGTGATTTCTGGAGGTTCAATTCTGTTTTTCTTAATTTTGAGGACTCTGAATAATAAATTTTTGAATTCAGTATTTAAATATTTATTTCATTCTTAAAAAGTTTTTTAGAATTTTTAATTATTTTAAATTACTGAAAATTTTAGAATATTTAGAATATTTAGATTAAAAAATTGAACATGGAAAAATTTTGTTTTCACTAAAATAAGAAAAGTTGAATTAGAAAAATTTTCACGATTACGCTAAATGACTTGAAAAAAGTAAGATACTTCATGGGAAATGATATTTAAAAAATTGTAAATAAAAAATTTAATTTTAGAACTTAAAAATAAATCAATTATTCATATCAAAATAACTTACACATTTAATATTGTAAGAAAAAAACGTATTTTATTAAAATACGTTGAAGAAATTAAAAATCAGTCGCATTTTATTGAAATAAATCGAAAAAAACTAAAAAGAATTTTTTGAAACTAGAACCATTGTAAAATGTTTAGCGATAGAAACTTTATGCTTTTCAATTTCATCTCAAAATAGTAGCATAGATGCCTCGATTATGCTTCTAAATAATGTCAATTATGCTCTTGAAATAGTTTTTTATGCTTTTGGAAAATTTGTTTTTTTTTGTATTTGTAAAAAATATAACTAATTTTAAAAATTAATTCATAATTTAAAACTTAATTAGCGCTCATTGTTACAGTATCCCTAATTTTAATTAACACATTAAAGTGTTACAAAAATGAATTTTGTTAAACTAATTTTATTGGCTAAATTTTTTAAAAAGCAAATTGTAATTTTTATGCCAATACTTACAGAATTGTCTAATTTTTATAATAAAATATTTTAAAGTACAAATATAAAATTGTAGCTCGAGTTGTCAAATTATGCGTCATTTATTATGCTCAATAAATTATCTGCTTTGCAAACCAAAAAATTATTTTCCCTGACAAAATTCCTTTTACAGAAAAAAATAAAAGTTGACGGAAATTCTTCAACTCTTAATCAATTATTTTTAATAATTTTCCGAAAGTTCTTCGAGAATTCAATTATTTAAATACAAAAACTCAATTTTTTATAATTGTAATTGACCATGTTTTTTAAAGGTTATTAAAGTACAATAATTTAAAGAAATTATAATAAACAAATTCTGACAATTCATCTTTCAAAAATATTTTAAAATAATTTTTGAAACATAATAGTTTATAATTATATACAAATGAAAAATTTCTAAACAATTAAAATTTAGTAAAATCTTTCAAAAATAACTGAATTTTTGAAAAATATAACAAAAAAATTCAAATTTTAGAAGAATTTTAATTATAAACTTAAATATGATTTCTCCAAAAGAATAAGTCTAAAAAAAGTAAATTTAAATTTAAAAAAAAATTTTTAAATCTATGATAAAACAATTCAAAGTATCAGTTTATTGAAAAAATTGCAATGCAATTTTTCGAAAATAATTGAATTTTTTAAAAGAATTTTTCGTTTAAAAAAAACTAATTCATTTTCTTTGAAGAATTTTAATTAAAAAATTGTGACATGATTATTTTTTCCAAAATGTTAATAATGATTTTAAAAAAATTAAATGTTTTTGTTTCTTGTTCATATTTGAATTTTTGGAAGTATTGAAGTATTGAAGTATTGAAGCATTGGAAATATTGGAAATAATTGAATTTTAAAAAATTAGAATGACAAAAAGTCTAAGAATTACTTTTTTCAAAAATATTTGAATATTATTTTTTAGAAGCTAAATTTCCATTAATTTTCCTTTTTAAATTTCCACTTATTGAAGATATTTCATTAAAATTGTTGAAAATCTAATTATTTTCAAAAATTTGCAATTAAAATTCTTCAAACATTGATTTTCAAAAATTGTAACAAAATACTTGAAAAAAATTTCAATTATTTTTAAATAAATTTAAAAAAATTTCAATTATTCAAAAAGTTTTTAATTATAGGTATATATTAAAAATGTAATTATTTTTAAAAAATTATTCAAAAATAATTTTTAAATGATTTGTCTGTAGTTATATTTTGCAAATATAAAAATCGAAATAAGTTGCTTTTTATATTAAAGAGTACCCATAGCAATTTTTGAAAATAAGTCGAAAAAAGTCGAAAAAGTCATCATATCTCAATTTCCCTGACAAAAAATGTTTTTCCTGTCATCTTCCTAACTTTACTGACATGTAGCCACTCTGATTGTATTCTTGAAAAAATATTTGCTAAATCCCAGATTTTTTTGGAGGTCTATTTTTGATAATTAATATTATTAAAGGAAATAAAATTTGTACCGTAATATTATGGTTAAAGAACTCAGAAAATCATCGAGTTTCACATATATTAAAATCAGATTGAATAAAAATACGGTTGCAATGACTTTCAGTCAAAAGTCAGTGGACTAACCTTTTTTTTAAGTCCCAAAGGTTTCTCTGTGTACATATAAATCATAGATGTTTTAGAATTTACCTCATGAGAAATTAGCATTCCAAAATAGGATAAATTTTAAAATTAGCAATAATTTCACCGGTTTGTTAAATATAAACACAGTATCTTCTAAAATTCGCACGAATTTTCATTTCGTTAAGAAATTATAATACCATTTAATGGTATGTTTCAATTTTCTGAAAGACCTAGTGTCTCAAAAAGGAAAAAATTATAAAATTATCTTTTTTTAAGATCTCATACCTTCTTTAAAGGTCTTTTTAAGTTAAATGAAAGATGAAAAATGATGCATATTTTTATGCGATTTTCTTCTGCCGACTGACAATTATGGCAAGTACTGTGGACTCTTTCTAAGTTTGTTGAAATTAGCATATATTGACATTGCATTTAATCGGTTTTCTGCTAAGCCTAATTTTTAATCTGATATCCTTATTATACTTCATGCACCTTAAGTAAACTTTAGAATTTATAATAACTCTTTCAGACAATATACTTCACTGCATTTCATAAAATAACACCTAAATGAAAAATCAAGGCATTCGCTTCCTGCTTAAATTTTAAATGACTAGCATTTCCGATCATTGTTAGCCCCACTGTTCCTAAGGCGCAGCCGATCTTGGCGCCTTGGCTGCTTACCCTTTACACTAGAGAATTCTCTTACTTTATTCCCTCGTTCGAGACGGTTCCTCTTCGATGTCTGAGTGGCGCGTTTCTCTCGAATCTGAAAAGTGATTAGCATTTATCTCTCGCTTTTTGACCTCTATACGAAATTACGTAATGCAAAAAGAAGCCTTGAGCTTTAAAATTTACCTTTTGAGCTGATCGAAGCTGGACAATTTCAATGTTTTTGTCATTGTTGGTCATTCTGTATTCTCGCTTGCGAGGGGGGTTTACTACATTGCTCACGTTTCCTCTTTGCTTATGGGATGGTTGTGCAAAAACACAGGGTAAGTTAGAAGCGGAAACGTGAATAGTAGATTCGCCAATCTCCTCAAAGGCAATGGGCGAAAGAAGAGAGGTGTCAGGTACAATAGGGTGCTTAGCAGTTCGGTAAACGGACATGCTGGGATGCTCTATGAGTAGGTCTTCCAGCGGTGACGTTTCGACATGAACGGGACTTGCTCGAGTAAAGCAGGCAGGTGGGGTGACATACCACGATTCATCCATAGAAGTTGCACCCTCAACTGGAAAAATAAGTTATACCATTCTAAAACTTTGGGAAAGATTATTAAACATCCGGGTTATTTGCATCACATCCCATTACTAGAAATCCCTACCACTCGACACTAACGAAATACCGCACATCTCAATATCTCATCGGGGGATTCTGTCAAGAGTCAATACAAAAGTCGCGATATGCAAACAGCTTAAAATCGAGTTGGACACAAATGAACCTTTTTGAAATTAACCATTGAGACGCTACCAAATTCTAACACTTTTTGGCACTCTCTTCCGGTTCACGACACATCACAAATATCTTATCGATATTCATTTATAATATTATTGTACTATAGGTATGAAAACAATTATATAGACTGCAGGGTTGCCAAGCTTTTGCTCATTTCAAATTCCCTGACTTTTCCAGGTTTTTAAAACTACATTTGATGACATCAAAAATTTAATTTTGTCTTTTCCTGACTTTCCCTTGAATTACAGACAAAATTCTTACTTTTCCTTGACTTAAAGAATATTCTCATTGAGTTTAAAAATTATTACTCAGAAAAATGTTCTATTGCTTCTTTTTTAAATAAATATTTCATCATTATTGTTTTTTCATAAGAATTAAGATTTTCAAAAATTTCAAATTCAAACTTTTTGGAAATTAAACAATTTTAAAAAAATTATTATAAAACAAGAAGAAATCCATCACTCTGAGTCTCTGACTCGGAGCAATCAATATCTTCGTGTTTTATAATAATTAAAGATGACCGACTGATAAAATTATTATTTTATATTATTATATAAGAATATTGTTACTGCAACTTCATAAAAATTATTCTCATTTCAATTCAAATATTTTCGAAAATTTTTAACTAAAATTCTTCTTTTATATTAATTATTTTTAATAATAATTTTTGAAAAATTTCTTTGAAAATTTTCAAATTCTTTTCTTTACAATTCAATTTTACGAAATTTCATCGATTATTCGGAAATTTTTCAATTAAATATATATTAGAAAATAAAAACTTCTAATAATTTCAGAAAAGTTCCATTAAACTTTTTTTAAAAAAATTAAATCTACACAATTTTCAGTTAAAAGTATGAAAAATTTAAACTTTCAAAGATTGACCCCATTTAAAAATTCAATTATTTCTAAAAATTCACACTATATAATACTTTCTCTCTAAATTTGAATTATTTCAATTTTCGAGAAATTAGATTAAAATTGTATTAAAAATAATTGAATCTCTGTAAAAAAATTTGATTGAATTGAGAAAAGTTTTTGAAAGTAATTGAAATTTCGCAAAGAATTTTTGGAAATAATTGAATTTTGAAGAAGAATTTTATTATTTATGAAGATAATTGAAATTTTTAGGAGAATTTTTTTAAACTTTAGGGAGCGTTCACAAATGATGTCTCGCTTTTGGGGGTAGGGGAGGTCTCTACTAAACGTGACACAATGTATTTTTCTCATGTGAAATTGCAAAAATTGCGTGACAGGGGGAGGGGGGGGGGGTCGAAAATCTCCAAAAATTGCGTGACATCATTTGTGAACGCTCCCTTAGACCATAATTGAATTTCTGCGAAAAATTTTATTACTTTTGAAAATAATTGAATTCTTGAAATGAATTTTAATAATATATTTCTTTTTAAAATAATTGAATTCTTTTGTGAAATTTTATTGAAATAGATATTATAAATAATTGAATTTTGATAAATTATTAAAATTAATTAAATTTCTACGAAGAATTTTATTAAAATTATTTGGAAAAAAAAAATGAATTGATAAAAAGAATTTCATTAAAATTTTTGAAAATAATTTAATTCTTTTAAGAAATTTAATTAACAATGTATTGACAATAATACTTAAATTCTAATAAATAAATTAAAGGAAGGCTTTTTAAAACAATTGAATTTCTTTGATGAATTTTAATAAAATTTTTTAAGAATTTTTCATAACATTTTTCGTATATTCCATTAAAATTGTATTAAAAATAATAGAAATTCTGTGATGAATTTTATTACTTATAAAAATAATTAAAAACCTATATAGAATTTTATTATTTATGAAAATAATTGAATTCCTGGTAAAAAATGTTATTCTTCATGAAAATAATTGAAATGCGAAGAAATTTGTAGAAAATTTGTAAATAATAGAATTCCTGCGAAATTTTTATTATTTAATTCAATCATTTAAAATCGGAATTTTCTAAAATTTCAAATTAAAAAATTTTGAAGTTCATCTATTAATTATGAAAATTGTAAACGTGACTCTCTTAAAATTGAATTAATTTTGAAATATTGAAGTAAAATTAGATTTCAAGAATAAGCACAAATAACTTGAAAAACAATAATTTTCCAGGACTCTGTTAAAAATTCCCTGACTTTTCCAGATTTTTTCAAGGTTTATTAAATTCCCTGACATTTCTAGGTTTCCAGGTTGCGTGGCAACCCTGTAGACGCTGACGGTTTGAGAAATTCCAGTATATTTCAAAGCTTTAATTTTTTCCAAAATAACTAAGATCGTTAATACTTGTTTTTCGGCAAAACAATCGGATCTTAGTGGTTTTGAAAAAAATCTAAGCGAACTTATGACTCTGAATTAAATTTTCTAAAACATACAAATCTAACAGTGAAATAAGCCATGAATTCATGGACCCTATTTAATGTTTCGTAAACTGCAACCAGATTTGGATATTTTTGTGCCAAATCGATCAACATTTATCAAAGTAGCAAAGCAATATTTTAAGTCTTCGGTAACTTTATTTTTTTGTATTAATATAAATACTTTTCAAGATGTAATTTCTCGATAATTTATCTCAGCAATGGTTCAATAGGACCACGAGAAACATAGTTATACTAAATAAATTTATTAATTAATTTAAGGATTTTTGGAAAGTACCTGTTCGGTCAATGAGAATCCAATCATTTTCTTCAACTTCAATTTGTTTTAGCCTGGTTTGTGCGATGTAGTTATCAATGTTTTCAACATTTATATCGTCCCTGGGCTCTGAATTGTCAGAAACACTACTTCTAAGTAAATAATTTGCTAAGCTGTTCAACATCTCGATCCAGTTGGTACTTATCTGAAAATTATTAAAATTTCCAATTAGAAAACACATAGAGAATTTCTGCTTAACAAGTATTTAAAAATTTGCATAAAGAAAGAGAAATACGATCAATTGTAAGTAGCGTTCGAACATGAATGGTTCCAGTTCGAACACTAATCAATATAATTTGATAATTTTACGCAAACGTCTAAATTTTAATAAATTGTTCTTCTCTCGAAGAAAATACGATTTTTTGAGGTTCTATTAAAATTCAATTATTATATATTTATTAAAATTAGAAAAATTAAATATTCCAACGGTTTATTATTTAATTTAAAGTTAAGACAGGGGATCTGTAAAAGTTAATATTTGAAAAATTTCATTAAATTTTCTGAGACAATTCATAACTTCTTGGTTCAGTTCGCGCAAAGTTGCTCAATTGCGAATTTTACAGTATACAGATATACTCTTTTAGTACCAACAAGTGATGCAAAGAAGTGTTATTCAAATAAAAAATAGTGGACTAGATTATTGTTTTATATATACATGATTTTGGCAAAGTTGCAAGCAATTGAACATCAGAAATATAAATTCGCAACGGTATGTCATTTGAGGGTTAAAATAATCAGAAGTATTTTGTCAAATTCTCAAGTCACAATCTATTTAAAGTGACATGAAAAATTTAATAGTCCTGTGATCTTAGTTGAAAAAGAGAACAAATTTCGATTTAATTTCGAACCGAAATTTTATTTTTTAGTATAGAAATAAAGTAACTTTTTTTGCGCCAAAAATCATATTTTTGCCTTCTTTCACTTTTATTTAACGTCAAAATAGTCATTTGAAAAAAAGAGCGACTAGTAAACAAATTTTAGAAATTTAAAAATAATATCTCAGCAGCTCCAAAAGCTTACTCATTGTGATACACAGCCTCCGCAAAAAGCGAGGCAACAAGTCCGTCTTTTGTCAATTTTATTATAAACATATGTATACATTATATTTGACATATTTTTGTGAAAAATGGTTTAGATAAGAATTAAATTCGACTATAATACTCGATAATTTGTGAAGAAAAGCATTATAAATCGAATAGTTTCTGAAATAAATCTTCTCTAAGTTGACCCTTTGTCAAGTTAGATAACAAGTCCAGTCTTCTATTGATAATAAATATTTTTTTACTTTGAAACGTAGGCGTTCAAAACTTATTTAAAGATTTTTAAATTCTACGTAAAACCAAAGATAAAAAAACATTTAACCTTCAAAAATGTCCTGAGTTACATTTTTTTAAATATCTATTTTTACTAAAACCTATGGATGACTGTTCTGCATGTGACACTTTCGAACTTCGAATTTTCAATTTATTTATTCTTTGCAATTGTATCGTTTTTTTTAAGTTACTTAATTTTCAATTTAACTCAAATTAAAGTTAAACAAAATTATTTCTTGGAAATATTAAAGTTTGACTTTTGACTTTAAGAAGAGAAATAAGTTTGATAACTTTTTAGTAAATTATTCTCTATAAAATTTAACTTGCGAGTTTTTTTTATAAAAAAAATACACTGATATCATTCCCGTAATTCAAAATAAAATGACATCCCTATTGTTTTAAAAGAAAGAAATTTGAAAAAAAAACTTTTTTAATCGCAGAGGGTCGATCTAACCCATTACTTTTTTTTAATCAAGTATAATTATACAAAATGACTGTATCGATTGCCATCAAACTATTCTGAGGTATAATGTAGAATCAATACAAATAATTGATAAGAAATTGAAGTATATTGACATTTTTAAACAGTTTTAAATAATTTGCGAATAAAATTGCTTTGAAAAATTGAATTTTAGGGAAGAAATTGTAACTTTTTTTTTGTAAATTTTTGATATTTTAAGCTAAAAATTTATATATATAATTATGAAAACTTTGAAAGTAACTAATAAAAAAGTAGTTTTATGTTGAATGTTAAAAAACAAAAATTTTGTTGAAAGTGCATACATGGTTCAAAAACTAACCCAACACTGATTTTGAATACTTCGCATATCGATAGTTGGGCACTATGCAGTTTATAACAAGCGGTTGAAACAATAGTTTGAAACTTTGAGGTTGATGCTCGCAACGTTTTTAAAAAAGAAAAAAATATAGTGCGAAAATATACTTTAATTTCAGCTTCAAATTCATATTATTTTTCTTGATGAAATTAAGGGTGAATTTTTTTTCTTTTCGTTAGTTTATTTTTGCACGCCTCGAATCGAATAGCGCAGAAAAAATTAATTTAAATAAAACTGCATTTTATTTATTTAAAATTTTTTTTAAAAATTTAATCCAAACTGTATAAATATTAAAAATGATTCCAAAAAATTTTAATGTTATTTTCTGTTTGTATTTGAATTTTCGAAAAAATGTACATAATTAAAAATATTGAAAATAATTGAAATTTAAAAAATTAGAATGAAAATATTCTAAGAAAATTACCCTTTAAAAAATATTTGTATATAATATTTAGAAGCTAATTTTCATTAATTTTCAATTTCAAATTTACGCTTGAAGATTTTTCATTAAAATCTTTGAGAATTTAATTATTTCCCAAATTTGCAATTAAAATTCTTCAAAAGTTGATTTAAAAAAATTTGTAATAAAGTACTTAAGAAAAAATTAATCAAAATCTTTTTAATTGTATATTTTAAAAATTTAATTAGAAAAATGATATGATTCAAAAATAATTTTTGAAAGATTTCTCTATAGTTATTTTTCACACTATATAAAAATCGAATTAAGTTGCATTTTATGTTAAAAATGTGTTAGTTTGTTGCAATATTTGGATAAAAAGTAAAAAAAGTTGCAATTTTGGAAAATTTTTGAATTTTTAATTAATTTTTTATAATATTATTATAATAATTATAATATTCTTATAATATTAATTAATAATAACATTTAATTTAATAATATTAAATTATATATAATATAATATAATAATAATAATAATAATAATAATAATAATAATAATAATAAAATTATAATCTAATTAATTTTTTCTAAAAAGTCGAAAATATAATATTCGAGGCCCGTTTTTGAGACAAAGGAAAAAAGATAATTTTATTGTTTTAGGAAATTTTGTTAATAAGTATATGGAGAAAAAATTAATTAGGTAAAGAAAGGAACCAACTGTCAAGATATTATTATTAATCTGATACTTATCTGAAGTGTCAATTCAATTACGCAACATAATTATTCACCTATATCTGATTGAATATTATAACATAATAATATTATTATTGAATTCACTTTAATGTAAATATTTAATATAATTTTTTTATGCGTATAGAAAAATATTATGTTGAAGAATCTAGTTTTGTAGATTTTGTAAAAAAAAATAAATTTGTATAAATAAAAGTGAGTAAATTTTGAAGGTTAAATGCTTTTTTATCTTTTGTTTTACGCAGAACTTAAAAATATTTAAAACAGTTTATGAACGCCTACATTTAAAAGTCAACAAAAGCTTAATACTTAAGAGAAAACTGAAACTCTACAATATAACCTGAAAAAGGGTCAAAAGGGAGTGTATATATTGGAGGCACTTTTTTTATAATAGGTATGAAAAATTTAGCTTTCACTTTTTTATGAACCACTTTTTCGAAAAAAAAATTACGTCATGCACAAAAAATTGAAAACAACTAATTTAAAAAATATAAAAATAATAATTCTTTGACGCAAAAATGTTACCGAGAGGGAAAAACTGACATAAATTTTATTTTTGGCACTTATTTCAGGAAATATTTCCGGGTTCCGTTAGCACTTCGTGAGTATCGAATTCGATACTTCATTTTAGCTTCGAAATGACGCTATTAGACGAATAGACGTCAAAATCGAATATATCTAAAAAAATTCTCATTTGACTGCACTAAAAATAATTTTTTTTCACCGTAAAAAATGTTTAGTTGTAAAAAAGAATTCACAAACACTGAAGTAATACTTTGAAACGAATCTAATTGAAATAAAGAACTTATTGATGCTATATGTTAAAACGTAATATATATTATTTCACAAGATCCAAAAACAGTTCGTTCACTATTACGAAACTGTATACATACAAAAGCCGTATACACTTTGTCTTAAAAATAGTATCTAGTAAAACAAATTAACTATTATGACATTCGTTTAACAATCAAAGAAAATCCACTTTTATTCTGTCAAAATAAATTTTCAAACACATCACTAACGATCAATATATTTGCTAGAAAATAGGCTTCAAACAATTATCGATCGGAAATTGAAAATTATATTTTTATTCACATTGACAATAAAATATATATTTTTAAAAAATTAGATTTACTGTTAAACAAATGAAATTTAAAATGCTCGAGAGAATATGCGTTTTAAGACTTTAGACTCTTTAGAGAAAAAGAATAATGTACCTTCCCAAAGCGCATAGACGTCATTTATCGTGAACGTTTAAAGTGGAAAATTGTGGAGCTGTATGAAAAAGAAATCGAAATAAAATGACATACAGACACAACTATAAAACAGATACTATTATAAATATCGAAGTACGTAATGACGCATATCTCCCACCAACCTCATTAAGTTCGCATGTAATTGAGAGAAAATAAAAACCACTTACTTTGCAATGTTTAAATACCTGATACTAACGATTGACACATAAGAAAAAAATGTTGAAGGTTTGTATACATATATTATGAGCTTATAACATTAAAATGGGTTTACGAACTTTGTCCAAAAAGACAGATATAATCTGAGTAAAAAAGCACGAATTCGCAAACTAGTTGTGACACGAATTATGAAAATCAACTATTAAGTGTTACGAGAGATAAATAATTTGTCTAATTCTACCTTCTAAGAATTCACAACAGAAACTATCCGTCAGCTGATTTCAACTGACGTATGACGTCGATAACAGCTGAGAAGATTGAAAGAAAACTGGAGAAGAGTGAGGGAAAACGATGATCAAACTACCAAGGTCCCCCCACGCGCAGATAATTATTGTAGTCGTCCAATCACAAACCAGTACTCAATATACGACCATTTTGAATACCGCGTGCTTTCAAATTGTAAACACTTATGAATTGTTTGCAGGCTTTAATTAGCGAGAACAACAATAACAATTTAATAGATAATTTAATAATTATAGCAGAAAAAATTCTTATATTGCATATAAAAACACCTTTACAGCTAGATGTCAACACGATTTCGACATTTTTCAGTAAATTTTTACCTGGCAACACACCTTAATGTAGCGTTCACATGCTTGCGTTCTAATAGCACTCTAAAGGAGCGTCTACAATAGGTGACAACTGACAAGGGTAGGTGGCCAAAAGACAAACTTGCGCCTGTATTGACAGAAATTTAGCGACTTTTCTAAGTTTGAGATGTTGGTAAAGTGGAAATTTGCCCATATGAAAATGTCACATAAAAATTGTATTTAGCATAATTATGAACATCAATGAACATTCTGACAAACAAAAATTCTGTTTTTGAACATTCTGTTCATTCTGTTCAAACAAAAATAAAATGTAATTTAAAAAATTGCGCAGATGAAATTTCTATTTCAGAGAAAACAAAATTCGGTTAAGAAAGAACTCTTTCTAATATTTTTTATGATTATTAAAAATTCCTCTGACATTCTCGCAGTGATTGCCTTTTAAAAATGGCTGATTTCAAAATGATTTTTCTCCTAATTCGGAAAGTTATTGCAAAATCTGAAAAAATACCAGATATCCTGAATATTTTATCTTTCATTTACGCACAAGAAGTAAAAGATTTATTTACATTTACAACGACAGGAAGTAAAATAGAAAAAAGTTAAAGTTTTAAAAGGCGATTACTGTCTGAAATTGCGCAACACCGTTAAATTGGAAAGCTCATGTCATTTAGATAATAAAAACTGTATAAAAATTGACTATGTATTTAAACAAATTAAAGCAATAAAAAAATTACACGAGAAGCGTGTAATTGAGCCAATTACTGCGACGAAAATAGCGTGTATTTAGAGGTTATGTTGCTCCCAGTAACTGAAGCACATGCATTCAATCGAAATGTACCAGTTGCTATGCGATAAGCAATTTTCGTTCTTAAATAATTAAATTAATAATAGTTTAAATGTGTTTCTTTACGTACAATTGTATTGAATAAGGTCGAAAATAATTTTTTCAAAAAATCACAGTAACTGGAGCAGTCGCAGTAATTGGCGCACTTACCCTTAAATTGTTTATGATAAGGCGGCCCGCTAAAAACATTAATTTCAAATGGAAAAATGTAATATAGTTCCATGTGCGGGTGCGTTTATAAGTCCAACGCACAATAGGTTCGCGAACGAGACGCATGAGATAGACAAGGACACAAATATATCTCTGTCCTTTTCTAACTCATGCTTTGCGTTCGCGAACGACTTTCGCGAAGCTATTGTGCTTAGGCCTATACACCCTCTGTCGGAAGAAAAAAATTTATCGAATAATGTCGAAATTGATCGAAACTGCGATGACACCTGACTGTAAAGGTGTTTCTACAATAGCTTCACAAATACATTTGTATTTGTCTTGCCTGATTTCAAACAGTGGTCGCTCTTTAAAAATGGCTGCTTGAACATAATTTCAAAAGGATTTTTCTCCTAATTTGGACAGTTATTGGAAAGTCGGAAAAAATACCAGTTATTCTGAATATTTATTCTTTCATTTGCGCACAAAAAATTGAAAATCCAATATAATACACGACGTCAGGAAGTAAAATTAGAAAATTTTATGGTCTCATTAGATGCTGCCCTCTGGCGATAATTTTATGTGCCCCACATTTGTTTAACTTTTTTCTATTTTACTTCCTATCGTAAATGTAAATAAATCTTTTACTTCTTGCGCGCAAATGAAAGATAAAATATTCAGGATAAATCTGGTATTTTTCCGATTTTGCAATTACTGTTCGAATTGGGAGAAAAATGCTTTTAAAATCAAGTATACGTTTAGGCAGTCATTTTTAAAAGGCGATCATTGTGCAACACCATTAATGAGAGTGAAAAGGATAGTGATATTCGACTATCTCTTTTGCACATGTAAAATTACTTCCCGATAGGGAGTTCAACAAAATTTGTAACTATTTTAAAATTTACACTTTAATTTAAAAATATTAGTAGCAATTAACCATTAAAATTTGTTTATTTACGAATTCTAACATTTAAAGCCATTACTGTAAAGCACTATTGAAAAGATTGAAAGCACAAAGAAGAAAGAAAGATGCCCGAGGCACGCATCGAAGCACCGTACAAGGCACTCATTTACAGGGTGTTTCAATCGGCATTCACTCTGCGCGTCATAGCGCGAGTGACGCTTTGACTTTTTTACGCCAACATGTGACGGCACCTTTATGTTCTGTCCTTGTTCAACTCACGTGAACGTGTGCGCTAGAAAAGGATGTCAAAGTCCATACTTTCCAAATTGACAGAACCCGAATTCAGCCCATTTGATCGTAGCGCTCATAATGTCCGATTTGAGAAGTGCAGGCTCCTGGACAGAATACGACTCTCCTCCTCCCACTACATACTCTAGAGTCCAGATCTGTTTATATGATTGTGACAGAACCTGATGTCTAAAGTAGTGTTAGTGCGTAAATGCCCTAGCGTGTAGCCCCAGCAGTAGAGTAGCCAAAGTGAACTAGTGAATGAAAGGTGTGTCAATGTTAGTTTTCTAATAAAAAAAAAATGTTAAAATATTGCACAGCAACTATTAGACACTGCAGAGATTATGCTTTTACTTTGCCTATTGATTTACATTCTCCTTTTTCAATTGTAAAGTCAGTGTAATGTCGAGTGACAACCGACGACTGTCTTGTCTTTAGGGTCGATAGACATTTGCAGTTGCATTGTGCATTCTTTTTTTTCTCTAAAAATTCCAATAATTTTCAAAAACCCCTAGAAATAATGCCTTCGCTGTTTAGAAAACAAGTAGCATTGAGAGAATCGAAACTAGAAGTGCATTTAATTAACATTATTTTCGATATTTGAGAGTATTTTCTAATTTTAACTGATGGGAAATATTTTTCTGTCCCTCAGTTCTTAGCCGGCTTTGATTGTGTTATTTAGAAAGAATCTATTGCAGTTTAGTGTGAGACTCGGATTTGTTGGTTGATTTAAAGTCTAAATTCTAGGCATATTCCTATTGACGACAAGCAGAGTGCGTGTGAGTGTGTGAGTGCATGTGTATACGCATGTGTGTCTATGGCTATCAATGCATTTAAATATGTTTATTTTCATACTTTTAATGACAGGTAAAAGAAGTATTTCTTTGAGTTTTTTTCTTTGGTAACGCCTAAACAGTTGATACTTAGTATTGTATGTGGAAATCCGGTAACCTGAACTTTAAAGGACATGGAGGCCAATTGATAAAGTGAAGTCTTGAATCGCAAGTGTTAAATATACAACATTGCTGGATTTATCCTTATAATCCGACATTGTTAACCCTTCATTATTGAAGTGACAGTGTTTAATGTTTTGTCAGCTGCACTAGTTCGAATCTTGAGATTCAAAGATGATCATGAGTGTGGAATTCTCGTTCTAAGGTAATAATTATTCTCTTCATTATAATTATTAATTCATTTATTCTTTTTTTTTAAATAAAAATTAATATTTCTAAAAATGTGTTAATGAAAGAAATAGTGTAGAATTTCAGAAGCTCACATTTAACTCTGCTTTTTTTTCTTCTCAAATGACTTGATTTCGTAATAAATTAACAAAACAGTTTTTTTTCTAACAAAAAGATGAATGATTTACGGTGTTGATTATTCTAAGCTATAAAAACTGAATATTATGGTAATTTTTAAAAAAATACTCCAATGCTTAAGCATTGAAGTGAATCTGTATTTTATCTATAAATGAAAATTTTTTGAAGCAAAATTTTTTTTCAAATTTTATAATTTCGATTGTAAATACTTTTTTTAAAAATAAAATTGTAATTATAAGATGACTTTGTCTACAACAACCTGTAGCCAAAAAGGCAGAATAATTTTTAATTTCAAATTATATAAAATTGACATTGTATCAAATTAAAGACATGTTTCCATTTTAATCATGATTTAAATCGAATTTTTACTTAAAAATAGGTTTTTTAATCTTACTTTTAAATTTAGGGAAGAATCCAACAAAGAATCGGAACAAAAGATGAAACTAAAGTTACGTTTACGACGATGAAATTAAATAAAAAAAACTTCAGTTTTTTGTAATTATTCGGCTCGATTGGATTAAAAGTCTAATTAACTTCTTTTTATAAAAAATTATATTGGTTGCATTTGAATAAAAATTACAATTTTCTGTCAATAAGAAGCGATTTAAGATTTCTTATTGACAAAAAATTGTAATTTTGATTCAAATGCAAGTTTTAATTGCTTAAATTCTTGGAAATTAAATTCTTTATCCTCCTACTTGTTTAAAGTTTTAAATTCTGAAAATAAAAAACTTATAAGAAAACCATTATGTCTTATTAAATATAAAAACTGTTAATTAAGGAGAAGGTAGTCATTTATTTTTTCAACATGTTCAGTTAAATAGATTCTTAAGAAAAATAAAAGTATCTATTCTTTGTTGCTTCTATTACAAAATTAATTTTTTATTATCATTACTAAAAAGCCAAGATTCTGAAAAAATTTGATTTAAATAAAAAAAAATCAGACAAGTGCGAGTTTTATTCACATAAAAACATAGGTTTAAGAGCTCTCTATATTGTATCTCAGTTAAAAATATCTAATTGTTAGTAAAATGTCTGACTTTGTAAAATAACTAATTATTAGTAAACAAATAACTTCGAAAATAGTCAAATTTCAATAATTTTAAGTAGTTAAGCCCTAAGCACAATAGATTCGCGAACGTGATGCATGAGATAGAAAAGAACAAAAGTTATGTCACGAAGTCCATTCGCGAATCTATTGTACTTTATTCAAGAGAAAAAATACTGAAAAACCTCAAAAACTCGTTTTTCGGTGTCTTTAACCGCTTTAAGTTTATTTTTTGAAAACAATATTTTTTTTGTATTTTTACAGATATTGGTCTTGTAGTGTACGATTTAAGGTTTCTAAAGTCCGCAATTTTTTTACTCTCTAAATTTGAATTAGTAAAATTTACTTATGAACTTGAATCGACAAATTTTTTTTTAAAAATTTAAAAATGAAAATTTTTTTTACAATTTTTTAAACTGATGCACATTTTTTAAAAATTGCAGACAAAATTTGAAACTTAAATAGATGTCATCATTCAAGTCTCATCTTTAATTTAAGACCAAAAAAGTTTAAAAAATCTTATTGGGTTCGCAAGATATCATTATAAATGTCAGAGCATTTTCAGTCAAAAACCGTACAAAATTTACTATTTCAATGCATTTTGTCCAAAAACAAGCTCTGACATTTATAATGATATCTCGCAAACCGAATAAGATTTTTTAAATTTTTTTGTCTTAAGTTGAGACTTGAAGGATGACATCTATATAAGTTTTAAATTTTGTCTATAATTTTTAAAAAATATGCAGAAGTTTAAAAAACTGTAAAAACAATTTGTCGATTGCTAGAATCTTTGTGTAATTTATTAAAATTTTCAATTGTTTATCATTCAACGTAGAATATTATAAGCTTCCGTAAGGTATATTTCTTAATTTTCTGACATTTGATTTTTCAGAAAAATCGTGATTTAAATATTGGTATGTTTTTGGGCCATGCGCGTGGAGCCGTACCGTACCGATAATTTCTGACGGTAGTGTAAATAAATTAATTAATATTACTCAATGATCGACGAAAAATAAAATTGTTTACAAAAATTAAAATTAGATTTCCAGACTTGAAAAAAAAGAACAAAAATTTTTTTTTTATCCCTGAGTTGAAAGTTTTTCTCAGAAAAATATTGTTAAGAAAATTACATTTTGCGTGATTTTATTAAACAGTTTTTATTTTTAATATTTTTATTTACAGATTTTCGAAAATTATCAAAAAACAGATAAAGAGGAATTGATTTTTTTTCACAGGGAAAGGAAAATCAAGATTTTATGTCATGATATTTCTTAATGCCTTTAGTTTCGCTTAATAATAATGAAGCGAAAATTCATACTTACCTTTTTTTTGCATTACATTATCCGTTTAAAATAGCCCCGACATAAGCATACCCTTTCTCTTCAAATAGTAATTGTTTAAACGCAAGAAAGATTTCTTGATACGATTGCAGGACCCTTCACGTTACTTTTTGCAGCGGTTGAAAAAGGGCTTTTATTTCTATATTTAAAATTGTACAAAAATTCCCTTCAAAATTTTAACTTAATAGAAATCTTTATTTAAAAATTATTTTTAAAAATTTATTTTTGTTAAAATTTTTTTAATTTTTTGGGGCTTGTAACTTTGCTTTTTCCACTTTTTGACATAAAAATATCAATGTATTCTGTCTGATGTAATTTGTAGTTACACTTCTTGTATATGAAGAAAAGCGTGCGAATAAAAATCTGTTTTTTATTAACATCTGACACCATTAAGAAAGAAATGAGAGATGGATCAGGAAGCAGAAATGAATGTTACTATCATGTTTCGTACAAATACCTATATTTCATAACAAATTTCTTGCAATAGGAGCCAATACTTTGATACATGGCTTTTGTACTCTCTAAATCTGAATGAGTGAAAAGACTTCCACGTAAAAAAATAAGTGCCTTACACTTAGAATAAGTGAAATTCAACTTTTTGCGTTGAAGACTTTTGAAACATAAATAAGTGAATATGCACTTATTCAGATTTAGAAAGTAGAAAAAACAACGCCTAAAATAAATAATCGCGTTGCTTTTGACGTACAACAAAAAATTTTGGGGCACATGACTCATCCCAAATTATAATCATTATAATAATTGTTATTTAATGGAAAAATCTTAATGATCATCATTTACTCGAAAGGTAGGTACATTGAAAATAAATATTTGTTATAATTTTTTTAATAAAATTTTATTTATAAAGATTTTCTAAATATTATAATAATATTTGGTAAATCTTATTTTCAAAACATAAGTTATCGTTATCATCCAGCAGAGTATGAACGTAATCCGTGTGGGGGCAGTTTTACCATACAGCCGGTTATGTATGGTAAAACTGCCCCCACACGGATTACGTTCATACTCTGCTGGATGATAACTTATGTTTTGAAAATAAGATTTACCAAATATTAGCTTATTTGACTAATTGTTTATTTAGTTATAAATTTGTAAAAGCGAAAAAATTGAATTTATCGAGAACGGTTCAATGGATTTCAATGAAATTTATATAATGTATGTAAACTTGTTAGGGGTCATTCAAGTATTATGCAAAAAATTTATAATAATTTTTTAACAAGAAGGGAGATTAAAAAAACATCGAGTCATACATGTTTTTGTAGTCGCACTTTAATACTTTTACAAAATTTAATTTATATTCTCTCTCCGTGTTGAATTACGCAAGTTTAAAATTATACTAATTTATATAATTGAAGAGCTGGATGCTACACAAATTATAAAAACTATTTATTCTATTATATTACATATAACTTCATAGTCTTGTTGTTCAGTCATATTTGACCGAATCCATTTCAAATTAGGCAAGTCGACAAACTTCAAGTTATAGATTTTACCTGTCACTGAAATATTTTATTCTACATGGAAAATAAAGAGACTAGTATTTTTTATTTTTCAAAAAACTAAATTTAACCAAGTTACGCACATTTGATCTTTGTGTAGTAAAACTCGAATAAACAATGAAAAAAAATTGTTTTGCTTGTATTTTTTTTCTCTTAAGTATAATTTAATTTTCTTTCTTGGGTCTTGTATATAGATGGTTTTGTCCTCTTCAAAATCACGTTTGAAATCTGTAAAAAGTTTTACAATTAACAAAATAAGGGATGAATTTCTTAAAATAAATAAGATCAATTTTCTCAAAACCCCCACTTTTTTATGTAATGAATCTTCTACCACAAATTCTTAAAATAATGAAGAACAATTCCTGTGAGTTTCAAGCTGGCTAAACCATTCTGACATTCAGGAGAATATTTTTTTTGAAATATTTATTTTCATAAAATATTAAATTGTTTACGTGCATTTTTAATTAAGAATAAATGAATCGTTATAACATTATTGGCGTGAATTTCCGAGAATAAATGAAATGTTATAACAATTCATTTGTTCTAGATAATGCATGTCAACAATTTGAAATTTGCGAAAATAAATACTTCAAAAAAAAAAAAATTCTCCTGAATGCCAGAATGGTTTAGCCCGCTTGAAACTCACAAGAATTGTACTTCATTATTTTAAGAATTTTTGGTAAAAATTTCATTATAATCAAAGCTGGGGTTTTTGAGAAAATATTGATCTTATTTATTTTTAGAAAATCATCCCCTATTTTGTCAATTTTAAAGCATTTTACAAGTTTTACCAACGGGATTTTGAAGAGTACATAACCATCTACAAGACCCAAGAAAGAAAATTAAATTATACTTAAGAGAAAAAAACACAAGAAAACAAATTTTTTTTTTATTTACAATATTTAAAAATCTGTAAAAATAAAATTCGATTCAAAAATATATAACAAATATGTATGCTGTCGTACCCGTCTTCGACGGGTTTTAGATTCTACCAATACATTTAACAATGTTTATACCAATCTGGAAAATCAGAAAATAGCCGGGAATTTAAATTGACCGGAAAATAAATAATAAGTTACCATTAGCTACTTCGGTAGTATAATATTACTATTTGAATAGTCTCCACCCTTTGGTAAAAAATCTAATAATTTGAAAAATTAGCAAAAATTCAAAAACCCGAATTTCTTAAAATTCAACATTTTTTCCTCTCTTTTATGGGATTTAGCTTCATTATTTTTGTGCTTTTGGAAAATACTGTACCTATTAAATTGTCTCGACTCTTTGGTAAAAAATCTAAAATTATCAAAAATTCGAAAAAATTCAAAAACCCGAATTTCTTAAAATTCAACATTTTTCCTTCTTTTTTATGGAATTTAGCTTCATTATTTTTGTGCTCTTTAAAAATACTTTACTTATTTAATAGTCTTCACCCTTTGGTAAAAAATCTAATATTTTGGAAAATTAGCAAAAATTCAAAAAACTGAATTTCTTAAAATTCAACATTTTTCCTTCTTTTTTATGGCATTTAGCTTCATTATTTTTGTGCTCTTCAGAAATACTTTACTTATTTAATAGTCTTCACCCTTTGGTAAAAAATCTAATATTTTGGAAAATTTGCAAAAATTCAAAAACCCGAATTTCTTAAAATTCAACATTTTTCCTTCTTTTTTATGGCATTTAGTTTCATTATTTTTGTGCTTTTCAAAAATACTTAACCTAATTTGTTATCTCCACCCTTTGGTAAAAATTCTAAAATTATGGAAAATTTGCAAAAATTCAAAAACCCGAATTTCTTAAAATTCAACATTTTTCCTTCTTTTTTATGGCATTTAGCTTCATTATTTTTGTGCTTTTCAAAAATACGTCTTTTTTATAAATTTTATTGTAGAAATGGGTTGTCTTTATCGGAAAAAGTTAGCTAAGGATAGTTTTGCATTCATTTTACAAAAAATAAAAAATTTGCATTTTTTTGATTTTTCGAATTTTTTGGAAAAATGTCATAACTTTCGTTCAAGTTAATATTTTTTAATCGGATAAGGCTATGATTTTAAGTTACGTTAATACCTAATAGACTGCCAAATTTCAATTGATGCGCGAACAAAGTTTTCCATACAAGCAGACAGACAGACAGAAATTTTTTTTTTACATTTTTCGAATTCTAATGTCTCAAAACGAAAAAGTATATAAAAATTTTCAAGTTTGGAGCAATGTACAGACAGAAGTCTGATTTTATTAATATAGATAAAGATTATAATTTGGGAGGTGTCATGCGCTCTAAAGTTTGTTAGTGCTTTTAAATTTTAAACTGCTGGCTTCCCAGTGTCAAATTCAAATGTCAAATTGTCAAATTAAATTTGACAATAAGTGCTATACATGGCCTAAAAATTTCTAATTTAATATCAGTTTTTAGAAATCCAATATGGCGGAAAAAATTAAAAAATTTAAGCTATTAAATTATAAGAATAACACGACTTTTTAAATTTTTTCCGCCATATTGGATTCGACATATTAAATTTCTAAAAACTGGTATCAAATTAGAGATTCTTAGGCCATGTAAAATTTTAACCAAAACTCAAAGTAGCATTTTGTTTATGTTATAACATTTAAATATTGACAAAAACGGCTTTTTGCAAACATTTAAAGGTTAGAATATCTCTGAACAGTGGCGGATCCAGTAGGGGTTGTTAACCCCCCCCCCCTAAGAGTCAAATATTCCTATGAGATAGAAAGAAGAAGTCTTGTCTGGATCCGTCACTGTCTCTGAATCCAGACGTGTTGGAAGAATTTTAAGGTTATTTTCGGATTCAGCGTAAAAAATACATTATAAATTACTATTGCAGTTTGTCGGTCTAAAATTTCTAGGCCTGTGAAATAATTTTAAAAAATCATCACCAAATTTTACATTTTTGTAATTAAAAAGACATTTTAACCCTCTGCCTACGCAAATGACCGTTATCGACAATTAGGTTCGGATTCCATTGATTTATTTTATTATTCGTAAAGGATGGGGAAATGTAAATGACCCAAAGGGCCATACACTTGAAAGTCATAAATAAATTTTTTGTTTGTTAATACAATATTTAACTAAAATTAATCTTTAATGTTGTATTATTTTCAGAATAATTTGAATAGTTTGGAATAATACAGAAACAAATTATTTTCACAAAATGTGGAATATGATGTGTGACGTAATGCCAACTATCGTGGAAGATAGTATCAGCCAGCGAAGCTCTCAGTTCTCTGGTGAAGATGCTAATTTTGAGCAACTTATGGTTTCTATGCTGGACGAGAGAGATAAGTTGATGGACTCTTTGCGCGAAAGCCAAGAAAGATTGCAAGAGGCAGAATCAAGACTTCAAGAATTAGAGAAAGAACGAGATGCTTTAAATCGACAAATTACAGCAAGTGTGCCTCAGGTAACTTTATATATAATATTTTCTTTCTCCTACATTTAAGTGTTTAAGCAGTTTTTAAAAGAATCACAGTAAATTTATTAAAATCGGACTTTAAGAAAAATTATTCAAATCCTTCGCGTTTCGTATAAGGTGATTTTTAATGAGGAAATTTGAACTCCTTATTCCAGTTTTGTACAGTTTAGTCAACCAAACTGTACTGTCTCGTGTGATATTTCCAAACAATTTTTTTCTGTATATTACATATAATATTTTTATATATTTTTACAGGAATTTTCTCAATTGACAAAAGAATTGACATCCGCTCGAGAAAGTATTTTGGAGAAAGAAGAAGAGATTTCAGAATTGAAAGCTGAGCGAAATAATACTAGGGTGAGTTTTTTACTTTATTAGTATTTTTGTTGCTTGTCTTAGTTGATTTTCAGATGTACATTTTCATTTTTTTTTATTTTTTAATCTTATTTCAAGTGGTATAATTTTTTGCTTTTTCTCTTGGATAAGAATTCCTGAAGTGGTTCGCAAATTATCGTTCGAATATGGAACATTAATGATGACTATAAGTTTTAATAATTCATGATGACACTTTTGGACCAGTACATAAGTATAATACAATATGATAGTTTATATAGCTATATTTATTTTTTATGAAAATGAAATTTTCTGGAGCTGGAAAGCTTTTAGAGGAATAAATATACATTATTATTACCAAGAGAATTAAGTCAATATAATTATTTAATATTTGTTAACCATATCAGAAAGATAGCAATCATTTCTATAATGTCATACATGGTATGGCAAAAGAATGAATCGTCTAAAATATTTCTTCAAAAATATGTATTTTGGGGCAAAATATTTCAAACAAAAGTTGTTAAGTTTAAAAAAGTGTATTTAAATTTATGAATGTTTTAAGCGCACAACTTTTGTTTCGAACATTTTTGCCCCAAAATACATATTTTAGAAAATATCTAAGGCGCATGAATATTATCCAAATGAGATTTGACCGAACTGCATTTAACCGAACTGTTTCTTTTACGAAATGTCAATTAATCGAACTGTATTTATAACGAAATGCCATTTTCACGAACTAACGTTTTAACGAATTGTCATTTTTACGAATCGTCATTTTCGCGAATTGTCATTTGTTCAAAGCGACATGATTACGAATTATAACTTTTGCGAAAAGTAATTTATCCGAAATGTTATTTGTATGAAGCGACATTTTTACGAACTGTCATTATTTCGAAGTGTTATTTGTACGCACTGACACTTCATGGAATTAACATTTTTTTGAAAAGAAATTTTCGCGAATTAATATTTTTCCGAAAAGACAATTTTACGAATTACCATCTTTTCGAATTGTCATTTAATCGAAACGCAAGTTTTACGAATTTTCACTGTTGCGAAATGTAATTTTTAGGAATTGCCATTTAAACAAATTGGAAATTTTACGAATTTTCACTTATTTGAATTGTCATTATTACGAATGACGATTCGCAAAAATGACAATTCGTTAAAATGTCAGTTCGTGAAGATGGCATTTCGTTACAAATACAGTTTCATGGTTGCCACAGAGCTTGGAAATCCTGGAAAACCTGGAAAAGGTATGGAATTTAGAAAAAGGTATAAAAAACCTGGAAATAGTATGGAATTTAAAAAAATTTCTGGAATTTTGTCTGTATTTAAAGATTTTTAAGAAAATTTTGTTCTAGCTATTGTTTAGGACCAGTAAAAAATTTTTTGACCAACAATTGTTAGTAAACAGAAGATGAAGTTCGCTCAAAAAATAATTTTTCATCTTCTGCTGATTGTCGGCTGTGGTTACTTTTTATGAATTGTGAATTAAATTAATTTTGATGACTTACAATTATTGGAATTGTTCTAGTAATAGTTTAAGATCAGAAAAATTTTGTTGAGCAACAATTGTTAGTAAACATTAATTTTTGACTGGATTTTCATAAGTATTCACCTGGAAACCGTGGAAAAAGCCTTGAATTTTATATTTATTATTTTGTGGCAACCATGAGTTTGATTAACTGACATTTCGTAAAACTAATAGTTCGGCTAAATACAGTTCGGTCAAATGACATTTGGGGAACAATCGTGTGCCTCGAAATATTTAAGGGGTTCCATTTCATTGACACACTCTGTATATATAATAATTTGATATTAGCATTAAATATGCTATTGTTTGATAATTTTATTAACCCTTTGAAGCATGGTGGGAATCCCTATTTTCTATTTCTATTCTAACTAACGCGAAAAGCGCAAGTAAGATGTCTTGCTACACTCTCACTAGCATATTTTCCGTTAGTTAAAAAGAGTTACGTTAAGTCATGATCACGCGATCCCATTCCAAAAAGACTATATAATCAGTTCCCCTTACTTGAGACTCAAGTAACTATACTTAAAAATATTGTTTTCAACTGCTGGGTTTTCTTGACAAAGTTTTAAGGGTGTGTACTGGGCTTGAACGGCAATGTACATCATTATGCTTCGACATTAAACTTTCTCCTTTGATATATTTAAAAGTACACTGAGAAAAAATGCGGATGTCTTAGTGGTAAAGTTATCAGGAATTGTTCGGCTGTTAGCATATATCTATTTCGACCTGACTACACTGTAGTTTTAGCACTCTAGTACCGTAGTGTGACGATAGTTATATGATTATTTTTTTACTAGAATGTAAACACCGTTTGAATAATGGAAAACATATTTGCTTGAGTCAAAGGGACACAACGAGAATACCTTCAGCTTGAAGGGCCGGAAATTCGGCAATGGGACATTAAATTAACCCGAAATGAGTCCTTAATTATGCAATAGGTCCCATCGTAATCCTACAATATGGTTCTGTCAGGTTTACATAGCTCAATCATTACAGTAGATATAGCGAAAAATCACGCCAAGACTGCAGTGTTCCGCACAGTCATTATACCATGTCATGACGTTTCTAAACACAGCCAAATTTACATAAGCAAACGGCGCTAATTTGGCAGTTTTTTTTCTCTTAGTGTAGCGAAGACACCGCCTAGGCTCGGTTACCTATCAAAGTACTAGTCGCACAATTAGTTTCTCTGAATGAACACACTTTACAAAATTAACCAACGTATCAAAAGTCCTTGACTTCTGAATTACCAAACTAATGATGGTTTTGCACGGATTAAAATCCATGCAAAGACGCTGTATGGAAAGAATGAATTTAAAACTTTCAGTTTATGGAAATTTGAAGATTTAAAAAAACTGTTAAGTATTTCTAAATAAAAAATATTTCAACAGTTGCTGCTTGAGCATTTGGAATGCTTAGTCTCACGTCACGAGAGATCCCTGCGCATGACTGTTGTAAAAAGGCAAGCTGCTGCCCAGTCAGGCGTATCATCTGAAGTGGAAGTATTAAAAGCATTAAAAAGTTTATTTGAGCACCACAAGGCATTAGATGAAAAGGTAAGAATTTGCACCCTAACTCAAATTTCTTTTTTTCGGCGCATCCTAATGGATACCTAATAAAAGTTTCTTAAATATTTGGGAAGCTTGTGGACAATAAAAATTTCTATTTCGTATTTTAGGTACGAGAAAGGTTACGTGTAGCTCTTGAGAAAAACGCTAGTTTAGAGGAAGAATTAGGACATACCAAAGAAGAGGTAAATAATATATACTGCGTTTTTTTTTTATTTTATCGAAATTGAAATGGTGTAAACGAAAGAAAGCTGCAAAAAATAACTTTTGAAAGAGATACCTTATTTCTTATATTGTTTTAAAAATTATTCTAGCTTCAGCAGTATAAAATAAGTGGATATCCACCAAAGACTGTGGACGATAGACCTAAGGAAAATGGCCAAACAGATGATAGTCAACAACATAATAAGGTACTTAAGAAGGAAATATCAAAATTATTTTTAAAGTTAATAAAATATTAAAGTCGTTCTAACCGAAATCAATTTCTTGTATATCCAAAGTGTGAATAATAAAAAAATTGTTTCTCGCAGAATGTAGAGATAAGTACTTGGCAACGTAGAATTGGAGAATTAAGTGGTCGAATAACGGAATTAGAGGAAAACTTATCTAAGGCCCAAAAAGAATTTTTAAGATCCCAAGAAACAAATGTTAAGCTACAAAGAGACTTACGGGAAAATGTTGCACAAAAAGAAGATCAAGAAGAGAGAATTGTTACCCTTGAGAAACGGTATCTTAACGCTCAACGTGAATCTATTAGTTTACATGATTTAAATGAGAAACTAGAGCAGGAATTGCAACACAAAGAAGCTCAACTTAAGGTAATTACTTAACATTGTCTTTTAAATACTCCTAATCATTCTATTGAAAATGCTTTTAAATTTATTTATTTTGAATTTAACTTTTTGCAGTTGCAAGAAGAAAAAATAAATGCAATTCAGGAAAAATTGGAACTAGCCGAGCAAAAATTGGCTCAGTATGCGAAAATGCCTGAAATGGAAGAACAATTAAAACAGAGAATGGAGGCATTGACCCAGGTGAGGAGGCCAAATCAGGTACGCAGAGGAATCAATATAATAGTAATTCATTGTTTTCAATTTTTTTCTGGTCCTCTGCCTTTAAATATTATTTTCTTAAGTTCTTTAATGTTCTAATTATGTTTTTCATTTACAGTTATTTGGTACTTTGAGTACAGTCAAAAAGTTTATAATTCCCATGTTAATTTTGTCCCATTTTTTATTATTTGTTTGAGTAGCGTCAAAATTATTTACTTGTCTTAGATTTCTTTTATTAATCCCCTTTTTATACTCTCATCCTATGATTAAGTATTTTATTTTCTTTCAAAATGGTATTCACTTGAATTTTATTATGAAAATTGAAATCTTAATGAAAAACTATTGGGAGATCAGTTGTGTCATTGGCATTTAGTCTCAAAGCTCAATTAAAATTGTGTGAGACAATTATTCCACCGAATTTTGATAAGTGAGGACAGTTTGCGTACGGAGATGCTTTTATTAATTATCCCGCGGCAAACCTCTTCTCTAAAGACAATACACGAAATTCCAGGAATTTTCCCGAAAGAAGTCAAAGCCAATTTTTAACCATCGCATTGTCATCATCACCCATTGCTCCATCACATCAGAATTTTTCTCTAACCCCAAAACACACGTCTAATCAAACAAGTAACTCTTGTTGCTTGGGATCTAGGGGTTTTCTAGGTCGCTAATTACGAATCCGATGTCATATTTTCAAAATTTAAAATGGCGAATGCAATATGGTGGATGGAAATTTGTGGAATTATTTGTCTCCCATATTAGTCTCTTTAAAGTCTGGCATTGGATTTATAATCAGCGACCCCAAAAACCTCTAGATGCATATTTGCATGAAAATTTAATAATTTTGTTGAAATTTGTCCTCCATATTGCATCCGCCATTTTGAATTTTGAAAATCTGACATCGGATTCGTAATTAGCGACCTAGAAAACCCCTAGATCCCAAGCAACAAGAGTTACTTGTTTGATTAGACGTGTGTTTTGGGGTTAGAGAAAAATTCTGATGTGATGGAGCAAATCGGAAATCTTGGAAAAAAATTCGATTTTTTTGGTCCTCTATTTATAATTATTACATATACACTGAAAAACTGTTGGCAGAACTGTTCGCCCAATGCGCTGAAGTGTTGCGTTAAAAAGAAACACGTCAAGTAGCGCTGCACAACAGTCAATAGCGGAACTGTTCTATCAACAGTTTTTCAGTGTACTGACGCAAATAAAAAATGATGCGTTATTAGGTGCGGGTTTCAACCTTTGTCTTAAAATTAACGAAATAGTTAAAAAAAACTTTTGGGTTCACGCCTGCATGATCTAAAGTTGATCTTTGCTTACTCAATTTTTGCGCATTAGGCAGTCAGTTCTCCCAACAGTTTTTCAGAGTAGATAATATTATCTCTATACGGTTTAACTATGATACAAATTTCAGCAAATGATCTTAATCGTGTATTCATTTAAATAAGTGTCAAGGTGCCGTCCCATGTTGGCGTAAAAACGTCAAAACGTAAATGCATGAGAGTGAAAGAAACAACCTTATATCACTATCTCGTTCACTCTCATACTTTGACGCCGACGCTTTGACGTTTTTACGCCGACATGGGACGGCACCTTCACTTGTTGTTCAAATACTCCGACAAAAGTAAAGCTAAAAAATTTTGTCTTATAGCGTTTGAAGATTTATTCAATTTATATAAAAATGTTGCCTATTTAAAGAATATTGCTTGAATAAGTTTCAAAATATGTTACAAAGTAAAAAGAAATTATAATTTTTTCTGAATTTCTTACCTTGACTCTGACTCGATCCCTAGGGTAAAAATGAACGCCATTTTCATACAAGTCGAACAAGTGAATGATTTTTACTCCCTGTCATCTGCTATTTGAAATCGCCGCTCTTGTGCATTTGGAATAAAAAATATCGTAAATAACACGGGAATAAAGGCAGACATCGACCACCACTCGTGTCACAAAAATCACCGTAAAGAAATGGCTGCCTTTATCCCCTTGTTGCTTAATATACTATTTGTCGACCAGTATTAATAACTTGCAAACCGCCTGTGTTGAACAAATTTTCATCTCCTTATATTATCTTAATATAATGTTTACGAATCTCAAATTTATCCTATACAAAGTTTCAAATCATACGTAGAGAGCCTATATTTAGGTTTTCTAGCATTCTAAAGAATGCCAGAAAATTAAGAGACAGGCTTGTGTTATTAAACAAAAGTCATTGTAAGAAAATTAAATATGAGCAACTTACAACAACCTAAACTGTCTAATCTTAGACAGCAATGAAAATAGAGACATAAATCTTACGGATTTGAAAATCTTATAAAATTTTGCGTTAGATAAGCTTTAGCCAAAATTTCTTAACGTTCGCAGTGTTTCTCAGTCAATTTGTTTCCTTTTTCGTCTCCTCAGAGCGGAACAAGCGTCTCCTGAACTTCATAACTATTATTTGAAAACAAGAAGAGTGTATAGAGGATCCAAATAAACACCAAGTTTAAGAAAAGGCCCATTCGATCCTGGGGAAACGTCAAAATAAAACAAAATGACCGAGACACTCATTGATGAAGAAAATATACACTGACATTTTTAGTGATATCTTGGAGACCGATTAATATTTTTTGTGCAACACCTGTAAGGAAAGTAATACTTTGCATGCCTGTAAAGTAGGCGCAAAACAGTACTTTGCTGCACTAGTGCGGCAAAGAGCTTACTTTGCTGCACTAGTGCGGCAAAGTGCTTATTTTGCTGCACTAGTGCGGCAAAGTGCTTACTTTGCTGCACTAGTGCGGCAAAGTTCTTAAACTTTTGGGTTTTTTTGGTGATATACATAGGTATTTGTTTTCTATTTGTAGAATACCTGTTTTTTACAGTAATATACGCGTAAAAAACCACGAATATTACGTGCGGTAACATACGTTCCAAACCCTGCTAAACAGTACGTATGTTGGCGTCAACTAGCGTTTCCAAACAGCTTTTTTATCAAAACCAAAAGGTGTTGCACAAAGTACTGTGTGCAACACGTACGAAAGAAGATTTTCCAACTTCGTGCAAATTGCTGCCCTCGCTTCGCTCGGGACAGCAAACTTTGCACTCGTCGGAAAACAGCTTCTTTCTGTACTTGTTGCACAATATACTATTGAATTTGTAAAACTAAAATTAATGCTGACATTTCACGAAGAAAATAATCTGAATTCCAAATATTTCCTACTATTTTTATAGACCAGGCAGCAAGCTGAACATATTGAACGATAATTGAAATTTAGAGAATTTTGTTCTGTGGATTATCAAATAATATATACTAAAATTGTGAAATGTTAAAAAACATTTAGCAAAGCTTATCTAATGCGGAATTTTATAAGCTTTTCACATACGTAAGATTTCATTCTTCATTGTTGTCTAAGATATCGTGAGTTTAGTGGCGCAGTATTCTTTTAATCCACTTTGGTCCATCGAACAGACAAATCCTAATAATAGTGAACATCACATTGTGATTCCATACTTGAGGGTAGCTGATAGAGACAGAAAGGCTTTCCTTGTCGAACATATGTTTTAAAGAGATAAGCTGTTCGCACAAGGAGTGTCGGTGCTGCGTATCGAATACGTATAAAACAGTACAGGTTCCGAATGGGAAGCAACGTTCATCCATCTGTTTACCCGATGACAATGTTTTTTTATTAAGTATTAAATATGTAAACCAAGATATCGCGAATAGGTTGCCTAAAATAATATGTTCAAGAACATGATTAATTAAGAGTGTAATTATAATATTTCCTTAAAGTATTTCGCTGACTTGTTTACCAAATAAATTATATACGAATTGAAAGTAGGAAACCTAGAAAACAGACAACCAATAAGTTTCCTGCAAAAGAGATGTGCGCATGCTCTTTATCTGCGTCATAGACAAGAATAGCGGTAGTGAATGGCGAGCACCATCTTGGATTCATTAACCTCTATTTTGATGTAAACGTATAACACTTCATTATTGCATTAATTTAGTAAATTATGTCGCAAAGTGGGTAATAGTTGTTCTTGCGTAACTCGGATGATTCTGCAATTGATGTTGATAATAAAATGTTTTATAATTGTTCATTGAAGATAACTTTTTCTTAAAATAAAAAATATTAAATACAATGACGAGCTATCCAATCCAAAGCAATCCAAAAGCGTAACGTCATAGTATTTAAAGATTTTTAATTTTTCAAAAAGCCATCTTCAATGAACAATTATAAAACATTTCATTATCAAAATCAATTGTAGAATCATCCGAGATACAAAAGAACAACTTTTACCCATTTTGCACCATAATTTACTAAAGAGAAGTACAGTAATAACGTGTTACACGTTTACGTCAAAATGGATGTTAATATATTCTCGTTTTCCTTTCGCTTCGTTGCTTCGAATGAATATACACAGAAATACTTCGCCGACTGAATCCCTTTTTTGTGATTTGTCAAGATACCGTCCCGGGGATCTGACAAATCATTGAGTTCCCGTCAATTCATTCTTTTCTTTGAAGATTCCATTCGTTGACATTTGGAAGTCCCCAATATATTCTTTAACGCACGCTCTCGCTACGGGTTTTCTCAAGATACCTTTCAGGGATCTGAAGAAGACTCACATTCTTTTCATTCCTACTTTCTCTCGATTTTTTATTTTTTATGATTCCTCAACGGGATCAGGAATAAATCGAGTCCTTTTTCTTTGATTTTACTCTAAGATTCCATTATTTGGGATCTGGAGTACCGCTTTTCTCTCTTGTCCTTAATCTAACTCTAACTACACCCTACCTTATCTTTCTTTTCTTTTCCCTAATATTCTGGTTTATTTCTAAGATACCTCTACGGTATCCGGGAAAATTGAATAACCTTTCCCATCAAATCAATTCTATGATACACTGCAAAAACTAGCGTCTTCGAAACGTCTTATTTTAAGACATTAGACGTTTTCAAAACGTCTAGTCTGGAATAAATGACTAATTCATCTGTCTTTCATGCAAAGTGTTTAAAAATTTGAGACACTTCTTGCGTCTTACAAATGTAAACAAGTCACTTTCAGTGCTTATAATTTAAGACATATAATGTAGACAGTAAAAGTGTCTACATTTAAGTCATTTTTGCTAATTTAAGACGTTTTCGAAGTAAGACACTTTGAATAAAAGACATTTTGTGTATTCGAGTATCTTCGGTAATATTCGTCTTGCCTCGTCTTGATGAAAGTTTCCCGCGCAATATCAATGCATACATGCATTTTTAGGTTATGTATCGATTCAAGCAGTAAATTTCATCTGGATGAAGACACTTTAAACGTCTCCAAAATAGTCACTTTTAACGTCTTCCTAAAAGACATCCCAAAACGTCTTACAAATGAGGACAAAAGTGTCTCAAATATAGACACCTGTTTTTGCAGTGTACTAGTTATGGGATCAAGGGGTTCTCGATCCTTTCGTCTATTTTATTCGCAAATTTCTTCAAGATACCTTTCAGGGATCTGAGGAAATTCTGCTCTCTCTCTCTCTCTCTCTTTTCTTTTATCGAATTTTTCTATGATCCCTTCACGGGATCAGGGAAAGTTTCTTTTTCAAGTTATTTCTTCGCTATAGTCGTCTCTCAGGATTCCTCCTAGGGATCGGAGAATACGGTTCCTTCGTTTCATTATCTCTTGCCCGTTATTGCTTTGTCTATTACCTTTATTTCTTTGTTATTGGGGATTTATTTATTCTTTATTTTATTTGTATTAGAAATCATCGTTGCCCCTATTTAAATGAAAGATCAAGAGTAGTTCAAGGCTAAAATTTGTTAAATTAAATCGCACTACTTTAACTACGAGCATGCTCATATCTCTTTTGTCTATAGATTTTTTAAACTTTAAATCCTGGCAACTCTGATTCTTCAACGATTTTTTGTAGGCAACCTTATATCAGCATGATCGCAATAAAATTATCTTTCTTTTCATAAATATTTGATTAGGTAAGCAGATGAGTGCAAATAACTATTTCCATATACCTGTTTGTGCGTGGCAACCATATATTTATAGACAAAAAATGTAGGTAATCCTTCGGTTGACTATTTTTTAGGTTTCCTACATTCCATTAGTATATTATTTATTTGGTAAATAAGTGAGCGAAATACTTTAAGGAAATATTATAATTATACTCTTAATTAATCATGTCCTTGAACATATAATTTTTGGCAACCTATTCGCGATATCCGGTAAACTGATGGGTGTAGATCGCTGTCTATTCGGATCTTAGACTAAAATCTGATAGAAAAGAACACAATGATGTATCTATCTATCTATCTACCCTTAAGCAGTTTAATCGCAACTAGTTTCGACGTAACAGACTTTACGGAATTCTATACCGATTTCCGTAGAATTGTTTTACATGGGTGTTTCTTTAATCAGCAACGAAAATTGCACCGCAATTAGTCAAAATGACTACTGGCCTTTGCTATACGTAAATTTTTAATCATTTCACCTTTCTCTGGTTATTTTAAACTCAAAAATATGTACTTCATTAATTACAGATTTAAGAAACAAAATAATATCTGTTTAAACAAGCAAACACTAATTTGATTTACTATTTAGGCCCAAGAAAGGCACGGTAGCGCTGAAGATAGAATTCAAAGACTGGAAACGCAATTGGAAGAAAAGAGTGCTGAAGTAATGCGACTTAACCAGCGTCTTAAAATGAATGAAGAGCATAATACACGACTAAGCACTACAGTAGACAAGCTTCTCTCAGGTAATTTATAAAAATCTTGTTAAATTGCTATCTTTTACTCTCGGTTAACCCCTTCACTGTTTGGAAAAATAATCATATGATTGACCCAAAATGGTCTGTTGGTCTGTTGGTAGAACCAAAATGGTTCTATTTAAAGAAGGACGTGTTACATGTCAAGTATCCTATTTAGAAAAGAACGTGTCATATTTTTCGGGAATATCTGGGAGCATGTCAGTCAAGTCAATGGCATCATTACAAATATGATAGTAAAAATTTCATGTAAAAGCTGCAATCGCTGCTTAACCCACTAAAACCCGTAACCCTTCTTTTGAAGCCCTTTACCCACCCTCGGAACTGTCGTAAGACTTTAGCCTTCGAGGGTACAATACCCATTATGGGTACTTTCTTGGCCTGACTAGTCGAAGCCATAAATTAAAGAAGAAAAAGAAAATGGGTGCTTTCGGCGTGCTCACGGATTATGATGCGGATCACTCAGTGCTCACTTTAATTTTTGAATGTGGTATCTGTTATAATTTGAATAATATGTTGTGATTGTTACTTTGGTAAGCTCTTAATTTTCATTTGTTAGAAAATTGTGAAATGTTAAAAAAATGTATGAAATATCCTTTAGGCTCTAGAAATATTTCGTCAAAAACCAACTCTAGTTTATTTAGGAACATTTTTTTAGGGAATTTAAAAATTTTTCAAACTGTAGGTTGTGTTTTGACAAAATATATCTAGAACCTGAAGGATATTTCATAAATTACCACAATTCACAATTTTTAAACCAATGAAAATTAAGGGTTTACCGAAGTAACCAATTACAATACATTACTTAAATAATAAGAGACCATATTGAAAAATTAAAGTGAGCACCACTGAGTAATCCGGATCATAATCCGTGAGCGGACCTACACTACCAAAATATTAATAGCCGACTGACTTAGACCATACGAGCCCGACGTGAGTTTTACAAAATTCAAAATGTCGGACGGTAATTTTAAAAGGTTGAGCTAAGCTCCTAAAAATGGCTACTCGAAGGTTTCTGAGGTCGCTGATTATGAATCTAAAGACAGATTTCTAAAATTCAAAGTGACTGCATAAGTTTGGAGTTTCAATGAATACTCGAGCTTCTAAATTCTATTTGATTTTGAACTTTATTTATATTCTTGCAGAATCAAATGAAAGGTTACAAGTACATCTTAAAGAAAGAATGAATGCATTAGAGGAGAAGAATGCTCTTCAGCAAGAATTGGAAAGAACGAGAAAAATAACGGAAGACTTGCAGAATGAAAAAGCAGATTTAGTTAAGGAATTAGGAAAGGCTCGACTTGAAATAGATAGTATAAAGAGGCAAATGCTTCAACAGGAAATTGCTTTTAATATTCAGCAAACCGACGCTCTGACCAGAAGTCTTTCACCGAATGCAGTGGATTCAGTAGCTTTCTCAAGAAGCGCAAGTCATGGCAGTTTCGAAACACATTCTTTGCCAAGGAGAGCGGTTAGAAGATCAGTAGACGAAGAGTCATCAAAGGTATTGAAATATCAAGTTCTGTAAACATGATTTCAATTTTTTTTTTTTGAAAACACTATAAGTTTCTTGTTTTTAAGGGTTATGTGGCGAGAACTTTGGCGGAACAAGAGTGGGAAAAACTACAGCAGGCTCATGTTCTTGCCAATGTTCAGCAGGCATTTGACGTCTCTAGCGATGCCGAGGGCGATGTTGACAATGAAAGTATATTTAGTTCAGCTGCTGATGTACTCAGTTCGACTGGTCACACTGACACTCAGCAACTGGCAATGATGCTACAGGAACAACTAGATGCTATCAATAATGAAATAAGACTTATACAGGTAACGATATATTTTTATTTTACAAAATCAAAATTGTCTTGAGCCATGTTTTCATTTTATCCTACCGTGGTCTTAATTTTATTTTACATAATGATTTTGTTGTAAGATTTCTATATATAATTACATTTTATTATTTCTTTTGCAGGAAGAGAAACAAAACACGGAAGCGAGGGCAGAAGAACTAGAATCAAGAGTTGGCAGTCTCGAACACATGAATTTATTATCAAGAGGCAGAAGTTTGGAACGTTCTTCTCCACCGCTTAGTGGCCGCTCTACACCAAAATCGCATCACAGTCCAAACAGGGATTACTTGCATAAATATCATACTGTGAGTACTTGCACTTTTCATTTTTTAATTATCATCTTTTTCGCAAAAGAGTAATTGGAATTTTTTTTTATCATCGCTAAAACAATCTAATATTTATAATATTGTTTTTATAGTAAGAGTAGTTTATAAAAATTCAACAAAATGAGTTTCTTTTTATAAAATTTTTTACTTGAATTCTTTATCAAGTGCTATAAATGATTAAGTACTCCGAAGTAATTAATCCCCAATTATTTCAACCTACAAAAACTTTAGACTTCCTAATGGAACTTGATAACTTAATGACCACTCTAACATACTTAATAATAGCCGTTGTAGTTAATGATGAATATTTACATGAGAATGTAAAGTTAAATAGATTTTTTGAGATATTTGTTCCACCAGTTTGAAAAGCGTAATTTAAAAAAAAAATTAAAGATAATTCTATTATTATTTTCGTTTAAACGTCCAAAGAAACGTTTATCTCTGAATAAAATGATAAGTATTTTTAAATTAAAAAATCGATTATTTATACTCTAGAAATATGCATTAAAATATTCTTTTATTTTAAATTGTAAATTTTGAAAATAATTTTTACGACTCTAGGTAATCCAATTTGGACAAGATTGACGTAGTTTTTCCCTTTCTGTTAGTGAGTGAATATAGCTCGTGATTGAAATATTTTAAATTTTTTGCAGTGTTTTTTATCAAAAGTTCCCATTTTTAGGACCATTGAGACACTGTACAAAATTAAAATTAAAATTTCTTTAAAAACCCTTCGTTCAATCACAAGTTATATTCAACCACTAACAGAAAATTTTTTGTTTTTAAATGAAGAAGTCAGAAGAAATCTTGACCACCGCAAAAACAATTTTTTTTGGAAAGAGGTCCAAAGAATATGTTGATACGGGCCTGATTAGTGTTACTCCCTGGCGTACATTAGCTCAATTTCACTGCAGGCGTTAGACAAAATCTATTCTTCTTGGTTTATTTATTTTCCCTATCTCCTTCTTCAAAATTTTTAATTCTGTAAAATTATGCAGCGTTTAAAAATATTTGATATTTGGAACATGTATGTATCTTAAATGGAATGAATATGTAGTGCGTCACACAGTCACGTAAGTAGACGCTACTTCAGATGCGCAACTGGTAGATAAGGAAATTGGGGTTTTCGTTTGTTTTCTAACAATTTTTTAATTTTAATTTTTTTCAAATACAAAATTTTGAAAATCGTGTTCACATATTTCTATATTAGGGAAACTTCACTACTTGACTTTTACAAGAGTGTCAAGTTCGTTTTCCGAATGTGACACATAAGACTCCGATACTGTCACTTTCAGAGATTCCATTGCACAAGAGTAGAACCAGAATAAATGATATATTTCATTAACAGTAGATAATGAAAGAGAAAATGGTCGGAAAACTGAATATTCTATTTCAGAAAACCTTAGACAATTGATAAAAGTCACTTAAATCATAAAACATACCTGAACACATTTAAGTTTTTTTGTTTTAAAATATAAAATCGCAATTTTAAGTCATGCTGTTTTGTTTGTTTTGAACGTTTGAAATTTTAAACCTTATTTTCTTAGGACAATTGGATCTGGAGTTCTCAAATTCTCGTGTGATGAAGTGTACCATCTTAATATGTATCGTGTCAGAACCCACATGATCATCAGAAAGTCTGTAAGTTTTCTTTTTGTTTTTCCAAAAAAAAAAAAAATTGGAATAGAAGACAATTCGATTCGAAAAAATAATAAGTCAGTATGTGTATGAAATATCTGATTATGATCTTCTTAGTTTAAAGAAACTTGACAAAGTTACACTTGTTTCATTTTCCACAGCTGACTTTCTCAGTTTCACACTTTTCATATTATTAACTTCAGGGGTCGTTCATATACCACGTAGACAATTTTTTATCATTTTTTGACTCCCCATCGTGGACTTTTGACAAACCCTCCCCCCATCTCTAATAACTGTCTACGTGAATATGTTTTGGCGAGAAATTAATATTTTCGGTAAAATACGAAAACTTATAACTATAAAGAAGGATTTGATTTTATGATGAAAATAAATTTATATTAATTCCTTTCAAAAAATTAAAAATCACTCGGATTAACTTGAAGCTTGTCACATGGGGATTTTCAAGGTCTCTAATTGCGAATCCGGTGCTAGTTTTGTAAAATTCAAAATGGTGGATCCAATATGGCGGACGATTTTTTAAAAATTCATCGAATTCACTTGAAAATTGTTATTGTGGGTTTTTGAGGTCTTCGATAACGAATCTGGTATTAGTTTTTAAAATTCATAAACCCCTAGGTATTAAGTTTTAAGCAAATGCGATGGGTTTTTTTATAATTTTTTTAACCATTTCAAAACGTGGTCGATATATAGACCACTGCTACTGAAAGGGTTAATAAAAAATATTTACGATATTTCAAAATATCCTAAAGTTTTGTACTACAGGCCTTGGATATCCATCGTGGACGATCATGGATTTTTTTACTACCATCCCCCCCCTGGTCTCCCTAAAAATGTCAACGTGGTATATGAACAACCCCTTAGTATACTAATAGGTTTAATAAATTATTTTCTTTTTCAAGTTTTATTAAAATCAAAAGATCACCCCTGAAATTGATGATATTTCTTATGTTTACTGATGAAGTATTAAAAACTTTGTTCTCTTACATGATAAGTGATTTAGTCTTTTGTTTTTAAGATCTTTATTATTTAAAACTTTTTCACAAAATTTCCACTTAGTCTTCTCTTTCTTTCTTTCTCATCTGTATTTATATTAGTGTATTTTTTCACGTAAATTTAAATTCCTATAGGTTGATGACACTAATTTTTTTAAATTCCTTTGTAATGCTCTTGATTGGACATCGTCTCTAAAGAAAACCCAGAACCTACAGATATCTTATAGGAATGTGTGGTCTTGAAAAAGCAATTTGTATTTGTAAACTTCGCTCTGGAAAATTTTTTTATTTTTATGTAGGTTTAATAAAAAAACTGTAATTTATAAAGATTTTTTAAAAATCTAAAAGAAAACTACAGTGTTATCTTTCCTAATTTTCTACTTCTTTTTCACCTTCTGTTAATACTACCGTAATTTTAAAGAAAGACATTATCCATATAGGCGGATAATGACTTTCTTTAAATCTACAGTCGAAAGACAAATTCTTATTCAAATCCTCCATTGTTCTTCTTTCTCTATTGGTCGAATAATTTTACGTGGTATTTCTGCTTCTTTCTTTACTCAGGTGATGAGGGTACGAAAGTGGTATCAACTGCATCTTATTATTGCAGTTTATGAATTTAGTGACAATATAAGTATACTAGAAAATTGCAATTAACGAAAATGTTGCATTTTTTCTTTTGCATTGTTTTCGAATATACTTTTTTTACAACTGGTGTACAAATTATCTCGAAATCTACTCAATCCATTTTAATATAAAAAATAAAAACTGTTAAATTTTTAGTACAATTATTTTTACTATAAAAACAGCTCCCTGAAGTTGGCGTCGACGCTGAGCATCGAAAATCGTTTTTTTCGCAAAACCATTTTTCTCCAAGATTTTAAGATTAAAAAATGTCCTGAAAAATAATTCACCTTCATAGGTGAATGAAATTAGTGATATTTTCAACTTTTGAAACTCTGAGCATCGACGCTAACTTCAGGGTCTTAAAAAAACAAATAAAATATGATGGTAAGACTCTAAAATACGTAGAAGTATTTTGATATGTAGAAGATATCTTTGAATGACTTCAATTTATCTCTAATGACTGAAAGAAGCTTTTCATTTAACTCTTTGTTCAAAACTTTTTATAACCAAACATGATTAACTTCATAGTTAAGAAAAGTTTCTTTCAGTTATTTCTCAAAAAATTCATAGGGGATAAATAATGTCCATTCTTTTTTAAATGGAGTGTTTAAAAGCATACCTGTACTAATTGAGTAATATAATTGATCAAAAAGGTGGTTGTATTATAATTTCCAAATTTATTGTTAAAAATAACAATTTTTCAATAAAATGTTTGTGTTTTCTTCAGTTTTGAAAGAAGGAACATGTCCAAACTAACAAAACGAGGCAAAAATTGTCTTTATTTAACTCTGGTTAACCCTCTGTCTACGCAAGTAACCGTTATCGACAAAAAATGACAATTCGGTGGCTATGGGAATTACATTCAAAAGCACTAAACTTAACAAATGTGCATTTGTTTAATTTCAGGCGCCAGCTTCAATGTCGCCAGCACATCTTCATCATTATGCCACATCTTTGGTGAGTCCAGGTCAACTCTCTGAATCACTTCCTGCTAGCCAGGTACATTGAACTTACTTCTTGCATGAAAATAATATAAGTGATTTAAAGGGTTTTTAATATTATTTATTTAGTTCCATTTCTTGTACAGTAGAACCCGGTTAAAACGATTCGGAAGGGACCTCGCAAAAAACAAGTCTCATGCGGAAAAATGTACTAAACGTGAGTGTTTTAACCGGGTTCTAGTGTACAAGTTTCTTAAATGTAAGTTTTCTTCTTTTCTTTTTTCTCATCTTGAAATTTTTATCTATTGTTTAAGATTTTCAGAACATTTTTTGAATCTACTTTGCAATGAGTCGCTTTAATTTCGAAGAAATAAAATTTCATCAAACTGAAGACCCAGATAGTGCTGGTCGTCATTTCAAAATGACGTTTGCTTTATTGAATTTATATCAAAAAGACCATCAACATTAATGAATTGCGAAATCACTGGAATTTGAAATAAAAGATTCCACAAAATGACCCTTTCATTCCGAGTAATTTCCTCGAACTCAGCCTCCTATCCACAAGGAGAGTTTTCTTTCATTGAATGATTGTGAAGAAAGAACAAATTCTTAATAACTATTACACAGACAGGTCCACAAAAAAAATCGATGAAAGGTTCCTTTAACCAAATCTGGTATATATAATATATTTTTGGGGTCGCTGAAAACGAATCTGAAGTCTATTTTACTCTATTAGGTCAGGATTTTTTCCTAACCTAAAAATACATGTTGGATTTTACGTGACAGATAAAATTCTATAAATATTGACGGATTTACCTCAATCTTAGTATCTAGGGGTTTTTGGGAAAAGCTGATTGCGAATTTAAAGGCAGATTTTAAAAATACAAAATGGCGGATCCAATATAGCGGTTGAATTTTTAAAAAATTCTTGAATTTTTATAAAACTTGATATTAAGGGGTTTTTGGAGTCTCTGATTACAAATTTAAATGCACATTTTCAAAATAAAAAATGTCAGAACCAATATAGGGTTTAATTTTTTTAAAAAATTTGGCTTCTACGAGTATTTGAGCTCACTAATTACAATTTTGAAGTCAGATTTTCAAACTCAATAGCTAATATAATTTCAAGATATCCTTTATTTTGCAATTACCTACATCCTACAGCAATATTGGATCCACCATTTTGTATTTTTGAAAATCTGCCTTAACCCTTGTATCACATTTAGGGTCTTAAATTTCTTTAAAAAACTTTAACAATTAGAGGTCTTATTACCTAAACGCAATAGTTTACTTTTAGCATTTTTTTTCTATAATAAAATATTTATAATGAAACTTTTCAAGTATGAAAACTTATTCTTCAATACCAAGATTGAGGTAAATCCGTCAATATTTATAGAATTTTGTCTGTCACGTAAAATCTGACATGTATTTTGAGGTTAGGAAAAATCCTGACGTGATAGAGCAAAACTGATTTAGAATAATTGTTCGCCATATTGGATTCAACCATTTTGAATTTTGAAAAACTGACCTCGAATTCGTCATCAGCGTACCTAGAAAGCTCTAAGAAAATGTTTGATTTTTAAAAATTTTCTCCTCTTTTTCTGGAAGCGTTAAAGGGTTAAAGTTTCTTCAATTCGGTACAGATTTTTGTTTTCCAATCTGAAATTTCGATTCTTCTAATATATTATCACTCATTTCTTTATCAACTTTATCATCATCTTTTCGTCTACCATACCATTGAAAAATCAGAACCTTGTCTGACACTTGGCCGTTGAAGAATACCGAAATACTAAATCAGAATGACTCAAGTAGCACCCCGAGACAATGGTTCAAGTCCGTACCTTCACTCACATTTTCAGAAAGACTCCTTCATAAATAGTTTCACCTTTTTCCATAGTCTTGAACTTTAAAAAGATACGTATAAATTAAAGTGAAAAATAATTGCATTCGCGTTAGTTGCAGTTATCTGGAGAAGAGTTACATTCAGTTAGTGAACGAGATGGTGGTGCAGGTATTGGAAGTAGTAGCGACATTGCCTCTCCGTTAACTGCCAGATCACTGAGATTAGAGCGAGTTGTACAAGCATTAGCTCACAGTCAAGAAGAATTGAGAAGGTATATCTAAATAACTATGTGACTTTTCTTTTGTTACCGAATCAGAAGAAATATTAATAAATATTTGTTCCGTTTGCAGGCATGGTCAACATAACAATGGAGCTCTCAACTCTGGGACAACTCCTTCTCCCTTGTCATCGCGGCACAGTAGCCAGGACAGTTTATACAAGAATAGTTTAAGTGGTGGACTTCCAGCTGGACAATTCACTAGTTCGTATTTGCATATGCCAATGACACTTAGTCCAATAACTGCAGCAACTGTTGCAGCAGCACAAAAGAAGAAGGGTATTAAGAGTAGTCTTGGAAGATTTTTCAGTAAAAAAGAAAAGGTTAGTTCATTCTATACTTTTTACTATATTTTGTGCTTTGTAGGGATTTACGGAAATTAGCACATTTTCCATTTCTTTTTGCAGATAAAGGGTAAAGATGCGATTATGCCGGGCGATCTTCCGGGTATGGGAGGATTAAGTTTATTTACTGATTCTGATTACGGCGAAAATATTGCACTACCAGGAGGAATGGCTGGCAAGACTGAATTCGACCGTAGAAAAAAGAAAAGGTACCCAAAAAGCATCAACAGGGTTGCCACAAAGTCAGGGAAGTCAGGGAAAAGTCAGGGATTTTTATTAAAAGTACTGAAAAATATTAAACTTTTAGAATTTATAAGAAAATTCTGAATTTTTGTGTCTTTTTTCTTTGCCTCATAAACTATGAAATTACCAAGAATTCTAATACAAAACCTTCAATTTTTTCTATTTCTGACAATAAATTCTTTTTAAATAACTTAATTCTTCAAGAACTATCATAAAATTATTACTTATAAATTATTTAATGAATAATTTTACTTAAAAATTTCAAAATTAATTGGATTTCAAAAGAGTTGTGTTTACAATCTTCATAAATAGATGAACTTCAAAGGTTTCAATTTGAAATTTTAGAAAATATCAGTTTTTAATAAATTACAAACTTTTAATAGGAATTTTAAGAACAACTGATTGCAGAAATTCAATTATTTTCAAAAGTGATAAACTTCTTTGCTTAAATTCAATTATATTAAAAAATTTCAAAAAATTCTCGTCAAAATTTCAATTATTATCAAAAATTTTCCTCATTTTAAATATTTTAAATATTTACTATTTTAATAAAATTTTCCAAAAATTCAATTATTTAAACCAAATTTCAATAAAAATTTCTTCGCACCAATTTAATTATTTCGAAAAATTTAAATAAAATTTTTTTAAAAATACTATTATTAAAAAAAATTTTGACAAAATTCTTTACAAGATTTAGTTAATAAAATTGCAATTTTAATAAAATTTTCCTATACAATTCAATTATTTTCATAAAAAAAAAGTTTTTCTAGAATTTAATTATTTTAAAAAATTTTGTTAAAGTGCTTTATAAATTTGAAAAATTATAATAAAATTGATCATAGAATACAATTAATTCGTAAAATATATAACACTCTTCCTAGGACTACAATTATTATCAAAAAATGTTCGTAAAAATCTTTGAAACAATTCAATTATTTTCGTAAAAAATAAAATTCTTCGAAGCAATTCAATTATTCAAGAAATTTTAATAAAATTCTTCCTAAGAATTCAATTCTTTTCTAAAATAAAATTTTTCACAGGAATTCAATTATTTAAAAAAAAAAAAAATTAATAAACTTCTTCGTTAGATTTAAATTATTTTCAATTTTTCAATGAAATTTCTCGATGGAATTTAATTATTTTCAAAAAGTTTTAAAAAATTCTGAGAAATTCAATTGTATTTAATTAAAAAAATTTTGATAAAATTCTTCATAAAAATTCAATTTTAAGAAATATTCAATTATTTAATAAATTATTTATCTTTCTATTTAAATAATTGAATTCTCGAAAAATTTTCTAATAAAAATTGATTAAAAAAATGAATTTCAGTTAAAATTTGAGATAATAATTGAATATTATTAAAAGCACTATAGCATAAATTTTTAGAAATAATTGAATTTCGAAAAGGGTTTAAATTAAAATCTTTGAGAATTTAAATTCATAGTTACAATATTCTTATGATATAAAATAATCGTTTTATCACTCTGTCATCTTAAATTTTTATTATAAAACATGAAGAAATTGATTGCTCCGAGTCGAAGACTCGGAGTGATCGATTTCTTCATGTTTTATAATAATATTCTCATACGTTATTGAATTTCAGAAGGTTTGAATATTCTTCAGGGTCAGGGAAAAAGTCAAAATTTTGACTAGAAATCAGGGAAAAGTCAAGGGAAAAACAAAATTAAATTTTTGTGGCAAACCTGATCAATTTTCAGATTATTTTTAAAGTCTAACCACAGTTCATTTAGAAACATCTAAAATTGCATTACTAATATCTCTCTAATACCGTCGAGAATCAGGAGTAAGATTCTTCAGCCAGTGATTAAATCAGAATTTTCACAGGTGAAGGAATTTGACCAAACATCATGTTCATGTTGAGACAAAAATTTGTTTGTTATTTTTCAGTATGTTAGACTCTTCTCGGCATGAACTACTAGCGGAAGCAATGAAAGCCGGTACTCCTTTTGCTTTGTGGAATGGACCAACAATAGTAGCTTGGCTAGAACTTTGGGTTGGAATGCCGGCTTGGTACGTTGCCGCTTGTCGAGCCAATGTGAAGAGTGGAGCAATAATGAGTGCATTGAGCGACACTGAAATACAGCGAGAAATTGGAATCAGGTGAGTAACATTTATTAAGAAATATAAAAAGAATGTTTATATTGTGTGATGATGATTCCACGACTTTCTTTGAACCATCAGCAATCCTCTTCATCGACTGAAATTGAGACTGGCTATTCAAGAAATGGTATCACTGACCAGTCCTTCTGCACCAAAGACATCGCGCACTACATTAGCCTTTGGAGACATGAATCACGAGTGGATTGGAAATGTTTGGCTTCCGAGTCTTGGTTTACCACAATATCGGTCAACCTTCATGGAGTGCCTTGTAGATGCCAGAATGTTAGACCACCTCACTAAAAAAGACCTTCGAGGACAACTTCGAATGGTCGATAGTTTTCATAGGTAAGTCATCAACTTGATACTTCTATTTTTAAATCGATTTGACGACTGTGTGATCGACATCATAAATAATATTTTAACTGAGACTACAAAGTGATAAATTCAAATATTTATTAACTTTTATTTAGATGGCCGGTAAATTTACACAGATTTTAGTAGTTTTTTTTTATAAAAAACAAAAATTATAAATAAGAAGTCAATTCGATAAAAAGATTCGTCCAAATAAATTGTGGTCACCCCGGCTGGCAACACTTTGAAAAATAAATTCGGATTCAGCGACCTTAAAAATCCCCGAGTAACAAGTTTTAAGTGATTTGGATAATTTTCTTAAAAAGTCCGCCATATTGGATCCGTCATTTTGGATTTTGAACTCCTGCCCCAAAATTAATTGAAACACGTTTATAATTTCAATATAAAGTTGAAACTAGCACTCACTTAATTTTGGAAATTTAATCTTAAAATTAACTTTTTGTTTATAACTAACATCAAATTTTAAAAAAATAAGTAGTTGCTGATAACTGGGTGCAAGTTTTAGCTTTACAAAAAGTATTTAACTTTAAAATTTAATATCCAAAAATTAAGAGGGTGACAGTTTAAGCTTTATAATTCCAATAATTTAAACTTAATGAGTTGTAAAGGAAATTAATTTGTGAATTTAATTCTTGTAGGACAAGTTTGCAATATGGTATTTCCAGTTTGAAGAGATTAAATTATGATAGACAACAGTTAGAGGAAAGAAGACGTAGTGCTGAAGGTAAAAATATAGACGTTATTGTTTGGAGCAATGATCGTGTGATAAGATGGGTGCAATCTATAGGATTAAAGGTACGGTGATAATGCTTGTTTTATAAATAATTTTCTTTTTTACATATAATTTTTTTTTTTTTGAGTTATTACTTTTGAAAATATTTATTTTTTATAAAAAATACAAATTTAATCATAAATTCGATTTGTTTTCTTAAACAGAATAATTTTTAGAAATTGGGAATCTCAGCTAATATTTTGATTCTACTTTTAGGAATATGGAAATAACCTTTTAGAATCTGGAGTTCATGGCGCTCTTGTAGCACTTGATGAGAGCTTTGATGCAACTAGTTTTGCTCTTACTCTGCAAATTCCAACTCAAAATACGCAGGTTAGTATTTTATGAAAAGTGAAGGGAAAAATAACAAAATTCTAGAATTACTACAAAAATTCTGGTTTATTTCTGTAAAATAATTCTTGAAAATTGAAATAAGTTTCAATGGCTGTGAAGAAATTTATTATAATTATGTAAATATTTATTTCAAATATTACTTAAGTTTTAAATAAGTTTATTTAAAATTTTGAAAAAATTGGATTTCTAAGAAATTTTAATTCGCAAATGCTTTTAGACTCTTGAATTTTTCAAAAAATTTCATTAAAAAATTATCAATTTAATTGAAATTGTGTGAAATTTTATTAAAAATAATACAATGTGTTAAAGAATGTCATTAAATATTTAAAAAATTTTAAACTCGAAACTTTTTTTAATTTAATAATTGGTAAATAATTGAAAATAAAAAAAAATAAATAAATAATTAATAAATAATAAATAATTAAAAATTTTACAAAGAGTCACAATTAAATATTTATTTCAATGTTCTTTTGTTTAAAAAGTAGTATTAAAAGTTCTAAATTGTACTTCAAATAATTTAATTATGAAAGAATTGCAATTACAATTTTCATAATTAAATTTAAAAAGAAAAATTGAAAAATGTTTTTTTAAGTGCTGAAGTTTCAGAAATTTCTATTTAAAATTCTGAATAAATTAGGTATTTAAAATACTTTAATTATATATGTTTTTTTTAAAAATAATTGAATTTTCATAAAAAAAAATTAATGAAATCAAATTTTTGTTGCTAAGACATTTACAAAATGAAATATTTCACGTTATTTAAAATTATCCTTTATAACAGTAGAGAACCTGGAAAAGAGTGTAAAAATGAAATTAATGTAAGAGAATAATGTGGAAAAGAAAAAGTACATTTTAAAGTTTTTATAGAAAAATAACATGTTGCATGAATAAGGGTTTAATCTAATAATATTGTCTTGAATGATTGAATTTTAGGCGAGGCAAATTTTGGAAATGGAATTTTTGAATTTGCTCACAACAGGGACAGAGAGAAGAATTGACGAGTCAAATAGTTTGAAATCCTGATCAAATTCATCGAGGCTATTACACCTCCAACTACATCATGTCTAGTCCGAACCCCCAGCTAACTATTATTATCTATTCGCGAGTGTTATGTATAACGACAGTAAGAGCTTTATGTATCACTGTTGAGAGCATGCTCTTGAATGTGGTAATGTAAAAATGATAATGGTATGATATTAATGTCGTGATCAGTTTCCTACTCGCACAATGAAATTTTAAACATTATAAATTAAAATAAAGTGTGACGTGTGGAATGCCATGTGCCATACTGTTTATTTGTAAAGTAGTTATTTAAAATTAAAAACTGTACAGAGATGGAAGCATGACACGCAGAATTTTCTTTATTATCGAAGGCTAAAGTATGTGCACCGATCATTCCAGCGGCTCTAATAAGCATAAATGTTTACTTTTAAATCTTTACTTTCTTGTACAAATCTTGATTAATAGATGTATTTTAGTGCTTCACATTAACTCTTCATCATACAATCGTAGATATTCAGAAATTTACCCATTGAGTTCATTATTGTACATAATTAGATCAAGTGTAGTTATTGTAAAATATACTTTTCTTTTTCAAATTGACACATTGCGTAAATGTTTGTGTCATCAAGTCTAGTTTTTAAAAATTGCATTAGGAGTCTTTTAATTTCTTTTTAAACCTAGAACTCAATGTTTAAAACTAGTAGTTCTGTTAAATTAATTAAATTAATTTTTTTACTTACATTTATCGTTCTTGTAGTTTTAGTTATACTACAAATTTTATATAACTTTTTTAAGAAATTTTTTAAAAATATTTATATTTACCTGTTTATATAAGCATTTAAATACAACTAATTTTGCACAGTTACTCATAATCCGATGTTCAGTATTATTAATAACATATTGAGTGAGACGAACAAAAGAAGAAAATATTTATGATTTTAAAAAACTGCGCTTTGTACTTCTTTCTCTGTACAATATTATCAGAGTAAACTATAGTATAAAGTGCATAAATATGGGGCATTTTAGGTTAAGTAAAATCAAATTTCCGATTGTGTTCAATCTCAGATAATTCCTATCCTTACAATATCGACGTTTGTAAACTTGAAATTAATTACCTTATCATCATTGTTACTAAATCATCAGGAGCGCGAGTGTCCATCTACTTTGACGTGCATTGTGCATATTATATTATTTCTCGCATGCCTATTATGTATACAATTCAAATTCAATCAGAAAACAACTTTATATAATAAATGAATTGGAAAGTTTAACTACTTTACTTTTGATTGGTGCTAATCAAAAATTATTTATCAATTGCTAAAAATGAGCGCAGTTAAATGATTCACGAGTCATCATTTTTAAAAATGTATTTACATAAACAATTGTATCCGAATGCATGCAAAATGTAAATAAAACTTATAAATAACTTGGTATGGGCGTTAAACATTGGAAAAAATGATCGAAAAAAAATACTATAAAAATAATTATTCATTTCTTTCAATTATTTCAAATCTTCCTTCAGTCAAATGTTCTGAATGTGCACTTGATGTTGATAAGTTCTTTAAGTAATTCAAATGTTTCTTTTAACAGCAACATGGTAATGGCGGGGGAATTCCATACTTTTGGGACGTTCTCAATATCTATTACTTTATTAAAGAAATGTTCAAGAATACAGCATATTATACTTTTCTGTAAATCTCTTGACAGAATTAAAATTTACCAAGTCGACTCTAAACGACCCTGCCCCTTTCTTTAAACATAAATTGTCTCGGTTAAAAATTGTGAAATAAACAACAGGAAAAAATATTTTTTGTTTTAAATAAAATGAGCACAACGAGGGGTGAACAACTCGTGAATTATGGTGTACACTTGTATTGAATTATTGAGAATTATCTGAATTATTCAGAATTACTATGAATTACCCTGAATTATGTGAATTATTGCAATAGGTGTACACTCAATTCTTTAGTTTTTTGCCCATCGGAGAAAAACCAAAAAATTTCTCAACTAAATAGTTATTATCGTATCAAGGGCGCAAAATAGGTGATTGCGACGATGGCGAGATGAAGTGTCCCCGTGGTCCCGAAATCTCGCCAAAGTCGGAATCACCTTTGCGCCCATGTTGCGAACATAATTTTTTGTCCTACCTGCACGAAAAGTATCAGGCTTCTCACTCCTCTACTATTTACTACTTTTTTAATGAAAGGCTACTTTTTGGCTACTTTTTTAAGTAAAATGCTACTAAAAGCTACTTTTTCAAGAAATTATGAGTCGAAATTTTTTTTCAATAAGTTTCCGAAAAATATTTTTCTGAAATATACATATTTTAATTACAGATTTACAGTTTTCACTCTCACCTCTACTGCCTGCCTGCCTGCGCAGGCAGGCGCCATAAGAGTGAGAGAGAAAAAACATTTAATTTGAATTTTCTGACTCTCTTATTCTTATGTGTTACCATGTCAACCTGCAGGCAGGCAGGCAGGCAGTAGGAGCTGTGCTAGCGCCTTGATATGTCATTTCGGGCACTTAAAGTGCGCGCAAAGTAACTGATTCTCGCCCAGGGTCGGGGAAGCGGGCGCAAAAGTTCTTTTATGAGGAATCCACACTTCGATCTAAGATGCATATAAGCGGGACGCTTTCTCGTGACGCACTTATGCGTATATAGATATAGTAAAACATAGGAAGCGCCACGAAAAAGCGTCCCGCTTAGCTTCTTAGATCGAAGTGTGGATTCCCTATATGAGATGCATATAAGCGGGACGCTTTTTCGTGACGCTCTTATATATTCAAAAATTTTACTAGCTTCAGAATAATTTGTTTTTAAAAAATTTTTCAAAAATCTAAGTTATTTAAAATTTCTAATTAAATTCATTAAAAATTGAAATTTTTTCAAATTTGAGATTGAAATCTTTTATGAAGTTTATCTATTTTTATGAAAATTGTAAACTAAACTCTTTTAGAATTTAATTAATTTTGAAATATTTAAGTAAAATTATTCATGAAATAATTTCTAAATTTTTATGACAGTTGGTTGAGAAGGAAGTTATTTAAAAAAAATTATTTTCATAAAGAGACAAAAAATTGAAAGTTTTGTATTTGAATTCGTGGTAATTTTCCTAATTTATGAGGCAACCAAAAAGATACTTATAAAAATTCAGAATTTTCTTATGAATTCTAGAAATTAAATTTTTTCTATCTTAAAAGATCAATGCAAAATAGGAGAGGCTTATTGCAACACGGAGAAAAATAAATAGTAATAATTATACTATTTTTGATGAAAAATTATTACTTTCAAGTGGTAATTTTGAAACTGTTCAAGAAATAGTAACTTTTGCTTCGTTTTCAAACGATTTTTACTTTTTTAAAAAAGTATAATTTACTTCAAGGAATCTAAATTTTATTAAAAGCCGAGCAATATTTAAAATGTCCCGAGCAATTAATACTCTGAGTGAAGTAACTTTTATTACGAATAAGAGCAATTATTACTATTTCGTAAAGATTTTTACTCGAAAAAGTAGTAATCCATACCCACACAATGACGCACCTTACACCGAATATTCTGATTTTACTCTAAAAATTATTAGATATACCGAAAAAAATTTCTTTTACTTATTTACGAATTTCTTTAAATGTCAAACTTGGTCAAACTATTCAGAAACATCAATAACTTCCTTTTTAAATTATTATTATTTGTCCATAGGAATTAAAATTCTTCAAAGGATTCGAATTCAAGCCTGTTTGAAATTGAACAATTAAGTTATTATAATTTGAAGGGCTACAAAACTTACTCCGCGAGGAAGGGAAATACTCATTAAAACTTCATTTTGTTTTGAATTGTTTCTATTTCCAACTAAAATTTATAAAATAGTAACAATAATCCATATTCATCCTGACCACAATGGACCCTTAATACAGCCACCGTCACAGTTGCATCCAAACACATTACAGGGTCCAACACCGCAATAGAATCCCTCTTTTTCCTTACCATCAGCGCATACTGTGATACAACACGCCTTGGATGATGGATCTTTATCATTCAAACAAGGACCAGGAGCTTTACCACCTATGTTGCAACATTCAGCACGACTCTCATTAGGAATTAATAAAAATGTTACAACAAATAACAGCAAGTAAGTAGTTTTCAACATTGTTGATATTTTACAACTGTACTTTTTGCAATGTTTCAATTTTCAAAATGTTTTGGAACTACTTTATTATTTTTATTTTAATTATTAATCAAATACGCGTCCACTGAAGAAAGGTTTGAATTTATTAAACTCGATTGATAATTACGTGGCCTTAGAAACTGCAGTTTGTCATATATATAGAGGTACGCGAGTTATTAGACATAGTAATATCTTTTATAATTTCAGAGTAATTCCACTTACTAATTACACGTTGTTATATTTTTTCTTAAAGAATTATGACTATTTTTATGCGTCGAAGAAAAATAATCACATAGCAAATTTCTATGTTTCAAAAGAGTTAATTTATGTATCCGAAACAACGATAATTTTTCTACTATTATTTTCAATTTGTGTTTTACATATTTTTAAAAAATTATTTTTTTTAATGAAAAAATTAATCATTATTTTATATTATAAGAATATTGTTACTATATAACATCTTCCAAATTATTTTCATTATTTCAATTCAATGTTATGTTCTTTTCAAGAATTTTTAACTAAAATTCATTTTTTTTTATAAATATAGGTAAATATTTTTTTATTTTTAATCATTACTGAAAAAGTTGTTCGAAAATTTTCAAATTCCTTTGTTTACAAATCAATTTTACACGAAATTTCGATTACTTGGAAATTCTTCAATTAAATAATATATACTAGAGAATAAAATCTTGAAATTATTTCAAAAAAAATTAATTCTACAGAATTATTATAGTTAAAAGTATGAAAACTTCAGATTTTCAAAGATTTTAATTTGAAAGCTTTTCAAAATTCTATCCTTTCTAAAAATCTCCGTTATAATGCTTTCAATATTCAATATATGTGACGCTCCACGAGAAAAGGGACCTTATGACAAGAGTAAATAAGGTCCCTTTTCTCGTGGAGCGTCACATATATATATATTATATCTAAAATTTTAACTGAAATTATTCATTTTTAAATCAACTTTTATTACAAAATTCCACGAGAATTCAATTATTTAAATACAAAAATAAATAATTTATTGAATAATTGAATGTTTTGATGAATTTTAAGAATAATTACATTTGTCGAGTAATTTGATTAACATTGAGCCTCCGGAAAGTATAACCACACATAAAATTCTGACCAGTTCTATATAAGAAGAGACGCTTGCATTCTCAAACTTAAACAAATATTATCTTTGTCTGATTTTTATCACATTCTGTTTTTAACAGAGTGTTCTAATTAAATTAATTATTTTTCTTTCTTTAGGTTTAGATTAGTAATTTAATTTTTTTTTTTTTTTAAATTTTTGCTATATGTTGGTATTTGTAAAATATTGATTTCAAACGTTGGTTCAGTATTGGTAACCAATAAATAACCAAGCATTAATTTAATTTTAAAGCATTGGTAATTAATTGGTCACTAATATTGGTCCAATCTTTGTTGCCAATGAATATCCAACGCTTGGAAAGTCCGGCATTTGTCTTGGCAGCCAATAGTGATCCAATATTGGCTGCCAATGCTTGGCAAAGTCGTGATCATCCCAAGACTCTGGCAATAGTGGCCCAATATTGGTTGCTATTATTGCACCATCATTGGTACTGCTGGCTCCCAATATAGGACCATTATTGCGCCAATGGTTAATTTCCCATTGGGTTTATTTGATATAATAAAAAAATTAAGAATGTCGTAGAGCGTATATTTTATTAAATAATAAATATTTTTGAAAATAATGTAAGTGCAGGAATTACCGTGGTGCTCAAAGCTTCATGATCGGAATACCGTGGATGATCTAGTTACCGTGTGCCTTATACCGCGAAAATTTCAACTTGTATAGAATTCGCAAACGGTTGAATGAAATTAAACAAATTTGAAACAATGGTCTATTAATTTAACAATAAATTTAAATATTCTTATATTTTAGCAGATACTAATAATAATCACAGAATTCGTTATAAATCTATTAATAACTGTATTTAGTGATTTATTTAGTACCTAATAAAATTTAATTATATATTTTTTATGAAAATAGTATAATTATTATTAAAATAACAATAATAGTATTTGGTCTAAATGATTTTGAAATTATTTTTTAATTCCTGCGGTTTTCCATTAACTTGAAAATCACGATTTATCACTTTACATATATTATTTTTAATGATAATAACGACCCACGGTATTTGGCGCACAAGTTCAAAACGTTATCCAATTACCGTGTTGATAAAATAAAAATTAAAATACGTTGAATCTTAATTTACCACGAAGTTTTGACTTTAAAAATACATTAATTAATCGAATATACAAAAATTAACAATAATGTTTAAAAGTATTAATAATAAAAAAAGCGATTTATATAAAACTGTATTTTTGCATTACAATGAGCAATTTATCAAACTTTCCGCACCTACGAGATTTATAATTTTTTTAAACGAGAAATGTAAGTTAAATAACAATAACTTTTTATTTATTAAACACGTACAATATTAAAGTAACTATCTGAATTTTATGGGTCAACAAATTGGAACATAAATGATAAAATTTGCCAAAAATAGCGAAACCACGGTAACTCACGCACCCACACGGAAAAAATAAATTTAGCAGATTTTACGAGACTGTTACGGAGTAGCGGATACAGCTTTTTACGAAACTGAGTTTTGTAAAATGTAAGGAATATTTCAGGATAAACTTAAAACATATTCAGTATAAACTACGAAAATTCGGAACTTTATGTCTTTATATATCCTGAAATATTCCTTACATTTTATAAAACTCAGTTTCGTAAAAAGCTGTACCCGCTATTCCGTAACAGTTTTGTAAAATCTGCTAAATTTATTTTTTCCGTGCACGGTAATACCCACATTCACCCTAGATTTAAAAAATCATTGAATTGAGGAAAATTTTTAAGAATAATTGAAATTTTGACAAGAATTTTATTGAAATTTTTGAAAATAATTAATTTTTGAAGAAGATTTTTGGATGAATTTGAATTAAATTCTTTTGCGAAATTTTATGAAAATACTGTAGATATTAAAAATCATTGAATTTCGAATATTTTTTTAAAATAATTGAATTGTTTTAAAGAATTTGATTATAATATTTGAAAATAGTTTTTTGATTTCTAGTATATGCGAATTTAAAGTAGTGGAAATTCTAAAAAACAGAAATAGTAGCTTTTAGTGGTTGAATTCTAAAAAAAGTACCCAAACAGTAGCATAACGTAAAAAAGTAGTAAATAGATAGATGAGTGCGAAGCCTGATATTATAATTTTTGATAAAAAAAAGTTAATTATTATTTTCAGACAAAAAATTATTATTTCACATCCGAAGCAGACTTTAAATCCAATAATTTCGTGGACGTAAACGTTGGTAACTTTATAGTTTAATCTTTTTTGTTCCGATTCTTTCAGATTCTTTGTTATGGATTTTTTCTTAAATCAAAGTTGATATTTACGAATAATTATTACAACCTGTGAAAAAAACCTGTGTAACCTGTGTGTTTTATAGATAAAATGATAAATGATAATATATTCACAGCCGATAATCAGTATAGGAGATGAAAAATTATTTTTTGAGTCTTTAGCTTCAAGTTACACTTGGTGTTTTATTTATATGACTCTCGAATTAAATTTTTTAAAATAAATAAATGAAAGATACACCCTGAGTATACTCGCGGGTTAAACCGTAGAGAGGTTAACTAAATGTGAGTTTTAATTTTATTAAATTAAGTAGACATTAATTATTATTAATTTTTAGTTAAAAATAAAATTGTATAAATTAACTAAAAAATGTAGTCAACTTTTCTGTAAAACATCAACAAACTTCTTATCAAAATCACTAGCCGTTTACAAACTATATAAAATAACTATAGAAGAACATTAGAAGGAAATATCGGTCTGACAGACCGAGAAAATACAAAGCGTGAATTTTTTGCATACTTTAAAAGTTAAATCTTAACTCATACATTCATAGCACTTGGAAAATAACTTCTTCTAAAAATACGAAAAAAATGCAGAATTTCTTACCTGTGAAGCATGGCTGTAAGTATATTTTTTGTTCTTAATAAATTATATTGATTAATCTAAATAAAAGCCCATGTAAGCCGCAAATATTTGTATTTCAACTTGCGTTTACAGATAAATATTACAAACAGTATTTTATAAATTTTTCGTAGTACAAAGTAAACTTAAATAATGGGACGCCTAAATTTTAAAATATAAAAAAAAACAATTTTTGTACATTTATTTTTTTAAAGCTATACTGAATAATAAATCAGTTAAAACTATCCAGAAATGTGTTATAAGTGAAATATGTCATAAAATATTTGAAGACTCAGATGTAGGCTTATGTGAGATTTTTAAGTTTTCCAAAAAATTTTTCTACTTCTTGGTACATAGTTCTTGAAATTATTTAAAAAATCAGTAAATTTTATATTATCACATGGGTACAAAAGTGGTCTAAAATTACCTTATTCTTAAATAATGTTAGTTACAGTCCGCAAACTTCGTTTTATTTTATATAAAGTTTCATATAAACTTTAATCAAGAAGTTTGAAAACAAAATAACTTTCCAAACTTTATTATTCTTCTAGGAATTAAAAGAAAATAATATTAGTATTCTGAAATTCATGTTTGGAATTAGCAGCTTTCACGGAAAACTTAAATGTCTTATTTTCTTGAAGCCAAAGTATCTAAGTTTCAAGATGTTTTGTGACCTAAATATTCACAAATAATAGTTCTTCGTAGTTACTTTTACTAGACTAGATGCTCGACATGGGCGAAAATTTGTCCATCGTTAAAATCGCTTGAGACGCATCACGAAATTTAGACGTCCCCTTAAAATATTTTGCTATTTTGGCAATTGTGAAACAACAGCAATAATGAAAATTTGACCATTTAAACAATATAGTAGCAAAATATTTTGCAGTAATTGTTACAAGAGAGCATTGCAATGCGCCCATCGAGTGACAAAATTCAGAATTCATTCTCTTGGCAGTACATATTTATGACACCTACGACTGCACATTAAATGTTGATAACCTGTGTTAAATGTTTAATTATATACTTAGTATAATACATATTTTTTAATAAAAAGGTTTTACTTTTGTTAAAAATTTTCTACAAATTGCTGTGATATTCATGTTATAAAGACTTCATTTTTGACATGATTTAAAAACATATCAAATTTATCCATTGGCAGATGTCAACGTTTAAGAAAATGTACTTAAATATTGCTTTCAATTTTAGATTCCAAAGATGATGAATCTCCACTGGTAGTTTTAAACTTCTTTATCCAGACGGAGAAGAATCTTCTTTGGGTATATTTATGTTCTCGTTGCTTGTGTGGTTGACTCCTAGATAAGTAAAGTTTATGCAATATCTATACTAGTTACTATGTAATCATTTTTTATTTAGATATAAATACTGATATTTGTATGAAGGTAAAAAGAGAAGAAAGATTCTGATGCCAGTGGTTTCACGACTGATACACATGTTTATTAGACGAAAAAATCCCTATCTGTTCCCTTTTTCTTAACATACATTCTCTTTTTCTACAAAATAAGCTTAAAAATTGTCATTTTGCTTAGAATAACACAGACTTATTGCTTTTTATTTTTCATCCTTCTTATTACCATCGATTTCCTTTTCCTTCTCAATGTCTTTCTCTTCTTTATCAGATTTCTCCTTGTCTCCTTCCTTTTCTTCTGTTGATTCTTTCGATTCCTTAGCGTCTTCTTTGTTCTCCTTGTTAACACTCTTTAGTTCCTTTGGTAAATGCGTGTTCATTGCTAATGAAGTGCAAATCTCGTCCCAATCTGTGAAGCAGCGTTCTTTCATTCGTGAACAATGTCCTACTAGATTTGGACATTTATCCTGAACGAAGTCTCTCAAAGGAAAACGAATATCCTTATGAATGTATAAAATTTGTGCTAAATTTGCGAAGGCCACAACATCTAGCTGTAAAACAACAAAATTATCCATTTTACATACGAAGAGTATTTATTAAATTCTAAAATTAATTATTAAGATTGTTGAGCGCGATCTCCTCGGGCAAATTTAAAACTAATTAGTGCCTTATGCTTTTAAAGCTAAAGACATTGCTTGCTGCAATAGAGACCGAGACCAAACTATAAAGCTGCTGGAGGTGGAAGCAGCTTGTATTCGAAAAATAGAGGAAGGATGTCCAGAAAAACGTCAATATGACGATCAAGGACGGACTAAAAGCATAACAGTTCATACAGGAGATCAAGAACAAGCACGCAGCTGCAAAAAAGTAGACAAAAGGTTCTACCAAAAATTGGTTCGCAGCAGTTCTGGAAAAAATCCGTGAGGAGGTAAACCCAGAAAATAGCCATACAATTTGTGTGGCAGCTAGACCCACCAAGTGGGAAGACCTCTTTATCAATCTTGTAGGTTCTTCTGATAAGCAAGCGTTCACCAATGAGGTGACAAGGGTGATAGGTGACTTGGGTAAGGTGCAGATTGTGGACCGGCCAACAACTTTGGAGATCCACGATTTTGATTATCTTACAGAACCAACAGATGTCCAGGAGGTCCTGGATAGAGTTTCAACAATGCCAGTAGGAAACATAAAAGTAACGGTCCTAGAACCTAATAAGCGAGGTGTCAAGCTCGCTATTGTAGTAACCAGACAGGAAGATGTAGAAAAGCTAAAATGTATATAAACTCGACCACATAAGGGTTGGCGTTTTGTCTTGTCCAGTGAGGAATAGAGTTATGGTCACAAGGTGTCATAGGTGCCTTGACTACGCCCATATAGGTTGAGATTTCCAAGCAGTAGATAGGTTGGCTGTGTGCTTCAAGTGCGGAAAAACCGACCACAAGGTAGCCGATTTTAAGAAGAGCCCATGCTGTTTCTTATGCCAAGCGACTCAAACTCATAGGTTAAAAAAAAAGTTTTGGAACCGGTTCTAAGAGTTCTTAGTGATCTGCAAGAGTTGGTCAAGCAGTTATAATGCGTGATCTATATTCGCCAACGTTTGGTCCAGTACCGAAATCTCCGCAACATTTTCAGTGCAAAGTAATTCCTGTCGAGTGTGACTTGTGTCAATCAGCAGCCGAGTAGAAAGGTGCTGCGCTTACTACATCTACACTGACCTCAGACGCATTATCTAAAAATGGGTTTCGGTCTTCTAACAAATGCAATAAAGGTAAATTGATCATAAACTTCTTTACTACATTTTTCTGATTTTCTATACAACTAATAAACACCGAATTTTTAAAAGTGGTTTGTTGGTCTAAATAGAAACTGGTTCTCTTTCACGAGTTCTCAATATTATCTCTGACATTCAAGAAAACCTATTTGTAACTTAATTTAATAATCAACATCTAACATTTATTGACCCTTATCCTCATCCTAAATAAGATTTCTTCGGAATTTCTTATTTAAAACGAGAAACTAAAATGTTAAGAAGGTAGGTCACATTACGACGTAATAGGAAAACTATTTGCCAGTCTTGTCCAGGCGGAATTCCCTCTGACGAGCAAGAGAGTCTCAGAGGTGTTGTTTTGTGAAATTTGGTTAGTTTTTAAATTTGACTAGAAAATGAATTGACGTCTAACGGCGAAATTTATTCATTAAAGTTTTTAAATTTTATGTTTATGTTAAAAGTGTCAGATTCTACTGACGTTAAGCAGAAAGTTTAATTTATTTAAATTCATACATCGTTTACACAATAGAGATTGCGACCTAAGCGACAATGTCACTCGCTGCCGTTTTCAAATTACAAGGCAGTACAAGTTCCTATATGAGAAAATCTTTTATAATATAGTGATGATGTATGATCTCATGTACATTTGCACTGTTTCAATTTCTCTTTTGGGAATTTGTATATGAATATTGAAGTGATGAACTTGTACCAAAATTTGAAATTGTCCGGACAAAATCAGCTTTTCATTTGAAAAGTTGCAGAACTACTGCTGTGTCTTGATCGCAGTGAAAACACCGGGGCTTTAGCGAGCACCGAGGTTTCACTACCTGAGCTATATAATTGGCTATTAATGTAAATATTATATTATATCCTTACCATTGTTGGTTCATCTCCAAAAAAGAATGGTTTGTCGGCAAGAACATCACTAAGTGCCTTCAGATCCTCATTGCCAAAATTGACCACTTGATCAAAACTAAATTCTCCTATTCCATGAGCCTTTACTTTTCTTGCACCCTGAAAATAATTTAACTATGTGTATTTAGAAGAGCACACTGTTTGACATTTACAATAATTATTATTCTCAAATATTCTTCAACATACAAATATTTCTGTTTATATTTTCTTATTTTTCAATAAGGATGTTTCTTATTAGTTTAAGAAATCACATCAAGCTTATATCTCTTGATTTTCAAGAAACTACTGTCAGACACTGTTTGAATTCGGAAGCCAAACATTTGTCAGAAACACCAATTGGAGATTTAGACCCAATAAATAAAGTATGAGATAAAGTTTAGACCAAGGTGAAGTGCGAGTCTTAGTCAAAGTCTTGGTCAAGTCCAAGTATTAGTCTTGGTTAAAGTCCAAAATGGATTATTTTAATCTTTTTTGGTGTTAATTTAATCTGCAACGCGTTTTGATACCTCACAATTTACTGTGGCAAGTAGCTTAATTATTTTTTTATTTGTACTAAAAATCGAAAATTCTTCAAATTCAACATTTTCCCTTTATTTTAAAGCAAGTAACTTAATTATTTTTGGGCTCTTCAAAAATACTTTACTCCTTTTTTATGCTTCAACCTTTGGTAAAAAAAAATTACCCTTACCACCAGCGACAAAAATCGAAAATTCTTAGGGTACGGTCCCATGTTGAGCAGAAAACACAATGCAAAGCAGAATTTCGTGAGAGTGGAAAGGATAGTGATATCTGACTATCTCTCTTGCACTCACGAAATTCTGCTTTGCATTCTGTTTTCTGCTCAGCATGGGACTGCACCCTTAAAGTTCAACATTTTTCTTCTATTTTAAAGCAAATTGCTTTTTTATTTTTGGGCTCTTCAAAAACACTTAACTCGCTTTTTATGCTTCACCCTTTAGTCAAAGAAACTACCCTTACCATTTGTACTAAAAATAAAAAATTCTTAAAATTCCACTTTTTTCTTTTATTTTAAGGCAAATAGCTTAATTATTTTTGGGCTCTTCAAAAATACCCTAACCATTTATTGGGCTCCAACCTTTGGTAAAAAAAACTACCCTTACCACTTGTTCCAAAAATCGAAAATCCTTCAAATTTAAGCGCTAAATTGGGCGCTAAATTATAGGATATTGATAAATATTTTTTTTACGATTTTAACGCGTTTTTTGTATTGATCTGGCCAGCGGAAGAGATTGAGCCAGCTTCACAGACCTTTTAAACACATTTGGTTGAATTGAGTTCGCAAAAGCGAGACTGCATTTTCATTTATAAGTCGTAAAAAACTTGTTCCAAAAAAGCTTATAAGGATCAGTTAGTAACTTTTAAAGTTATTGCGTTATGGAAATTTTTATGAAAAAAATCTCTGACATTAATGGTAGTCGCGCATTACATAAATACAAAAACCTGTTTTTTCAAAATTCACATATTTTGAATAACAAAACAATTAAGAACTTATTTTTCCAAAGTATGTATCATACAATAACTGATAAATTAGTAAAGAAGACACGAGTTCACATGAACTTTTCCTTTACGTCCGTAAAATAAAACAACACCTGTAATAAATTTTGAAAGAAAAAAATCTCTTACAATTAGTGTAGCACTTGAAAGTAGTCGAGTACTGATATACTGAAAAAGCTAAAGCTCGTTTTGGTTCGGCTCAATTGAAGGGTAGTCCAAAATGGGCAAGGAAACGTTTGAGTAGTGCGTTTTATCTGAATACATTTCTATTCTAACTAACGTGCTGCTCGAACGTTTACATGCCCGTTCCCGACCTGCTTTAAAAACAAACTTTGAATTATGTAGCAGTTTTGAAACAAAATGCTTTAAATGCGCTTTCGACTTAGTTTTTCGATTACAACGCAAAATTCAATAAATGAATTTCAAAAAGTTTCAAATTAAAATCTTTGAATATTTAAATTTTTCATACTTTTATCTAACAATTCTGTAGAATTAATTTTTTGGAAAAATTTATAGATAGATAGTTAGATAGATATAGTTAGTTAGATAGTTTTCTGAGCATCTAATAATTTTTAGAGTGAATCAAAATATTCTTTAGAGTCATGGAAAAAATAAAAATTTTGTCTGTAAATCAAGGAAAAGTCAGAGAAAAACAAAATTAAATTTCTGTGGCAACCCTGTAGTAGCAAAGTAAATTTTCTTTTGCATATTCTATGGTGAAGGTTCTTGAACATTATAAATACCACCGTAAATTATAAACATGAGAAAAATGCAACTAAAAATAATGAACGTTTATAATTAGAAAGATTTTAATCTTACCTTGCGCCCAAGTGTAATTTTAAAGAAGAAATTTAATATTCCATTAGGTATTCGTGAACCTAGGATTTGCTGCAAGTTGAGATTGTAACCCTTCAACACTAGATCCAAATTTTTTGTACGCCAATATGTGATAACCCAAACTAGATGGTTTTCTATCATTCGTATTAGAGCATGAGATACACATTTTTGTTCATTTGTCAGAGTAGCATCCAAATCCTTTTCGAATTTCTGTCTTAATTCTTCTAAAATAATGGCGCTGTCAGCAATTTCCTCTCCATTCAGTTCAACAAATGGCAAGCGTCCCTTTTTTGAGCGATATTTGAGTTTATGATCTACGTTCTGAAAGTTAAAAAGTTTGCTTCATTAATTAATCATAAAAAATAGAATTAATAATAGATTTTGTATAGTTCCTTGTGATACAGAAAGCCATTGATCATTAACATTTAGTGAATAATTTTTAACAAACACTTCGTTTTCTTGTTTTTGGGATCGCTGATTACGAATTTTTGGAGTCAGATTTAAAAAATTCAAGTTTGGTGGACATTTTTTTCAAAATTACTCATATTCGCTTGAAATTTGTTAATCAGGGTTTTTCAGGGTTGCCATTTTGAATTTCAAAAAAACTGTCGTCAGATTCGTAATCAGCGACCCTGAAAACTCACAAGTATCAAATTTTATGCAAATTTGAGTAATTTAAAAAAAACGTCTGCCATATTGGATCCGCCATTTTGAATTTTAAAAATTTTGAAAATCTTACTTTATATTCGTAATCAGCGACCCTAAAAATCCCCGAATAAAAAGTTTAAATAAAATCTACAGTCTGGGTTTTCCGGGGTCACGAAAGGGTTAAAAAATAAACCAAAATTGCATTTAGGTTGTATCTGAAAAAGTAATACCAACTTTCTAAAACTTATTTAATACGTATGAAAAAACTCGATAGCCATTCAAAAAATGTCTATATATTTAAAAATTATGTCAATTAAATTTTGTGATATCTTACACTGAAAAAAAAGTGCTGTTGAATCAAATATCTCCATGCTATTGAATTCCCCGTCATTGATTCAATGACACATTTATTAATCGAAAAGTATATTGCTTAAAATGAAAAAATGAAACTGTTTAAATTAAAAGTACGGTACTGTAGAATTAATGATATTGTGCAAATTGTTTCTATAGTTCATCTGTACATAGCAACAGAATAATTTATTGCTTCTTTGACATTATTCATTTGAAGCATCTAATAGATAAATTTGAAGAAAATGCGTGTAAATTTAAATCAAATGAAAAATTGTTTGCTCTAAAGAAGCGCGCTCTGAAAACGAAAGCATATGCTTTCGTTTCAATGAGTGGTGCTATTGCGGACTGCCTATAGCATATGCTATAAAAATAAGAACACTATGTTTTGAGACATTGACAGGTACTAAATTTATTGAAATACTTACCCACATATATTTATATGTTTATTAAACCTGTCGTTTTTGAGATTCCAATATAAAAAAGTATTATTTAAATTCTTTTAATTAATTAATGACTAGTTAAATATAAATTCCCTATATAAATTCCCTTATATACGCGAAAAATCTCGAGCACGGTATTTAACCACAAAGTAAGTGCCCAACGTTGAGAAGCGGATGTATTACATTGCAGCGCGGCGGTTCTCGTCTATCACGGAAGTTAAGCGTCGTTGGTCGCGGTTACTAAATGGATGGGTGACCGCTTGGGAATAGCCTATTTTTCTGACTAAAAAAGATAAGTGTGTTTGAATGTGTATGTGTGTGTGTGTGTTTAGCCGTTGGGAAAAATGAAAATAATAATAAAGATGTATATGTTAGTGTGAAAAATTGAAAAAAAGATGTGTATAAAAAGTGTTGTGTTAAAGGTGTGAGAATTAATTATAGTATATAAAAAACATGTGAACAAAAATTCCCTTTTTTCAATTTATCGTTGGTATATATTTAACCACATAAAAGAATTGAATTAACAGTATGGTGTTATTCAATCGATAGCAACAACTAAAAAAATTAAGAGTACAAATTTTTGAATCATAAAAATGATGCTTTTAAATTTAAAAGTTATAGTCATTGACTCAAAAGCATATACTGTTAAATTAAAAAATGTTGTTTATTGATTCAAAAGGATTCACCTTCGAATTAACATAGTATGCTGTCAATTTAAGAAATATGCTTTTGTTTCAAAGAAAGTGATACTATCGAATCATTAGAATCGGTGCTTTCAAAACAACAGCATATACGTTAGGCAGCCCGTTATGACACTATTCAATGAATCAAACCCATATGTCATTGATTCAACAGCATTTTTTTCTCCGTGTATAATATTCAAAAGAAAATTCTACACTAATATATAATTTGAATATAAATATAAACTTTGTAAAGTTTAATTTTTCTCTATACACACTATTCTCAGTAATTAAAAAGTTTACATTGCGAAAAGTCCATTGACCCTTTTACTGTACACAGATCGATCGATTACTCATTATTCTTCAGTTAACTAAAGATATTATACATTTGATGAAACTTAAAATGAATTTAACTCTTTTTAAAAACATTTTCTGTATTACTTTTTATAAAATAATTACTAATTTTTAATTTGAACTCGATTTATTCTTGTACATAATAATGCTCAACAACTGTTTCTTTAGAATATAAAACTTTTACTTTATTTTCATAAACCTATTTCCGAAGGTATAATAGAAAGTGTATAATTATGTAAGCTTATGTCGTATATAACACTCTGTTTACAATTAACTCGTGATTTTATAATTACCCCTGGGAGTTGGGGTAAATGTAAACGAGCAATTAATCACTAAATATGTAAAGTAGAATTTTCAAACAAATTTACAAGATTTAATTATATATACGAAGAAGTAGAAATATTTTCATATAGTGAATCGTTGACGTATATTTAAGTTTTAAATTTAGCGAAATTTCATTGATTAAACTGTAAACATTAATTAAACTAATTTATCATTTATTATTCAATTTTCATATTTATAGTATTCGATTCTTTAGTGTTTAATAATGATAACATAATATTTAAATATTAATTTTCTCCATAAATATGTAAATCGACTAAGATTTTATAATTACATATCTCGAATAATATTCGAATATTATTCAAAAATTCTGAAAAATAATTGAATTTTGGAAGACTTGCATTTCAAATTTTCATAAAAAAATTTTCAAATGGTTTTACATTGAAAAAATATTAAATTTTAAGCCAATGCAGAATAATAAGTATTTAAATATTTATTTTAACAAAAATGATTGAAAATTTTGAAAAAAATAAGGTTTTTAAAAAATTGTAATTAAAATTATTTAAGATATACATTCAATTCCCAAAAATAATTCTAAAAAATTGAAACAATTGGAAATTTTGTTAAATTGCATTAATAAATTTTATATTTTAAAAAATTTTAATTTTTCATCTTTAAATATTATTTATAAATATAATTGTATTTTTTAAAATACATTATTTCATAAAATAAAAATTATTTTATTTAAATAATTCAATCCTCGCTGTTGAATTCTGATAGAAGTTGATTTAAAGAAAAATCAGTTAAAATTCTAGAAAATAATTGAATATTTAAAGCGTTATAACAGGAATTTTAGGAATTAATTAACATTTAAAAGACTTTTAAATTAAATTCTTTAAAAATTAAGCAAAAGTATAAAAGTATTAAAATTTTTATTTAAAAAAATTACTAATTACATTATTTTTCTTTAAAAATGCTTAAAGTTTTGAATAATTTTATTTAAAAATTCTTGAAAAATAATTGAATTTTAGAAGAATTACAGTTGCAATTTTTAGAAATAATTAAATTTCAATAGGTTTTTTATTAAAATTATTTGAAATTTCAATTCCTGTGGGAAAATAAATAAGAATAAGTTTTTAAATTTTTATTTAACGAAAAGTATTGAAATTTTGAGTGATTAAATTTAGAAGCTCCAAAAAAATTTGTTTCTTGAAAAAATGTAATTAAAATTTTTTTAAAATAATTGTATTTCCGAAAATACAATTTCATTGAAATAAATTTTATATTCTAACGAATTTGATTTGTTTACTTTTAAAAATTATTTTGAAATATAATCGTATGTTTGAAGAATTCTAATTGAAAATGTGGAAAATAATTGAAATTAAAAAAAAATAAACTAATGAAATATGCATTGACAATTTCATTAGTTATTATAACTATTGAGAAAAACATGAGAGCATGCAAAATGAATTTATTTGGAGAATCATTCATAAATATATAAGTACTCCAAAAATTAAAAAATGAAATAAATTTAAATTAATTTATCTCATGTCTAGAGTATAAATATATCATACTTATAGGTATTGAATAATTTTAATTTTCTTTATATTTATAATCCTACAATTGATCCTCTGACTGTTGGATTTAATTCAATAAGCAAATAAATAAATAAAATACAAGATTCTTTAAACTATGTCGGGGAAAAGTAAAAATAATATTCATGCTCTTGGTATAATAACTTCTACTTGATACAATTAATTAGCTGTTAATAATTTCAGCCTTAAAGTATATTATAATATATTAAGAATGATTATTAGATTTCTTAATAGTCGGCAGTCTTATTGTTGGAAATGTATTTTACCAGCATCCAGAGGATCAATAAAAGCGCGAGTGGCAGCATCAAGGACTTTTACAATAGTAGATATGTTGACTTGTGGAAGGGTTGTTGCCAAGCGACGAAAGCTGCCTACTGCGGGTTCGTCGTCCTCTCAATTATTTTACTAGTTAAAATTATGTACTGTGTACAGTTTTTTGTTTAAAATATTTTATTATATACATTTTCCGCCTTTATCCACAAATACAAGCTTGGATGTATTCTTTTCAAAATTTCACACAAATTAGTGGAGGCTTTTTAAAAAAAATGTTACATGAAGCTCATCAAGGGTTGTATTTATGAATATTCCAAGTTTTAATTATTTTATATTCGTATAAAATATAGCAAGATAAGCAAATAGGTGCTGCCCTGGCAAGAATTTTGTCAATAATCTGATGTTCGCAATCTCAGTTATTGAAAATTTTATAAGGGAATTTCTAGTGCTTTGTGGAATTTGAATACTTGGCAATGTCCCAATGGGAAATGCCAGTGTAGTGCCGATGTTCACCACTGGCTTAGTACTCAGACGATTGTTCGGCGTAGTCTAGCCGAGCCTCGACAATCAGTGCTGGCGCAGTACAGAATTTTTGTTTCGCCAAAGCTTGGACAAGCCACGGCGGCAAGTGCTGGCTGAGTATAGAAAAATTGTTCACAACGCTCTTTGCCAACATTGCTTTTTTGACATAAACTTGA